CCTTTCTGTTCTTCCTAGGGGATTCATAAGTATGTTAATCCGTATGTGTTGCCACTCTTTTTTAACATGTCCCCAATTCTCCAACGGAACTTGCCTAGGCCTTGAAATTCTTCTAAGTATATTGAAAATGGTTTCGTAAGACTAGCTCAATCTGAATAGGCTGACCAAATAGGCCTAAATTCATCATCTTGACCCTGGGATTTGGCCCAAGACGAGTCCAGTTTGTAATTAAGACATTACCTTTCTTCATTTGGGCCCTGGCCAACTCTTTCACTTCTTCAAAAGACATGGGGCCCATCTTGTTTGCTGGTTTAGTGATGGAGGAGGCCATAATTAATTCCTGAAGGATTACGCTCTGCTCTTGCTTTAAATCCTACTCGAAACCAAAGATCTGGACAGATTCTCCTTCCTGGTGATTTGTCCCCATCAAATTTGATTGGCTCGATGAAGGGGTTGGTAGATTGATATACCATTGGATGCTCAGATGCCTCTTTGCTCTGTCATCTTGTCTGACCCCAATCTCAGTTGTTGGGAAGCAATACCCATATCATTTTGATTCCACTTGCCTACACGAACTCCATCATCTTCCTGTCTGGCCCTCTTACTGACTGTAGTCGTTCTCCTATATTTACCTGTGATGATGTGTAACAACCCAGTCTTAAATAAATTGATAAATATTAATTTATTCAGATAAAAGACCATTTGCCCATAAAATATTTTATTAGGTTTAAAAGTTGGCATTTTGACCGGGAAGGAATTTGGGAATTTCGAGTGTACCGTTGCATAGATCATGGCGAGATGAGTCCATAGACATGTGGTGGGCTTGAATCAGAGCTGTAACGAAGAAGTTAAGAGCAAAACATCACCAGTAGCACAATCGTAAATATTGCAAAAAGGGTTTGATAAAAATAAAAAAACCCTCATTTCTCTCTCTCTCTCTCTCTCTCTCTCTCTCTCTCTCTCTCTCTCTCTCTCTCTCCCCCCGATCGCGCCTCCTCCCTGTCAAAACAGCAGTGGCGGTTTTTCCGGCACCACCGCTTCCTCCAGCCACCATTCAAGGTGGTGCTGGTCCCAAAATGACCGGCTGGTCTTTCGCTTCCAACCCCAGCTAATCCTCATCGCCAGCAGCCACGAGCTTCGCCGGAAATTGCAGAAAATCCAGCGGTTTTTCTCAAATTTTCAAACCGCTCGTTCTCTCTCATTTCTCCACCAAATTTGAAGTGTAAAGTATGTATTTCTACTTATTTTTCATGATCTAGCTGATGGTTGGTTACGAATGCACCAATTTTGAGTGTAGGTAGCTTGATTTTCAAATTGGATTTCGGCCGGGTTTGATATTGGGATTTTAGCCACTTCCGGTCACTTTTTGGGGTAGGTCCAAGAACAAAAGTGGTTCCAAATATGGTGTTACACCTAGAGTAGGAGTCTTCAGTCATGATTTGGAGTTTTTCCGGCAGACGGTTATCGCTTTGGACACCCACGCTCTGCCTACGCGTGTGGCGGCGAGTGGGCACTGTAGAAAAAGGGGCATTGTGTCCCGAGGTGATCTCTTGGTCCTCACGAGCACATAGGTGTGCTCGGATTTCAATTTGGATACCGTTTGAACCCCGAACGGATTCCGCCTATTGTGCGTTATCTGGGTTCAATAGGTTTGAACCGTTGGAACACCGTGGATTTAATATATGTCAATCTAGACATTCCTAGGGCTAGGTTTACAGTAACTGTCCGATCATGCGATCTTGAGGGATCCCACCGTCCGATCCGGACCAGACTTATATGACGTGTATCCTAAACCTTGTAGAACCTATAGGAACTTTCGGATCGAAGAACGGAGGTCATAGGCCCCATGGGCCCTTTTGACCAAGTTTGGGTAGTTTGACCCTTGGTTGACCGTGAGTCTTCCGATGTAGTTTTACCTTCCTAGGAGGATTATAATGACCCTGGTGACAGGTCTTGAGCGTTGTTGAGTTTTTTTGTTTATGTGGATTAGGATATTAATTTATTGTTTTAAATTGGGGGATTATCGGATGCTATATTGTGGTTGAGGTTCATGCAATATTGGAAATTGATATATATATTAAAGATATAAAGATGTTTGATTACACTGAGCAAGTTCCATCCTGTGATTGTTAGGTCTCACGTGGCGTAGGATTTTTTGACGTTAAGACAGACCCCATACGTGGCATTGGATTTTCCGGCATATGAGGAGATTATGTGATTGTTAGGTCCCACGTGGCGTAGGATTTTCCGGCGTGAGGACAAACCCCATACGTGGCGTTGGATTTTCCGGCATATGAGGAGATTATGTGATATATGATGAAGAGGTCACACGTGGCGTATGATTTTCCGGCGTGTTGATAGACCCCATACGTGGCGTTGAATTTTCTGGCGTATGGGGAGATTATGTGATTGTTAGGTCCCACGTGGCGTAGGATTTTCCAGCGTGAGGACAGACCCTATACGTGGCGTTCGATTTTCCGGCGTATGGGGAGATTATGTGATATATGATGATGAGGTCACACGTGAAGTATGATTTTCCAGCATGTTGACAGACCCCATACGTGGTGTTGGATTTTCTAGCGTATGGGGAGATTATGTGATTTTTAGGTCCCACTAGCGTAGGATTTTCCGACGTGAGGACAGACCCCATATGTGGCGTTGGATTTTCCAGCGTATGGGGAGATTATGTGATATTATGTTAAGGTCGCAGGAGGTGTAGGATTTTCCGGCGTGTTGACAGACCCCATACGTGGCGTTGGAATTTTCGGCGTATGGGAAGATTATGTGATTGTTAGGTCCCACGTGACGTAAGATTTTCCAACGTGAGGACAGACTCCATATGTAGTGTTGGATTTTCCGACGTATGGGGAGATTATGTGATATTATGTTAAGGTCGCATGTGGTGTAAGATTTTCCGGCGTGTTGACAGACCCCATACGTGGCGTTGGATTTTCCGGCGTATGGGGAGATATTGTGATATTATGTTGAGGTCGCACATGGCGTAGGATTTTTCGGCGTGTTAACAGACCTCATACGAGACATTGGATTTTCCGGCGTATGAGGAGATTATGTGATATTATATTGAGGTGGCACGTGGCGTAGGATTTTCCGGCATGTTGACAGACCCCATACGTGGCATTGGATTTTCCGGCGTATGAGGAGATTATGGGATGTTTATAGGAAGAATTACGTGTGGCTTGATCCCAGGTTGAGGGTATGTAGGTAGCTTGGGGTCCCACCCGGGTGCAGCTGTTGCCTAAAATTTACTTATGTTGTGTTTATTGAGGTTGGTTCGGACCTTGTCGTTGGTCCTGAAATTCGGTTGGAATTTTTGGGAAATGTTCAATTTACAGGGAAGACTCTGCCGAAATTTCGGCAAAAAATCTCATGCCCTTATTCCTTTTTGGAAAAGGAGGCTACAATTTTAATGAGTGGGCTCGGCATAGGTGTGATGTCGAGATTTCCACAGGATTCGTCCTAGGTTTCGAGAAATTCAGGGCCGGTCCTGTCATGATGTTTCTCGATTTTAGCTCGTAGAATTCTTAATTAATGATAATGCGGGTCCAGCCACCACAAGTAGTGGTGTTCTCTAGGGGTGCTTCAAACTAGCATTCATTCGAGTAGTGCCAAATTCCCCGAGTCGCTCAAACTGAAGCTCTACCCAAGTTTCTAAACCATCTGCCTTTGGCAGCCAAAAGCTAGTAGAGAGAGGGTTTTTGGTATCCATCCAGACTCGAAATCTAAGAAAACATCTAGCCTGGTTTAGGTTTTCATACTTGATCATATCTCCAATCTTATCCCTTATATTGAACATGTTGTCCTCATGGCCCAAACTGAGGGGTATCCCTCTCACTTGCACCTAGAACGCCACTTGCTCAACCTATAAGTTTGAGGGCATCCTCAAAGATATTTATCCCAAGAGACTCTTCCAGGTGTAGGACCAGATCTTCATGGGTTGGATGAACTATCTGGTACCAAGAACACAGTGGGACGGAGTGACATGGTAATGAGTGGTGATTGTTTATTTTTGGGATAGGTAGTTTGTTTTTGTCAAGGGATGAAACCGCCTTCGTAAGTGAAGAGATTTTGAAAGTTTTCAAGTGGGGAAAGGATTTGAATACTTGGACAAATAGGAAGTAAACTACAAGAACAAATAGTTTTGATTGCTCCAGGATTTTGATAAACAAACTCATATCTTGGTTGGTGAGGTTCTTAAAGAGGGTAGAGTTAAATGAGATTGTTTGGGGGGAAGGGATGGGTTCTGAATTGAAAAGGGATCTTCAAAACTAGATATGTAGGGATAGTTGCCATTAATACAAATTAAAGCTCAAAACTTTCGGTACCAACCTTTTCAGACAAGCCCTCCAAACATGCAAGATCTCCAAGACGAGACACCACGAAGAAATTAGATCTTGAGCAATCACCCACTGAGATGAGGACTAAATGTTCAGATAAGAGCTAGGGGTCTAGTGAATGATGTTTGGCAGATCCTTTGGCCAAATTCTATGATTACGCACGGCCCCTAATTAGGTCTCATCCTTGCCCCTTAATTCTGAACCTTACCCCAGCTATTACAAAAGGAAGGAAAATGTTCAAGTTCAGAGCTTTTTGGATTACTAACAAGGAATGTCGTGGCATTGTGGAGAGGTGTTAGAATGAGAAAACTGAATGGAGTAATCTCCAGAAATGGATTGCGAAGACCAGTTGGTGTAAAGAAAAACTTAAAGCGTGGAACCGATCGAGCCAAAGGAATAATAGTAGGCAAATTGAAATTCTATCTGAGGAGTTGTGTTGTCTCCAGGAAGATTGGAATAAGAATATTCATAAGGTGAGCCAAATCAAAGAGCAAATAAATGAGAACGGGATAAGAGAGGAACAATACTGGCATCTGCGCTCCTGGATTCGATGGCTAACAGCTGGGGATGCAAATACTTCTTTCTTCCATCAAACTGCAATTCAAATGAGGAGGCAAAATAGAATTTCCAGAATTATGAATGATCATGGCTAGTGCAGTTTATGGTGACAGAACGGTGCGAAGAATAATTGAAGATTATTTCAAAAATATTTTTTCATCAAGTGGTCCCAGGAATTGGGGAAGTGCTATAAACTGTATTGAGAAAGTTGTCACTCTACAGATGAATTTGGAGCTGATACAACCAGTCTTGCTTAAGAAGGTTAAGAAGGCAGCGTTTGAGATGGGCTCCTTAAAGGCCCCTGGTCCGAATGGCTTTCAAGGTACCTTTTACTAGCATTATTGGAATATGATTCATGCTGAGATTCTGGGGACGACATAGGAGTTTATGGCTGGAGTTGTTAATCTCCAAAGGCTCAATGGCACATGTATAACCCTCATTCCAAAAGTCCCTATGTCTGAGAGTGTTTCCCATTTCAAACCAATCAGCATATGCAACTATTCATACAAAATCCTCTCAATGGTACTTGCAAACCATCTCAAGCCTATTCTTCCTTGCATCATATCACCATTATAGAATGCTTTTTTCACAAATAGATTGATTCAGGATAATATCTTGATTGCCCACGAGGTCTTCCACTACTTGAAGCTTTGTAAATCCATGAAATGTTTTGAGATGGGAATTAAGCTGGATATGAATAAAGCATATGACAAGGTGGAGCGGGATTTTTTAGAGGAGGTGATGAGAAGGATGGGTTTTGTGGAAAGATGGATAAGTCTTGTAGTGGGATGTGTCAAATCTATAGCCTTTGCAATTATTAAAAACGGTCAATCAGAGAGGCGGTTCAAACCTTTAAGAGGTATTCAGCAAGGAGATCTTATATCTCCATATCTCTTTCTCTTTGTAAGTGATGTTTTCTCTCAAATGATATCCAAAGCTGTTGATTCCAATGTTTTACAGGGCATTAAATTTGGCCATAAGGCTCACATCATATTTGCTGATGATACTTAGGTGTTCCTTAAAGCCACTAACCCTTGTTGTGACCAGCTTGTCAAATCTTCTTAATGATTTTTGTAAAGCCTCTAGCCAGTTCATAAACTTCTCAAAATCATGCATGTTCTTTAGTCTAAATACCCCTGAAGCAATTAGGAGGGAATTTGAAAAATCTATGAGAATTGGAGTTATTAAAGATCCCAGAAAATGCCTTGGTATTCCTACTCTATGGGGAAAAGCAAAGAAATGTGCCTTGATGTACATCAAGGAAAGGATTTGGATTTTATTAGGAGGTTGCTTTTGTAATGGACATGTCTACTGGCACCTGGAATTTGGATTCTATTAGGAGGTTGATAAGCGAAGAGGAAGCTACGGCTATTATGAGGGTCCCAATTGGATCTGCTGCGGCTAGTGATAAATTGATTTGGCCGTGGGAGAAATCGGGGAAGTACATTGTAAAGTCAGGTTATCATTGGCTGCATGGGCTCCACTAAAGGGGGTCGTGTTGGCATCTCTTCTTCCTCTTACATTGATCTTGGGATGTGGAAACTTATTTGGAAAATTGATTGTCCTCATAAGATTCGAAATTTCCTCTGGCTTGCTTTGAGGAATAGTCTGGCAACAAATTAGAGCCTTTTTAAAAGGAAATCCATTAATTCACCTACTTGTAGCCTCTGCAGCTCTGGAGTGGAATTTGTGGAACGTGTCTTGCTTTTTTGTCCATGGGTTGCTCTAGTTTGGTTTGATAGTAGCCTAAACATTTGAATCTGCAGAAATGAAATCACAACTTTGAATGAGTGGTTTCATGATATTCTCTTTCATGATGGGTTGGGCAAGGTGGATAGAGCCCGAATTGCATCATCTTTGGCCTTCACTTGCTGGAATATATGGAAGTTGCGCTATAAGACGATCATAGAAGGTTGTAGTCCATCCCCAAGGGCTACTGTGATTGCATCCTCTTATGCTATCTCTGATTTTTCGAGAGCAAAAGCTCACGTATTGGTAAATAGAAGGCATTCCGCCCCTCTAGAGTAGAGAATTCATATTGGTGCCCCCCTTTCTGCCCGAAAAATAAAATAAACATTGATGCAGCCTGGTATTCAGATTCTCAACAAGGTGGCATTGGTTTAATTGCTAGAAATCATATGGGATATTTTATTGCAGCCAAGGCGTGTCCCTGTTCAGCAAATTCGGCGTTGGAAGCGGAAGCTTTAGCTATTGTTGAAGCGTGTTTCTTTCCTATTGAGCATCAATTTCGTCATGTTTAGTTTGAGATGGATTGTAGAGAAGTGATTCGTGGAGTGCAAGGAAACATTTTGAGAGGACGATGGGAGCTGTATCCTTTCCTTCGAAAGATAAAAGAGCATCTTGGCCATCCAAATTTTGTTGATACTAGCTGGGCTTGGTGTCCAAGAACAGATAATGTGGTAGTAGATCACACTGCGACTTTGGCAAGTGCGAGGATGAACCTTATGACATAGGTCAACAAGCCACCATCTTCGTTGGTGCATGTTCTCAACAATGATGGTCTCCCTTGCCCCTCTTCTTAGTTGCTTGCTTGTAGTCTGCAAGGTTAGACGTTGTAGCCTTAGTGTGGGTGACGTCTTTGTTTATTTGCTTATTTGCAGCTTGCTTCGTTTATGTAGTTGGTTGTTTTTGTTTGTCCTGCCTACTAGCTGGGACTTTCTCTGTGCTTTGTTCTTGTTTCTAGGTGTTTGTCCTCCGTTAATGAAGTATCAGAAAAAAACAATAGAAGATTATGAGAACCAAATCAAAAATTTCAACATTGATGACTATCAGAAAAACGGAATATACATACATACATACATATATATATATATATATATATGTTAGTTTGCCCACACCCACGGCAATGACGTTTACTCTTATTCATTGCTTTCTCTTGTCCTCCCTTTATCATATATGTGAGTGCCAACACATGAGTACTTCATCATCGTCAGCCTCCATCATAAAATAAAAAATAAAAATAAAAATAATTTTTTTGCTTGCTCACTCAACATTTGTGCAAATCTTTCTTTATATATCCAATATTTTGCATCCCTCCTGTTTGAACTAAATTTCTTTGTATCTTTCTTTGCATATCCAATATTAACAGCACCAAAATCGTTGTGCCAATACTTTATTAACTTCAGAAATTTTGTGATGAGGTCTCAACAAATGTACCATTTGAGGGGAAGAAAAAGCATGATTGTGGCCCTCCATAAAGTTAGAAATTATGTATTTCATTCCTTCTCTTATCTTCAAAACTGCACTTCTCAAGTTATTCAAACTCCTGCCAAATTTTTGGTACATGCTAATGAGGATTGAAAACTAAGTCTGAATCATTTTCATTAGTATCTCCCATAAATTCATATGTCCCAAGTCCTTCATTTGGGCTTCCCATCTCTAAATTTTCATCTATTAAAACAAAAAATAACAAAAAATAGAATAACCCATACATTAGTTATTTCCAACAAACCCAATCTTTTTAGTAAGCAATCCCATACCATAAAGAAAATTAGAAAACTTTGTATAAGTAAAATAGAAAAGACCCATATATCATAAAGTAAAATAAAACAACGAAGATGCAAAATTATGTTGAAGAATAAAACATTTGTCACTTATGATATTGCAAGACAAGGGATGAAATGAGAGCATAAGGATAAATTTTGGCTCAGATGTAGAGAAAACCTTTGTATTTAAACATGAACCATATAAAACTTAAGTTGGGAGACAATTGAAACAAAAAAACAAAATACATTTCCGTTGCCGGGACTTGAACCCGGGTCTCTCGGGTGAGAGCCGAGTATCCTGACCAACTAGACTACAACGGAACTTGTTAAACTCTTCGGCTACAAATGATTTTCAATGACATAGTTTGGTTCGTTGCTGATTTGTTTCTTAGGCTTACACGGAGTTTCTCATCTCATTTGGGCCTTTTTTATTGACCCTCAAATTTCTTTGTTTTAAACCCAGGTTGACCCGTTTCAAAATGAGCCAGCCCATTTTGGGCCTTTTGAGGGCTCTATAAATTAGAACAAACCAAGTTAGGGTTTCCCTCAACTGCTCTGAGAAGAATTCAGTACACGCCGCTTCAGCAGTCTCCATAACCCTATAATCGCACGAGAAAGAGAGGTTAAAGGGACGGCACCGTTGCTGTCCGCCTTGATAGAGCCTTAGCCTCGTCTTGGCCCTCGATTTTGGTCAATCCCTAACCCCTATTTTCAGTAAACGCATACTCTCAATCCCAAAGCAGAAATGGCACCAAAACCCTCCAAGGCCGAGAAGAAGATCGCATACGACTCTAAGCTGTGCCAGCTTCTCGATGAGTATGGCCAGATCCTCATCGTGGCTGCAGACAACGTGGGCTCCAATCAGCTGCAGAACATCCGCAAGGGTCTGCGTGGAGACTCCATTGTTCTGATGGGGAAGAACACTATGATGAAGAGGTCAATCAGAATCCATGCTGAGAAGACCGGCAACAATGTATACCTGAACCTCGTCCCCCTTCTTGTGGTAAGCTTCTATATCTGTTTGTTCTTGCTGCTTTCGTTTTAAATGTTCATTTGTTGATTCTTGTTGGTTTGTGTATTAGGGCAATGTGGGTCTGATTTTCACCAAGGGTGATTTGAAGGAAGTCAGCGAGGAGGTTGCCAAGTACAAGGTACGAACTTTCGCTTCCTGTCTATTATTGTATTTGTCCGATTTCAGGCTCTTCTTAATATTTGTGGGTTATAGATGTGATGATTTATAATTTATAATTGTTTACAATACACAATGAATCCGCACTAGTTTGGTGTGTAGCTCTTTAATTGGTATTAGATGTAGTGTATTCATCAGCCATACAAATGGGTTTTAGCCATGCCATACAAATGGGTTTTACCCATAAGAACAAGACTATACTTGAGTAAATCTTAAGTGAAGGAAATTAGTTCTAAATTGAATGGTTTTGTTCATAGTATACATATGTGGTTTGTTTGTCTTGTTTAGGGTATGCCTCAAATTGTATATATTGACTCATGCTTGTTTACATGCTTAAGTGTGTTATGTTTCCTGATACTTTGTTGATTGTTTTCCATTCATTTTATTTGTATGTTTTACGGCATCTGGGTGTAATCTTCTTGCTGTGTTTTTCCTGAATTTAAATAGGTTGGAGCTCCCGCTCGTGTTGGTTTAGTTGCTCCAATTGATGTCGTTGTCCCTCCTGGAAACACTGGGCTGGACCCATCTCAGACCTCTTTCTTCCAGGTCTGTGATAAGATCCTTTCACCATTGAAACTTTTTCACTTTCCTGTTGATGATCAGGAGTTCTTACTTGCACGTTTCGTATTTCAGGTCTTGAATATCCCAACCAAGATTAACAAGGGTACTGTTGAAATCATTACCCCTGTTGAACTTATCAAGAAGGGTGACAAGGTTGGGTCTTCTGAGGCTGCCCTCCTTGCAAAGCTTGGAATTAGGCCATTCTCTTACGGTCTTGTTGTCCAGACCGTTTATGATAATGGTTCTGTCTTCAGCCCTGAGGTTCTGGATCTGACTGAGGATGACCTCATGGTGAAGTTTGCTTTAGGTGTCTCCATGGTCACTTCATTGGCGTTGGCCATTGCTTACCCAACGCTTGCTGCTGCCCCACACATGTTCCTTAACGCATACAAGAATGTGCTGGCAGTTTCTCTTGCCACAGAGTATACCTTCCCACAAGCAGAGAAGGTCAAGGAGTATTTGAAGGTACTGTGCTATATTCCCAACTGATTGTTTCCGTTTGTTTGTGTGATTGATTTTCTATTCCGTTGCTAGTGAATGTGATTAACTGTGGAGTGCAAATGCAGGACCCTAGCAAGTTTGCTGCTGCTGTGGCCCCTGTTGCTGCCGATGCTGCACCAGCTGCTGCCGCCAAGGTGGAAGAGAAAAAGGAGGAGCCTGCTGAGGAATCAGATGAAGATATTGGTTTCAGTTTGTTTGATGATTAAGTAGTTAGTATTAATAGTTAAACTTTGAGGATGTTAAGTTTTCGCAGATTTAGATTTTTGCCCTGGAACTATGATATGTTTTGGCTTCTGTTGGATACATTTTTTCAATTTTCGTATGACTATTTTAAATATTTTAAAGTTTAGTCACTTGATCTTATCCGTGGAGGTGTTTATCAGCAACGTGTTTTTGCAGGGTTGCCCCAACTCTGAAAACACTACCATCTTTAATAGTGTCGCTTTGTTCATCGAATGATTTTTAGGTGAGCTTTTTGTTATGTAATAATATCGTTTTAGGTTGTTTTCTTGGCTTCAGTCTCACCTAGCTCTTTAATCTCCTTGTAGAAAAATGGGGTAAAAAGAAAACCTTATCTAATTCATTGGGTGGAAAAGAAAAAAGAAATTTAAATCGATCTATGATTGGTTGGTGTTTTTCTTTGGGTCGTTTTTGGCAAATAATCTATGATTTAGGTAGGTTGCTAGTTCTGTTTTTTATGTTTTCAAGTTTGGTAATTTGTAGTTTCTGTTGTTTGTATTCCATTGTTATCATTAAAATGGGATTCAGTTTGTATGGGCAGATTTTGGGGAATGCAAGAGAAAACAAGTTGGAATGTGTTCAGGCAATGAAAAATTCTGCTCGCATATACGAGCACAATTACTTTCTACCGAGCATGATATTTAGTTTTCTGTTAGGTAGATACGATATGTGTGTGTCGACAACATACACTTGCACTTTCACTCTGGGAATTTTTTCAGTTGTCCCATTACAGTCCTCCTCACAAAGGAAGTGTCCACTATGATGTGCGGGATGTCCAGTAAAATGAAATTTGCATGATGTATATCCCAATAAATCATTCCCCCCCTCTTTCACGCTATTTTAAGTTTAGGTGCTTTGGTGGCATTCCTTCTTCTTGGGTCAAGTTGAATCCTGACGGGGATGTTAGGGGTTTTTTGGGGCGTGCTGGTTATTATGGAGGCTTTGGTTTTTTTTATTTTTTTTTCTTTCCCGTGATTCTGCTGGTTCGGTTTTGATTGAACTGTCCTGCGGCTTCTCTTGGATAGGGATCTGCTCTTGAGGCTGAACTTTTGGATAGACTAGAACAAAAAATGCCTTAGATGACAGTGATCCACCGTTTTGTGTGACGCAAAATCGTCGTATAGGTGAGCGTCGTCTTTTGCAGGGCATCAGACGACAATTTTCAAACGACTCGTATAGGTGAGCGTCGTCTTTTGCAGGGCATCAGATGACAATTTTCAAACGACTGTTTGAGTGTAAAAACTGTCGTCTATTTGAGTTTCGTCGTCTGGTTAAACTTGAGACGATGAATTCAGTTAAAAAATATCGATCGTTTAGATGGATCTTAGATGACAATTTTGAGTCTTACAACCGTGATAGTTTGTGTACATTGCTTTTCACAATTTTGGGTTTTTATTTGCATTTTAATGGACTATTTCAATGGTGTCACATACACTTTCATAAATATTCATATATTCCTTTCCATAAATTTTACCAAGTCATTCTCATACAAACCACAACACCAAATACGAATATCTACCATACAAAATAATTCATCAGAAGCCCTTGGAGCATACAAACTATTTTCTTGCAAAGTTACGAACTTTAGCTATAGATAATCGAACCCATAGCTTTCCAACCTCCTACTTGTTAGGATTAAACATACGTTCTTGGTCTCTTGCAAACATATACAACCCAAAACCCAAAAATGACATGCAGTCACACAAATCAAAGTTACCATTAAAGAGAGAAGAAAAACAAAGGAAGAAAGAAAGGCAGCATAAAAGGGCATAGAAAGAGAAACGACACAGGACAAGCCAGAGAAGAAAGCATCAAAGAACTTATATATGCTGGTAATTCTGCAAAATTGAATTATACTCCGAGCAACGAAAAACTATTCCCCCTCCATAATTTCTCTCCTGAAGTCCACTTCAAGCTTATTCATTTATATTCATAACAAAAACAAAAACCCAAAATTGAACACATAATAAATGTTCCTAATTCATTTTCAAAGTCATCCAGTTTTTATATGCACAATTATACATATACCTGCTCTATGTTTCTTCTTCCTATCCATTTGCATAGCATTTGTGAGGGGTTGCTGACCTGATTTGAATCCAAAGTATCATTTTCTTAGAAACCAGCCTAGATGCTTTGCTCTCGAATATATGCATTGGAACTTCAGCAGCCCCCATACTACCTTTTGGCCTATCAATTTAATTCCACAACTTAAACTGGTGAATTAAGATAATTCTATCTCATTGATGGATTAACACATAAACCATACCTCATGGAGGTCCTCTTTTGAAACTTCTATTTTCTCCCCTTTTGTAAATTGAGAAAGATTTTTACTGCCAGCCATGGCATGATAGAAGTAAATCCTTTCACCAAAACACGATGCCCTACACAATGGAAGATTTCTCCACCGATTGAAACTTGAAAATTCTACCTTTGTTCTGGAATGGACGTTAAAGTAAAAAACAATAAAACATTATACTTTGCTCTATATAATATTTGTCACAAATGATGTTTGAAATGTGATTAAAAAAATGAAACTTATGGTGTCAACTTTATACAATGTATAAATTCACTAAACAAGTAAAATAAAAGTCAAACAATATGGGTAAAATATTTTCATGTTGTATTTCATTCTCCAAAATGAGGTATTTATAATACAAGGATGTAATCCTAGTAGGATCAAACTAAGAAACAAGATAAAATCATAATTACACAATATCTGTACAAAATGAAAGAAATATAGTCCTAATAAACTCGGATGATATAAACGGAAAACAAATAATTTCAGCATCCAACTTTTCTTTAACAAAATGTCAATCAACCTCCACGTGCTTTGTAAGATCATGTTGCACAGAGTTACGTGAAATTGCAATTGCTGCTTTTTATTACAATACAAATCCATGGGTTTCTGAGGTCCAAACCCAAGATCTCTCAACAATCTTCTCAAGGGGTATATTGAACGATATGTAAAACCTCAAATTGATCCAAGATACAAGCATAGACAATTAGAGCACGTGGAGGGGGTGAAGATTCATACATGGATCGACGAAAACAGAAGCCGAAATTGCCAGAAACGACGTGGGAAACTTCTAAAATCATCCAAACTTCCAATTGTTCCAATTTAATTTCCTTAGGTTTTTTAGCTAGGAAAATGGGTGGGTTTGATAGAGGACATTGATACAAAATTTTTGCAACCAATTTCGCTCGAATTGGACACCGAAATCGTCGTTGGAAATTTTCTGCTACGTGCGTATAGAGAGAAAGTCGCGCTGAGAGAGAGAGAGAGAGAGAGAGAGAGAGAGAGAGAGAGAGAGAGAGAGAGAGGCTAACAGGGTATTTTAAAACCCAACTTCAAAAAATTTACGATTGTGCCACTGCACTTCAGTTGACCAAAACTTCTTCGTTAAAACTCTGATTTGAGCCCATTACATGTCTACGAACTTGTGAAAGCGCTCTACGCAATGGTGCCACTCAAATCCTCAAAATCCTTACGAATCAAAAATTGACTAAAGAGATCCTACCTCGAGGGCAAAATTGTAATTTCACAATTACATAAATTGAATAAAACGATTAAATTAGGTCAATGTGTTACAATTTAATTAAGGTCGTTTTTTATTATTAATTAGGATGATATTGTGAATTTGGGACCTCTTTTTAGGGTCGTTTATTATTATTATTATTTGGGATGATAGTGTGAATTTGGGACCACTTTTTCCCAAATTAAAGGAAGTATTGTAGAATAAAATTATTTTTGTAATAAGAAGTCTTGACTAGTTAGGACAAAGTATTTCAATTATAATTAATTAAACCCTCCTTTCTTGAGCGGTAATTCACTTTTCAGGGTCGGAAAGTGTCAAATTTGAATTCTTTTGTTCTCTATTGCTCAAAATTCACTCATCTCTACAAGAGGTTTGTAGTTCAATTGCTTAACAAATATTTATCCTTGCATCTTAGACCCTAAACTCGATTCCTTCTTCCTCCAATATCACTTGTATAATAAATATCACTTGATGATGAAGTTTAATATTAGCCTTCAAATTGTTTTTTTTTTTTAAAGGATCTTTCCTATTGAAATGGGCCATAATTAATATATTAAACTCACACACACTACACGGATGCTAGGATTCGAACCTAGGACCTTGTCTAAAGAAGCAATTGCTCCGAACTACTAAACTAGTGGGCCCTTTACAGCAATTAAATTGTTTTAACAATTGAAATTAACAACACATAGCGATGTAACCTACATCAAGGCTCAAAAGATACGAGACAGTTTGTGTGGTACTAGCGGAATGCAGTAACTATATCCAATATATGGAGCATGAGGGTGGAATAGGCTGCTGAAACCAAACAAACCTAATTCCTAAGGCAGGCCTTGGTTAAGGTTCCTTTTTTTTTTTTTTTTTTTTTTTTTTTTTTTTTTTTTTTTTTCTCCCTCCCTCCCCTCATTATCACTTACATAACAAAACAAAAACAAAAAATAAATTTCTATTGTATATATGAATGGTCTAGTCAAAAGGTACTCCGTGTAAAAAAAAAACGCAACTTTTTTGCTTTTTCAAGCAACAAACAAGGCTAAGGCTAGGGCTAGGGCTAGCAATTATCTTATCACGCAACAAACAAAGCTTAGGATTTGAAACCTCCGACTTGGCTCGACTAGGCCCGCCTATTTGCCTTGTTTTGTTTTTGTCTTATAGTGCCTTATTTCCATTCTAAACATTTAATTTATTTTTATATTACTCCATTTACTAAAGTTTACAATGTAAATAAGGAAGTACCCTCATTTGGATTCAATTAAAAATACTAGAAAATCAAATTCCCAATAAATCAAAATATGAAAATCTAGTTTTAGTATAAGATACATTTTATACCAATATTGATACCTCAATAAATCAATGTATACTTTATACTAAAATCTCATAAAATCGTATTTCATTATTTAAGATATAAGTAATATATATAAACCACCAATAATATCATTGAAAACATTAGTATTTCAAAAGTTCATTTTTCACACTTAGTTAAATTTTGAGAGAAAACAGTTTTTCAAGTATGATATATAGTCAAATTTTGATGGACAATAATATAGCTACATATCTACTTAAAAAAATGTTTTCTCTCAAAATTTGACTCATGTATTGCATTTGTTTTTTCTTTTTTTTTGAATTTTTTAACAACTTCATTTAAAACTCTTTTTACAATCATGTATATATAAAATTTGTTGAAAAAAGAGATCAATAACTTTATTTAAAATACATTTAAATAGAAAATGACTAGATTATTGTTTGAATTTTAAAATTTGAAACTTGAAAAACAAAATTGTTATTTTGTATATAAAGAAAACATTAAACTTTAATATATATATATATATTATTAGAAATAAGAAATAGACTTGAATTTAAAAAATAAATATAATAATATTATGTATTATTTTTCTCTAAAATAAATATAATTTAAATAAATGAGCTTTACAAGGGCAGTGCTCAAGTCGGCCAGGTCTGTTCGACACCTCTACAACATTCAAAAAGGCTGTAAGAATTAAATGATACCCGACTCAAACTTTGATGAAATACTAATCAACTAGGCTGGGACCAGAATTAGGTTATGCACCTCATGCATCTCTACAAGAGTTTTATAGTGACGCGGTGACCCATTTGTGACGAAGTCATCGCTGAAGAAATTGGTCGGGAACGACATTTGTGTTTTTATAGTGGGAAATAATCAGCATGTATTGTAACTTAATTGGTAGGTTTATTTATAAGTTATTATGGGTTGAGAATGTATTGTAACTTAATCAAATTGATAAAACTCTCGTCCTTAATAATGATATTGAGATGACTTAAATTGGTTATGCAAAAGAACCCCACATATCATCAAGCTAGATGCAGATGGATTGAACTTTCCCACTCAATACTTGAAAAGTAAACTCCCAAGTCTTCCCATTGAAAGTCTTGCATCAATGAGTATCCCCACCCCCACCACGTTGATTTTTTATGGTAATTATCTTGGATTTATTAATTAAAATTATATAGTGAAGCGGGATATTACAATTCTTTGGTTTAAGGGGTTTTAGTAATCATATTGGTTTTTAAGGTTAATAAACATTGTAGTGTAGTGAAAATCAACTTTTTTCTCATTCATCCTTGCTTCGATTCCTTCATACTCCAATTTTGATTTATTCCCATTCTAAATACAAACCAAGTCATGTACCCTCGTAACATTTTACTATATTCAAAAGGGTGCGACTATTTGAATTAAACTTTCTTTAAAAAATTTTAAAAAAATTTTAAAATCAACATAACCCACTTCTTTTTTCCAACAAAAAAAAGTAGCAACAATTTTTTATTTTTAAGAAAGGGTAAAATTGTGAATTAGGCTTAGTAGTTGCACGAAATGAAGTAAATCGGCATTGAATTGAGGGCGAGAAGTTTGAAAGAAGTTGATCAGTGCATAATTACATATTATTTTGTACCATTCTAGCTTTTGATTTCGTTATATTTTTGAGTTAAACTTGTACTTTTAATATCTTTTGTGTTTGTTTTAGTGTATTAAGCTTTGAGACTTATTTAATGCATTTTGGAGTCAAGTTAGCTTAAAACTGTGTCTACGGATCAATCAAATTCACGGATTGGACTGTACTTTCTCAGGGCGAACTAGATAGTGAGCCATACATCATTAGAAAGATGTGAAAGTTTAATTTCTGGAACATTCCAGAAAATCTACTTCAGGATACCTGATTACATTTTCAGGGGGAGCAGTTTCGTGGCAATCAAAGTTACAGAAATGTGTTGCTCTATCAACTACAGAGGCAGAGTTTATTGCAGCTACTGAAGTATGCAAAGAAATGCTCTGGATGAAGCGATTCCTACAAGAACTAGGACAAGAGCAGCATAAATACATTTTGCATTGTGATAGTCAGAGTGCAATCCACTTGAGCAAGAATCCGAGTTTTCACTCAAGGTCGAAGCACATTGATGTGCGATATCACTGGATACGTGATGTGTTGGAGTCAAAGCAATTACAGCTTGAGAAAATCCATACTGATGACAATAGTTCAGATATGATGACCAAGTCCTTACCTAAGGACAAGTACGAATTTTGCAGAAGAACAGCTGGACTGCTGGAGCCCTCCACCTAAGTCAGGAGGGGGAGATTGATGGGTTTCCCTCGTTAGTGGAGGAGAGAAAAAGAAGGAAAATAAATATTAAAATAAAATAAAAGAAAGGACAGGAAAATTTGAAGAAAACGAACGGAAGAGAAAATGAGAAAAACTCTCTCGCATGCAAGGCCACCAATTGTCAGGAACATTGGCTATAAAAGCAGCTGCCTTCCTTCAGTTCAGATCATCCTTTAGAAAACCAAAACATAGAGAGTTTTGAGAGATAAGAAAACCTCACTTGTGTGAGAGAGAAGATCCTCTTGAGAGAAAAACCAAGAGAGAGTTTAGCCACCGGTGTTTGGTGAGATTATTTTTGTATTCCCATTATTTTTCTTAGTGGAAGATAGAGTGTTAATTTTGTCCATTTTATTTACACAAGGCTGGGAGAAGTCAGGGGAGTGCCATATTTATTTATTGGCTCTTTGATTTTTCGCAATCTTTCCCAACATATTTCATGACTCACTTACCAAGTTGGGCATTCGTGACATATATGCACCAACTTGAGGAGGAGTGTTGAAGAATACACGAGTCTCACATTGGAAACTTAACAAAAAAAAAGTCTCATATAATAATGGTTCCACTCCTAATAACATCGAGACCTTTTGTATAAAGCCCCACACCTGCTAAACAAGTGGTTAAGTTGGGGACAATATCAATGTTATTGAATCAAAAATCAAACAAACCCCAAATTAAAAATTGTAAAAAGAAAAAATCACTCAGTAAATTGTGAAGTAGCCAATTAGGATCTCGTAATTCCTTCTTTGCAGCACAGAACAGGGCTGGAGAATCTAATTTGTGCTCTTCTTTCTGCCGAGGCTAATATGAATAATGCACGTTCTCATACTGAACTGTCCATTCAGCTACTTAATACATGACAAAGATAAACTCGTAATCTGCAGACATCAATTTCTTCATATTTTCCTTTATTAGGCAATCATGTTAAGTAATCAACCAACAGGCAATGCCCAGAAACATGTACTTCTACAATACGATCATTAAATTTACAGTATACGTGCCATTAGAAACAAAATGAATCATCAATCTTTAGTTTTTTTTTCCTTTCACTTTTCTGACCTTCAGAAGATTGACCGTATTAAGACCAGAAAGACGACTTTTGCTTTCTTGCTTTTCTACTATCTCAGTCACTTCTAGAATTACATCTTCCATTACTAACTTTTGAAACATTACAGCAACCTGCAATATGCAAAAGCCTCAAAAACATTATCGCTGGAAGGGAAGTTAAGACAGTAGAAAACAAGACCTTACATCGTAGTCAAACAACTTGTTACGTTCCAATTCTAGCTTATTATCACAAATAGTTCATGAGGTCTGAGAAAACATCAGTAACTTCAGTTTGTTAACATAAATCAATATACGCTAATATAGCTATGATGCAAAATGTATAAATATTTAGTGAATATGTAGTCCACTTTTGATGCACAATAATATAGATTACTATATATCCACTTGAAAAAATGTTCTCTCAAAATTTGACTCATGTATTGCAATTTTTTTTTCTTGTAATTTTTTTACAACTTCATTTAAATCATTTTTACAATCATGTATATACAAAATTTGTTGAAAAAAGAGGCTAATAACTTTATTTAAAGTACGATTAAATAAAAAATGACTAGATTATTGTTCAGATTTTAAAAATTAAAACTTGAAAAATAAAATCATTATTTTATATATAAAGAAAACACTAAACTTTAATATATATATATATATATATATATTATCAGAGAAAGGAAATAGACTTGAATTTACAAAACACATACCTTTGTTGATCAGTAATTGCAGTTTAAACCATGTTGAAACCTGTCATCAATGAACGAACCTATATGTTCCTAAACTAAGTAATTGAGCTAGTACAAGATCGAAACAATTGCAAGCAACATTAGAAGATAGAATGTCCCCAAAAACTTGGTACAAAACGAAACAAAAGGAATGGAATTACAATAATATTATAAAATATCAATTATTCATAATAAGAGGCCTACAAGCCCGGATCTTTGCTCTATCAGCTCTTATTTTCGTACATCGAACACACACCATTAAACCTAAAGCATGTTAGAACAGACTACTTGTTTCTTTTTATTGATCATGTCCTTCTTCAATTGGTTTATGCTAACTTTGGTTCCGCTTCTTCTTCTCCTAAACTATAGGATGCAGCACCAGCTGGAGCCTTCGTCAGGTCTGGTGTTGGTGTTGCCAACTCCTTGGATCCCAACATTCTTGGCGCATTCATGTGCAACAACTCTATTGCCAGCAACGGTGAGATCAGGTTGACCTGGTCCATTGAAAGAGTTCTGTATCCCAACACCCTCAGCGCCCGGCTCTGCTTTAATGTCGTTGTCGATAATCTGGTTCCTATGGCTGCCGCCTCCTCCCTTACTCATATTCACTTTAGAGAGTTTAATATTAAGAGTTTGAGTGCTTGATGAAGTATAGGTGTTTGCCTGCCCTCTCCCTTATATAACTGGATAAAAGTTCAAGTTCTCGCTAGCAAAGTTTGATTGTAAAGTAAAAGTGAGCATGGTGACGAAGAAAAATAAGTACCAGTGGGCTCGGAGTCTGACAAACGATATATTTAATAGTCACATTTCTTTTAAGCAACTACAAAATAAAAAGGAAGCAATAGTCAAATTTTTTTAAGTAACTAACTTATTTTGGTGACAATTATGGGTGGTCAATGCTATTAGTCACCATTTTTTGTGTCTAATGATTTAAATATAATAAATTTTGTTGTAGCTAACACATGAATAGTAATAATGTAATCTATTTATATATATATAAAGCAAAAAACAGAGAATGGTGAAACATTCAAAATACCAGAAAATGTCATTGGTTAATTCAAACATTATGAATTAAATAATGATAATATGATAAATTCACATTTTTTTCATATTAAAAAATTAAAATTAAATACGAAATCAAATAATAGGTCATACTTTTATGGAACATAACTACCCATATTATTTTTTCTTAATTCTCAAAATAAAATAAAAAATAAAACCATTCGGCACATTTGTGAGCATATGCCAAGGAGCTAGTAAAATATAAGAGGATAAGCTTTTCCATAATAAAATACTAGCCCCATTGGCACATGCTCACACATGTGTCAATTGGTTTTCTTTTTTCTTTTTTCTTTTATTTTTAGAATTAAGAAAAGATAACATGGTAGTTATGTTCCATAAAAGTAGAATCTATTATCTGATTTTTTTTTAAATATAAAAAATGTGAATTTACCATATTATCCTCATTTAATTAATAATTTTAATTCTTCATGTTTGAATTAACTAAGAGCATTTTCTGGTATTTTGAATGTTTTACCATTCTCTGCCTTTTGCTTTATATATATATAGATTTACAATGATAATTTAATAAAAATAAATGGATGAAATCTTTCTCACTAACCAAGGCTTTCACTCTATATAATTAGTAATAGTTACTCTAAAAAAAAATTATAATAAAAAAATGTGAGAGCATGCATGTGCATCTGAAGATGTGCCCAAACCTACCCCTCTTTTTCTTTCTTTTGTAATTTTTATTCTCCCCATATCTCATCTCTCCCAACGCCTTCATTTTTTATTTTTTTTTCCCATCTTCTTCTTCCATCCGTCACTTTCCATCTTTTCCTCTCTTTTATTTATTCTTTCCTCCTTCTCTCCTTAGAAAGGTAAAGGATTTGTTTTTTTTGAAGTTTTCATGTGGGTTTAAATTCACGAATGATTTTCAGTTTTATTTATGAGACTCAATTGGGGAAAGCTTCCACCATCTCTCAACTTTCTATTAAAATCCTTTTCAGATCATAGTTTTTTATATGTAAAGCCCAACCGACGCCGACATTGTTTGCACAGAATTGGGTGATGGGTATTTTGGTTTGAGTGTTGTAATCTGTTTTTCGGTAAGAGATTTGGGGATTTGGTTTTTGGTAAGGGATCCGAATTTCAGCTAAAAATAAAAATAAAAAATAATTGGAAATTGTTATGATTGTGAAAAATATAATACACAAATATAACACAAATAATAATGGAAAGGATTTCTTTAAAAAAAATAATGAAACGATGTTGGACAGCGCAGTCAAATCAAATTAAATAATAAAACATAAATATTGTTTGATTAGACATGATGTGGGGCCCGCTTTGGAGCAATTGGATGGTCTACACAATTTGTTATGAAATGGTGTTTTAATAGTACTAATGGCTTTAGTCATGAATATTTGTGGCTAATACTGCCAAAAGCCACGGCTAATACTGCCAAAAGTCACGAAAAAAAAAGTGACAGTTGTGTGTTTTTTTTGTAGTGTTCTCCTCAAGTTCATTTTCTTTTGCATCGAATCCGTCATTATTTTGTTTTTTCTGTTCTAAGACCCGGTGATTAAGGGCAATGAGAAAAAAATGAAAGCCAACCTTTTGACCAAAATGGAAGTGACCATCCTAGTGGTGCTTGCTTAGGTCACCAACTTAGGTCATTTGGTGCTCTATTGACGATGAAGGGATTATTTGGGATGATGGTGTGAATTTGAGACCTCCTTTTTCCAAATTAAAGGGAAGTAGTTTTAGAATAAAATTATTTTTGTAATAAGAAGTCTTGACTAGTTAGGACAAAGTATTTCAATTATAATTAATTAAACCTTCCTCTCTTTAGCAGTAATCCACTTTTCAGGGCTGGAAGTGTCGAATTTGAATTCACTTGTTCTCTATCGCTTAAAAATCACTCATTTTTAAGAGGTTTGTAGTTCTATTGCTTAACAAATATTTGCCCTTGCATCTGAGGTTCTAGACTTGGTTCATTCTTTCTCCAATATTGATTGTATAACAAATATTGCTTGATGGAGTTTAATATTAGCTTTCAATTTTGTTTTTCCAAAGACCTTTCCTATTGAGAGGGGCGATAATACACTAAAGTTACACACACTACACAGATGCTAATACTCGAACCCAGGACCCTAGTATCATTACTTCCATTATTAGTATTTTTAGTTCTTGGTGGGGGTTGTGTAATAATTTCAGCATTATTCGCCATCTGTTTTGCAATTGTTGAGTTTCAATTTAATTCCCTCATTAAAAAGGAATTACAGTAATATTGAGTATTCATAATAAGAGGGCTACAAGCCTGGATCTTCGCTTTTATTTTCGCACATCAAACACACACCATTAAACCTAAACCATTATGGACATCTTATGGGCAGTGTATGCTAACTCTGAACTCAGCGTCCCCAAAACCATCATGTGTCGGTTTCTTCGAAGGAGTCAACTTGTTTTTCTTGCCGTGACCTTTTTTTTATAGACGTGGGTGTTGCCAAACCCGAAATTCCCACCTTCTCTGAAGTCATTGCCGCCTCTGCCACCAGATGCCATAATTTCATTTCCATGAATGTGCGATAAACGTTCTTACCATGCATATAAAACATAGGACATATATATAATGATATTGCGATGACTTAAATCGGTTATGCAAGAACCCTACATATCATCAAGCTAGATACAGATGGATTGAATTTAACAGATGAGATCAAACCAACGGTGGATAATGAACTTGTTAGATGCAGATGGAAAATGGACAAGTGCATGTGGAATCAGTATTACAAGTCCGTTAACTGACTTTCCCACTGAAGACTTAGAAAGTGAACTCCAAGTTTTTCTTCCCATTGAAAGTCTTGCATCAATGAGTACCCCCACACCACCACGTTGATTTTTTATTTATTTCTTTTCCAAAATCATTGACATTTAGCATCTATGAGGTGAGATTTCTTTTTTTCTTTGTTTTCCAAAAAGAAATAATATAAAAGTGAAGTAAAAAGAAATTAATAGAGTAAAGGTAGAATAGGAAAGAGAAAAAACAAAGAAGAACAAAATTGATTAAAAAGTAAAGGAAGTGGGAAAATCGACTCCCATAAAAGCTTATTATCACAAATAATTCATGAGAAAGGTAAAGGATTTGTTTTTTTGAAGTTTTCATGTGGGTTTAATTTCAAGAATGATTTTGGGTTTTATTTCTGTGTGGGTTTTATTTATGAGACTCAATTGGAAAGCTTCCACCATCTCTCAACCTTCTATTAAAATCCTTTTCAGATAAGAGTTTTTTATATGTGAAGCCCAACCGACGCCGACATTGTTTGCACAAATCTGATTGTGATTTCAGCAAAGAATTGGGTGATGGGCATTTTGGTTTGAGTGTTGTAATCTGGTTTTCGGTAAGGGATTTGGGGATTTGGTTTTTGGTAAGGGATCCGGATTTCAGCTAAAAATAAAAATAAAAAGGAATTGGAAATTGTTATGATTGTGAAAAATATAATACACAAATATAACACAAATAATAATGGAAAGGATTTCTTTAAAAAAAAAATGAAACGATGTTGGACAACGTAGTCAAATCAAATTAAATAATAAAACATAAATATAGTTTGATTAGACATGATGTGGGGCCCGCTTTGGAGCAATTGGATGGTCTACACAATTTGTTATGAAATGGTGTTTTAATAGTACTAATGGCTTTAGTCATGAATAGTCGTGGCTAATATTGCCAAAAGTCACGGCTAATACTGCCAAAAGTCACGAAAAAAAAAGTGACTGTTGTGTGTGTTTTTTGTGGTGTTCTCCTCAAGTTCATTTTCTTTTGCATCGAATCCATCATTATTTTGTTTTTTCTGTTCTAAGAGCCGGTGATTAAGGGCAATGAGAAAAAAATGAAAGCCAACCTTTTGACCAAAATGGAAGTGACCATCCTAGTGGTGCTTGCTTAGGTCACCAACTTAGGTTGGTGCTCTATTGACGATGAAGGGATTATTTGGGATGATGGTGTGAATTTGAGACCTCCTTTTTCTAAATTAAAGGGAAGTAGTTTTAGAATAAAATTATTTTTGTAATAAGAAGTCTTGACTAGTTAGGACAAAGTATTTTAATTATAATTAATTAAACCTTCTTCTCTTTAGTAGTAATCCACTTTTCAGGGCTGGAAGTGTCGAATTTGAATTAACTTGTTCTCCATCGCTTAAAAATCACTCATTTTTAAGAGGTTTGTAGTTCTATTGCTTAACAAATATTTACCCTTGCATCTGAGGTCCTAGACTTGGTTCATTCTTTCTCCAATATTGATTGTATAACAAATATCGCTTGATGGAGTTTAATATTAGCTTTCAATTTTGTTTTTCCAAAGAACTTTTCTATTGAGAGGGGCGATAATATACTAAACTTACACACACTACACAGATGCTAATACTCGAACCCACCTTCTCTGAAGTCATTGCCGCCTCTGCCACCAGATGCCATAATTTCATTTCCATGAATGTGCGATAAACGTTCTTACCATGCATATAAAACATAGGACATATATATAATGATATTGAGATGACTTAAATCGGTTACGCAAGAACCCCACATATCATCAAGCTAGATGCAGATGGATTGAATTTAACAGATGGGATCAAACCAATGGTGGATAATGAACTTGTTAGATGCAGATGGAAAATGGACAAGTGCATGTGGAATCAGTATTACAAGTCCGTTGACTGACTTTCTGACATCAATGGTCCATTTGAACTTTCCCACTGAAGACTTAGAAAGTGAACTCCAAGTTTTTCTTCCCATTGAAAGTCTTGCATCAATGAGTACCCCCACCCCACCACGTTGATTTTTTATTTATTTCTTTTCCAAAATCATTGACATTTAGCATCTATGAGGTGAGATTTCTTTTTTTCTTTGTTTTCCAAAAAGAAATAATATAAAAGTGAAGTAAAAAGAAATTAATAGAGTAAAGGTAGAATAGGAAAGAGAAAAAACAAAGAAGAACAAAATTGATTAAAAAGTAAAGGAAGTGGGAAAATCGACTCCCGTAAAAGCTTATTATCATAAATAATTCATGAGATTCAAGAAAATATCAAATAAAATAAAATTTTCAGTTTCTTGTTATACATCAGTTACTTCAGTTTGTTAATTAACATAAATCAATATACACTAATATAGCTATGATGCAAAATGTATAAATATTTGGTGAATATGTTTTTTTTTAAAAACTAATCCCTGTTCGTATTTGGCATGGGACTGTGTAACTGTATCTGAACAAATGTACTCCAACTCATTTATTATTTGCCGTTAGATGAAGTCAAATTGAGAGATATGTTTGTGCCCTAATTTTACTTATCTTGTTCAGGTTTTTTGAGCCTCTTTGGTTCATGTATTCTAGCTGTTCAATGATAATTTTGTTTTTATTATGGCAATTATCTTGGCTTTATTAATTAAAATTATATTGGTTTTTCAGGTTAATAAACATTGTAGAGTAGTGAAAATCAACTTTTTTTCTCATTCATCCTTGGTCCAATTCCTTCAAAACTTAATTCATCCTTGCTTCGATTCCTTCATACTCCAATTTTGATTTATTCCCATTATAAATACAAAACCAAGTCATGTACCCTTGTAACATTTTACCATATTCAAAAGGGTGCGACTATTTGAATTAAACTTTCTTTAAAAAAAAATTAAAAAAAAATGTAACCCACTTCTTTTTTTCCAAAAAAAAAGTAGCAACAATTTTTAATTTTTAAGAAAGGGTAAAATTGTGAATTAGGCTTAGTAGTTGCACGAAACGAAGTAAATTGGCATTGAAGCGAGGGCGAGAAGTTTGAAAGAAGTTGATCGGTGCATAATTACATATTATTTTGTACCATTCTATCTTTTGATTTCGTTATTTTTTTGAGTTAAACTTGTACTTTTAATCTCTTTTGTATTTGTTTTAGTATATTAAGCTTTGGGACTCATTTAATGCATTATGGAGTCAAGTTAGCTTAAAACTGTGTCTGCAGATCAGTCAATTCACGGATTGGACTGTACTTTCTTAGGAAGAACCAGATAATGAGCCATGAATCATTAGAAAGATGAGGAAGTCTAGTTTCTAGAGCATTTTACGGTTCATGATTCGAATTCTTCTAGAGGAAGTTATGCAAGTTTTGGCAACTTAAGTGAAATTGAGCAGCATCTGCACTACTGTGCCAAAAATGACATTGAAGGTCTTTCCAATTTTTTCTTGAGCTGGGCTACATATGGTTAGAAAGATAAGACGAAGAACTTCAAGATCCATATTTATCCAGAATTTTATCAATGAAGTAACAAGCCCAAAATGAGCCTACAAGAATACTGCAACGCATTATCATGCATGATCCATGCATGAGCTAATTGTTTTTGGTGGGGAAGTTAGATAAAGTTGGTGAAGTGGGTGTTGTAAGTAGAAGCAATACTCAATTTAGATTTTTACTTCCCTTAGGCCTAGAAATAGTGAGGTTCCCCGAGTTTATAAACACACCCCAAGGTGGGGAGCTCTCAAACATCTATCTAGAGCTCATCTCCCTTCTCTTCTTCAAAATCTCTTAGTTCTCAAAAACACCTCTTCTTTCTCTTCATCAAATTCTCTAAGCTCTCAAACACCTCTCCCTTCTCTTCTTCAAAATCTCTTAGTTCTCAAATACACCCCAAGAGGAGGGGGTGATTTAGCTCTCAAACACCTCTCTAGAGCTCCTTTCCCTTCTCTTCCTCAAATTCTCTAAGTTCTGAAACACACCCTAAGGGGAGGAGCTCTCAAAAACTTCTCTAGAGCTCCTCTCCCTTCTCTCCCTCAAATTCTCTTAGTTTTCCTTTTTAGTTATTAATTGTTGTAACAAAACTTTTTTTTTTTCCTTTAAGTTTTTCTGAGTTGTACTTTATTTTTCGTTGTAATGTAATTTCTTATTTTAAATTTTCAAGTTTGATTAGTTTCCAAGTTTCAATTACGATTCTTGTTCTTATTCATTATCTTATAAGTTAATATGCTTGTTTGAATGATTCATCACCATTAAAACTTGTATATTAGCTATCTTGGTTGGAATTGAGAGTAGACACCATATGCTTTAATTCGAATTGAACTATGAATAAGAAGAGTATGTATGGACATTCGACAACAGAGAACATGCTTGGTTGTTGAAAATGTATGGATTTTGTAATTTTCTTTTGGCTTCCCTTGACAAGTTTGTAACAGGAAAATCATTGTATTTTCTCAAGCTCAAGTTTATATTAAGAATTAAATCATACACGACTCAAAATCTAATGAAACTTAACTAGTAAAACGATACTAATCAACTAGGTACAAAAACACACCTTTGTTGGTCAGTAATTGTAGTTTAAACCATGTTGAAACCTGTCATCAATAAATGAACCTATATGTTCCTAAACTAAGTAATTGAGCTTGTACAAGATCGAAACAATTGCAAGCAACATTAGAAGATAGAATGTCCCCACAAACTTGGTACAAAACAAAACAAAAGGAATGGAATTACAATAATATTATAAAAAATTAATTATTTATAATAAGAGGCCTACAAGCCTGGATGTTTGCTCTATCAGCTCTTATTTTCGTACATCGAACACACACCATTAAACTTAAAGCATGGAAGAACAGACTATTTTTTTCTTCTTATTGATCACGTCCTTCTTCAATTGGTTTATGCTAACTTTGGTTCCGCTTCTTCTGCTCCTAAACTATAGGATGCAGCACCAACTGGAGCTTTCGTCAGGTCTGCGTTGGTGTTGCCAACTCCTTGGATCCCAACATTCTTGGCGCTTTCACGTGCAACAACTCTAATGCCAGAAACGTTGCGACCACCTTGACGTGGTCCATTGAAAGAGTTCTGTATCCCAACATTCTCACTGCCCGGTTCTGCTATAATGCCATTGCCAACAATTTGGTTCCTACTGCTACCGCTTCCTTCCTTACTGCTACTACATTTTACTATTTGCGCGATGAAGGAAAGTTCATCGCACAAGAGTACTTTGGCGACGAAAAATATGTACGGTAGCGATAACTCGTATCAAGCAACTGGCGCGACACAAACATAAATCGTCGCGCAAAGAAAGCAGAAAAAACGCTGGCCAACTTTTATTGGTGTGAAACAATTGCATGACGAGGAATTTTCTCGCGTAAAAAACTTAGCACGACGAAAAAAGAATACGTCGTGCAATTGTAAGAAAGGAAATATTTATGTGGCGCCAAAACTTTGCGCGATGAAAGAGAGCATTTCCATTGCGCAAAAAAAAAACGCGGGAATTGGTTTTTGGCACCAAAATCGCTCGACCAGTGGACCTTTCGTCGCGTAAAATTAGATGTCGACTGCTTGTTGCGCGACGAGATGTTGAATTTGAGCGACGAAAACTGATGCGACGAAAAAATATTCATTGTTGTGCTAAAGTTGGATGTCGACGCATACTTGCGCGACGAAAATTTAGACTTGCGCGACGAATGTGGGAGTTTTGCGCGACGAAATATGTTCTTTGTGCGACAAAATCTTGCGCGACGAAGTATGTATTCGTCGCGCAAAAGTTAGTCTTCTTCAAATATGAGTTACGCCATGGCAAAGACAGAAAGCTGAGAATTTCTGCCTTTGCTGCTGCTGCTTCTGCTTCTGCTAGGAATTCACTACATTTAGTAGGTGAGTATATTTTGTCATTAGTTTGAGTGTATTCATGTAAATTCATACTAATGCTATTAATTTCGTTCTCTACAGAGATATTTTGTGTGATTAGCGGTTGGTGGAGAACAATTGAGAAGGTATTTTATTTGTTTTATATTTGAATAATTTAAATTCATTACATTGTGTTAAACTTAGGTTGTTATGTTTTTTTTTATTTGTTAAATTGTGTGTGGCGGAGCACAATGTGTTGTAATGTACGAAGTTAATTGAAATTAACTTCGTACATATTTTTTTATTTTTAGTTAAACTTAGTTTCCCGTTTGAGAGTAGTTGGATTTCGTGCATGGATGCGTAATGCATGACTGCGGTCCAATTATTTCTTGAATTGTCCCATTATTTGGACAGTTTGGGAATGCATAGGCATGTCATGTAATTTACGGCTACATGATTAGGTTTCGGTTGTGGTGATTTCGGTGTCATCTCTATACGTTCTTCGGGTGGTACGTAGGTATTTTGTACTTACGGTACACCTCAAAAACTGTATCGAGATGCTGCTGGAATTTATCCACGTCGAAATGTAATCTCATGTAGCTATAAATTATGTGACATGACTATGCATTCCCGAATGGGATTGGACCCTTACCGGAGGCATAAGGAGAGGAATTATGATTTCGTATGAAGTGGTTGTGATTGTTGTATTTTGATTGTGGTTCCAAGAATTATGAACAGGAGGTGGATACAGAATCCGAATAGATGCGCAGAGGAATACTTGGATGGAATCAATGATTTTATTGACTTTGCACGTACACACAACCCGGGTGCAACTAGAATTTGATGTCCGTGTAGGAGGTGTTACAACACATTGTGGGAGACAATTGAAAATATTTGATTTCATTTAGTAAGAAGTGGAATGATTGAGACATATAGCACTTGGAACCGTCACGGGGAACAATTAGACAAAGCTTCCTCTTCAAAGGCCACAAGAGTGGACAATGTTGAACCTATTTTGGATCCTAATGAACAAGTCATGGATATATAAATGATGCTTTTCCATTTGCATCGACCAACATCAGTCAAGAAGAGGAAGATGACATGCCTACACCAATGGACAATGCGGAGTTCGAATAGTATGAAAAATTGTTAAAAAATGCCAACAAAAAGTTATACCCGGGGTGCGAGAGTTTTTCCGTTCTTACGGCCATTGTGGAGCTAATGCAGGGAAAAATAAAGTATCGTATGTCGAACGAGTATTTCGATTACTTTTTGGGCTTTTTCAAGAGAATGCTTCCGACGGACAATTGTTTGCCAAAAGACCATAGACACGCGCAGAAGGTCTTGAATAGCCTTGGATTGGGTTATGAAAAAAATTCACGCATGCAAAAGCAATTGCATGTTATTCTACAAAGAGAACAAAACATTGGATACATGCCCTATATACAATGAGTCGAGGTTTAAAATGACTTCTCATAATAGAATGAGTAAGATCCCACAAAAAGTTATGGGTTATCTGCCCCTGAAACCTAGGTTGCAGCGATTGTATATGTCGAAGCATACTGCCACAGACATGAGATGGCATAAGGAAAAATGGGTAGACGACGATGTGATGCGACATCCTGCAGATGGGGAGGCACGGAAAGAGTTCGATCGAACGTTCCCCGAGTTTGCTGCTGATTTCCAAAATGTTAGATTGGGACTTGCCACTGACGGTTTCAATCCATACGGGGTTCCCATATAATTTGCCGCCTTGGAAATGCATGAAAAAAGAATACATGATGATGACTGTATCGATAACTGAGGATCCTGGCAGGTCAATCGATGTGTACTTAAGGCCGTTGGTTGATGAGCTGAAGGATTTATGGACAAACGATGTGCGTACGTTCGATAAATCGACTGGGAAGATGTTCACTTTACGGGCAGCAGTTATGTGGACTGTGAATGATTTTCCCGCATATGCAATGGTTTCTGGATTAAGCACAAAGGGTTATATGACATGCCCTGTATGCAAGGAAGATGTAACTTCTGGTTCGCATGCTAGAAAAGTTTGTTATCTTGGTCATCGGAGATGGTTGTCATGGGACCATGAGTGGCGGACAAAGGATAAAGAGTTCGACGGAAACATAGAGCGTCCCCTCAGACCGAGGGAATGGTCCGGTGATGAGATCTTGGAACAGTTTAACCGTTTGGATTTTGCTCCGTTCGGAAAAACAGTTAGTCGGCTCAGACCTTCTACACATTTGAATTGGACGCACAAGTCTATGTTTTTTAAGCTACCATATTGGTCGAAACTAAAATTAAGGCACAATCTCAAGTTATGCATGTTGAGAAAAATGTGTTTGACACATTGATGGGACGATTCTAGATATCAAGGGGAAGACAAAGGACATGAAGGGGTTTATGGATGAACAGGGACATCGATAAAGCTAGAAGGGATCTTGCATTTTTTTTCCATCAAACCAAGTGACAAAGAAGATTTTCTAAAGTTTGTATCGTATGTAAAGTTTCCTGATAGGTATGCTTCTAATATTGCGCGTTGCGTAAATGTTGACGGGGGTAAATTTGCTGGACTAAAGAGCCATGACTGTCATGTGTTTATGCAACGCCTACTTCCTGTGGGTATTCGACACCTATTGCCGGAAGATGTAGTGAAACCAATCATGTAGTTGTCCAGATTTTTTTCACAACTCAAGGTGAAAACATTGCGAAAGACAGACATTAATCAGTTGCGGCATGACATTGTCCAAGTCCTATGCAAGTTTGAGATGATATTCTCTCCAGCTTTCTTTACAAGTATGATCCACGTGATGATTCACTTGCCAGAAGAGGCATTGCTTGCTGGTCCTGTCAACTATCGTTGGATGTATCCAATAGAAAGGTACGCTTGTTCCTCATCATTTGTTTATGCTTCATTATCCCACGCTTGCTAATTTAAATCGAATCGTTTTTTTTTTGCAGGCCTCTCGGCGAGCTGAAAAAAACTGTATGCAACAGGACGAAGCCCGAAGGATCAATTATAGAGGCATGGGTTCAATATGAGTCGCTTACTTTCTGTGGAATGTATTTAAAAGATGTCGAGACGACTTTCAATCGTCTTCAGTGCAGTAATGACGAAAGTGTGAGAAATGAGAAACTTTCTGTTTTTGTCCAAAGCGCACGACCCTTTGGAGATCCTGCACGAGGAGAGTCATTTTCCAGAAATGATATGGAGGTAGCGTATTGATTCGCACTAAACAATTGTGATGAGATAATGACATAGATGAACATGAGGAGATGATGAAGCGAGAACATCCATCACATTTGTATGCCAAGAAACACCGTGAATTGTTTCCACAATGGTTTTTAGAATATGTAAGTTATAATTGTTTTTCACATATATATATTCTACTATTTAATATTCTCAAACTAACATACTCCGTTTTGTACACTATTAGGTGAATAAGTTGAAATCATCGAATTCCCCCACTTACAGTGAAGAGTTATATAACTTGGCGTTCGGGCTGAATTATTCTTGGGTTGTCATGTTAATGGCGTTAAGTTTTTGGGGACTGCACGAGATGACAAGTTGTGTACGCAAAACAGCGGTGTCCATGTCCCAGGGGGAGGCAAAAGTACGGACATTGATTTCTATGGCAAACTCACAACTGTCGTGCAATTGCTTTGCAAAGACCGATACCAAGTCATCATGTTTAAGTGTCGATGGTTTGATACAAACCCAAGTCGAATGACTCTTTCTTCAACCCTCGTTACATATAAAATGGAAACAATAAAATCCAAACACACCTTATATAAACACAGAATCTAAAATAAAAACAGAATAAATTAAAGGCTACGGCGATGGCAGTAATGGGAACAACTCAGAAATCATGGAAGCTCATTTTAGGATCCACCTTCTTCCCGGTACCCTGCCCTCTTCCCCTATATCCACCTCTCCTTGATCCTCTAACCCTATCTCTTCCACCCATGCGCTTGAAAAATGATTTGCCATATTTCATCTTAATTTTGAAAATTATCTACATTCTGGAAAATGTATGTTCCATGCCAAAGAAAAAATAAGAATACAAAAATCATATTTACCGACCTTGATTTCAACTTGTGATGCATATCATATTAAAATATAGGTTGATGTTTTTTATGTTAAAGTATAAGTGTGTTAGCTGAGTATTTGTGTTACATGATTTAATTGTATTGAATTAAGTGTGAACCATTGGATCACAGTCCAATGAACAGCTAAGATGTTTTTCTAGTTGTAGTAACAAATTATTCCAGGTGTTGCTATCTCATAGGATAGTTAAATTGATGGTTAGATTTGAATGATGTAAACAGGAAATATTCTATTCCCAACGGTTATATTGTACTGCACAGCTTGTGCGTGACTAAGGGAGAGAATAGACTTAATTTTCTCATCTTCTTCTCCAAGCTCTCTGCATTCTCTTTTCTTAACTGAGCTTCATCTACCAATAATCCAAATTAATCAGATCATAATCTGAGTATTCTAACATGGCCTCAGAGCAAGGTTTGATTGTTTAGCTGGGCGATTGAATTTGTGAAAAAAGTGAGCTGTGATTTGAAGAACTTGATTTCTTGAAGATCTGTGTCTAACATGGCAGGGTTTGGAGGTGGTGAGCTGCGAGCTCCGATCTTCAATGGTGAGAACTATGAGTTCTGGAGCATAAGAATGAAATCCATTTTCAAATCTCATGGGTTATGGGAACTTGTTGAGAAAGGGATAGAGAGCTCAGATTCGAAGGGAGCCGATGAATCTGATGCAAAGAAGAAAGAAACAGAGGAATCGAGTGGTGTTGGGAAGATGATTCTCACTGAGATCCTGATGAAAGATGCTAAGGATTTGGGGCTGATTCAGGGAGTAGTTTCTGATGAGATCTTCCCTAGGATTTCTCATGAAGAATCGTCTCAAAGGGCTTGGAATATCTTGAAGCAGGAATTTCATGGTGATAAGCAGGTAAGGAGTGTCAAGTTACAAAGTCTTCGTAGAGAATTTGAATATACTAGAATGAGAGAGGATGAATCATTATCTGCTTATCTTAAAAAAAATTTTTGATCTGAGTAATCAAATGAGAGGCTATGGAGAAGAGTTGTCTAGAGAAAGAATTGTGCATAAAATGTTAATTAGTCTGTTGCTTGTGTATGATCCTATTTGTTATGTAATTGAGCATTCGAGGGATCTAGATGCGATTGAGGTTCAAGAGGTGGTTGCCTCATTGAAGAGCTTTGCACAAAGATTGGAGAGACATCATGAGAACAAGACTGAGAAGGCTTTGGCTAGTATGAGTGTAGATTCCAAATCAGCTAAGGTCATTGGAAATCAGAATAGCAAGCATCAGAAGAATTGGAAGGATAAGGGCAAAAAGTGGGATAACAAACCTGCTGATGGAGCTAAAAATTCTTGCAAACATTGTGGGAAATTGCATTTTCGAGAGTGTCGATTCAAGGGCAAACCGAAATGCTATAACTATGACAAGTTTGGTCACATTGCAAAAGACTGTTATAGTAAGAAACCTATGCAGCAGCAGCTCCAGTATGCTACTTAGGTAACCTCTACACCAACTATGTTCTATGTCAATAATGCAGCTGACAAAAGGTCCATGGACGATGTATGGTATTTGGACAGTGGTTGTAGTAACCATATGACTGGCAGAGAAGATGTTTTGACTGATATTGATAGGAGTATAACGGCAAAGGTTGCAATGGGGATAGGACAGTTGGTCAATGTTATTGGAAAAGGAAGCTTGATGGTTGAAACTAAGATGAGAAAAAGATATATTAAGGAGGTGCTGTTAGTATCTGGTCTCAAGGAAAACCTACTCAGTGTTGGACAGATGATAGAGCATGAATATTTCTTGTTTTTTGGAGATAACAAGGCAGAAATTTATGATGATTGCTCACTTTCTAATCTGGTGACCAGGGTGCAAATGAAGGGAAATAAAAGTTTTCCTTTGAAACTTCAAACTGATTTACATTTTGCATTAAAAGCAAGTATAAGTCAATCAACATTGATTTGGCATAGGAGAATGGGACACTTAAATTTCCAAAGCCTGAAATTACTGCAGAATGAGGATATGGTACTTGGTCTGCCAAAAATTAAGAACACAAGTGAAGTGGGTGAAGGGTGTACCTTTGGAAAACATTGCAAGAAGTCTTTTCCAAAAGAGGCAACAAGCAGGGCCACAACTCCATTGGAATTGGTACACACTGATGTGTGTGGACCAATGCAAACTGTTACAAAAGCAGGAAACAAGTATTTTCTTACCTTCATAGATGACTGTACTCGAATGTGCTAGATCTATTTCTTGAGATACAAATCTGAGGTGTTCAATGTGTTTAAGAAGTTTAAAGCTACTGTTGAATTGCAAAGTGCATATAAGCTTAAGAAATTGAGAAGTGACAAAGGAGGAGAGTATACCTCTAATGAATTTAACAGATTCTGTGATGAAATAAGGATGGAAAGGCAGCTTACAGTGGCATATTCACCACAGCAGAACGGTGTGGCTGAGAGAAAGAACAGAACCATAGTGGAGATGGCTAAGAGTATGATGTTTGAGAAGAGTATACCACTTGAGTTTTGGGCAAAAGCTGTCAATACTGTAGTGTACATTCTAAACATATGCCCAACTAAAGCCTTGGTCAAGAAAACGCCATTTGAAGCCTATAGTGGAAGAAAACCAGGAATTAAACACTTAAGAGTGTTTGGTTCTCTATGTTATGCACATGTCCCAAACCAACAGAGGCAGAAACTAGACTTGGCAAGCAAAAGGTGTGTGTTTCTAGGATATGCCAGTTGTGAGAAGGGGTATAGACTGTACAATCTTGTCACTGGAAAGGTGATTATCTCAAGAGATGTGGTATTCAATGAAGATGCTAGTTGGGATTGGAATGCACAGCAAGAATGCAGTGTTTCAGTTCCACTTACTGAAATGGTGTCTGAAAAGGAGGAAGAGATCAATGATACAACTGTGATGCAAGCTGAAAGCTCAGTTGCAAATGATGTATTATTAGAAGACAGTGAAGAAGAATTTGCAGGAATTCACACAGGTGCACAAGATATTGATCACACCCCATTGAAATACAAAAGTCTTACAGAGATATATGAGAGATGCAGTATATGTATTATTGAACCAGAAACTTTTGAAGAAGCTATCAAAGATGCATCATGGAAAAAGGCCATGGAAACTGAACTTGAGATGATTAAGAAGAATGATACTTGGGAATTGTTAAAAGGGCCGTCTGAAAAGCCTGTAGTTGGAGTCAAATGGATCTATAAAGTCAAGCTAAATCTTGATGGATCAATTCAGAAAAACAAAGCAAGACTAGTAGCTAAAGGCCACACTCAAAAGCCTGGAATAGACTTCAACGAGACATTTGCACCAGTTGCTCGACTTGATATAGTAAGAACATTAATTGCTTAGGTTGCTCAGAAAAGGTGGAAGTTGTTCCAGTTAGATGTGAAGTCGGCATTCTTAAATGGAGTGGTACATGAGGAAGTATATGTGGACCAACCTCCATGATTTGTGATTAAAAACAAGGAAGATAGAGTTTATAGACTTAAGAAGGCCTTGTATGGTCTTAAACAAGCTCCAAGAGCTTGGTATGAAGAAATCAACTCATATTTCACAGTTGTAGGATTTCAGAGAAGTCCTAGTGAGGCTACATTATATGTGAAAACTGTTGAAAGTAGAATTCTCATAGTTTCTCTATATGTAGATGATATTATCTACACAGGAAGTTCAGAAGATTTGGTGATGAGTTTTAAAACTGAAATGATGAAGAAATATGAAATGACAGATATCGGATTACTGCACAATTTTTTGGGTTTAGGTGTGATACAAACTGAGTCCTACATCTTCTTGCATCAAAAAAAATATGTAAGAAAATTGGATAAGTTTGGCTTCAAAGATTGTAAAGAGGTTGCGACTCCACATGCTATGAATGAGAAATTATCAAAGGAGGATGGAAGTGAACAGGCTGATGAAAGGGTGTACAGACAGATAGTTGGAAGCTTATTATATCTGATAGCAACAAGGCCAGATATCATGTTTGCTGACCTACAAGGAAGCATATGGGGACTGCCAAGAGAGTACTTAGATACATTCAAGGTACTCTTGACTATGGCATAGCATATGAGAAGGGAAAAGAAGCAATGCTTGTTGGATATTGTGATAGTGATTGGTTAGGATGTGAAGATGATATGAGGAGTACTTCTGGCTATGCTTTTCATCTTGGATCAAGTGTTTTCTCTTGGGCATCAGTCGAGCAAAGAATGTGTAGCTCTATCCACAGCAGAGGCAGAATATATTAGTGTAGCAGAAGCAGTCTTGCTGAGGTTTGTTCTATCTGATTTTGGTGAGGAACAAGTTGAAGCTACTCAAATTTTCTGTGATAACACTTCAGCAATAGCAATAACAAAGAATCCAGTACATCATCACAAGACAAGGCATATAAACAGAAGATTTCATTACATCCAAGATGCTTTGCAAAATGTTGAGATTGATTTGTTATACTGCAGAACTGGAGAGCAGAATGCAGATATCTTTACTAAGGTGTTGGCAAAGGATCGGTTTGAAAATCTAAGGAGCAAGCTTGGAGTCATTTCAGCTAAACACTTAGAAGGGAGTGTTAAAGTATAAGTGTGTTAGCTGAGTATTTGTGTTACTTGATTTAATTGTATTGAATTAAGTGTGAACCATTAGATCACAATCCAATGGACAGCTAAGATGTATTCTTAGTTGTAGTAACAAATTATGCCAGGTGTTGCTATCTCATAGGATAGTTAAATTGATGGTTAGATTTGAATGACGTAAACAGGGAATATTCTATTCCCAACAGTTATATTGTACTGCACAGCTTGTGCGTGACTAAGGGAGAGAATATACTTAATTTTCTCATCTTCTTCTCCAAGCTCTCTGCATTCTCTTTTCTTACCTGAGCTCCATCTACCAATAATCCAAATTAATCAGATCATAGTCTGAGTATTCTAACATTTGATTCGTGATTAACTAAAGAACCTCAATTACAAGTGCATACCTTAATGCTACCCTTTTGAGGAAGAAAATAAACCTCCTCGCATGTATTACAATATAAACGTGAAGGTTGTGTGGAAATGTGCTTCATGTACCGTAGACATTTGCCACATTTACTGAGAACTCGTCCTGAGTAGGAGCGAGGAGAGAATTGTGCTTCAAATAATGCATTCATGTTTTCAATCTGCACCAAATCGCATAAAATGGTTCATGCAAATTAAGCAGCACATATGTCCATCATCCGATAAACCACACAACAGACTAAGGAGTGCAAAGTCGTCCAAAGTAATTGGATTATAAGGCTTCATGATTCAACACAAGTTGGCAAGATCAACATATTGGCTGTACAAACAATAGCTACACCATTAAGCATGCTATAAAGTACGCATTTGGCAAATGATAAGGTATTCTAACCTGCTTGACAAAGCAACTGTATTTTTGCCTGAACTGTTGTAGGACATGCTGCACAACACGAAAATGATCTGCTTGCCCCTTAGCAACAAGAGTAATTTGTTGCTCGATGAAACTGTGAATATCTGGCAAACAGAGATCTGGATCGATGCATTGATAGCCTCTTATTAGAGTAATACCTAAGGTAGTTGGACCCAGCTTCCTACCAGCTAGTACCTTCCAATTGATTGTATAAAAAAACCAGGTTTGTGAAATGTAGTTTAAACCATAATTGCGCTCACATATGTTGTTAATATGAACAGAGATATTGACGCATCTGTGCCAATTCCAATTTTTTTAATTTTTTTTTGGATTGGAAGCCCAACCCAAAAAAAAAATATTACTGCTATAAAATCCAACAGAATACAGATTCTGAGAAGATATTGAATTAATTGAAGAGAGTTTAGGCTTTTTCAATTTTTATTTAAAAATTGAGGGCTAAGTAGAAGTGAGATTTGAAGAATTAACAAATATAAAATACCTCATGCAGGTCCACTTCTGAAACTTCTATTTTATCCCCTTTTGTAAACTGAGGAAGATTTTTCTCAGTTACTGCCAACCATGGCATGATAGAAGTAAATCCTTTCACCAACGCACGGTGCCCTACACAATGGAAGAATTCTCCACCGATTGAAAATTCTACCTTTGTTTTGGAATGGACATTAAAAGCAAAAATAATAAACATTATATAATATTTGTCACAAATGATGTTAGAAAAGTAATAAAACATGAAACTAATAAGGTCAACTTTAAGCAACTTCAACAAAATGTCACATCTTTACTGGCAAAGCTTACAACTCTGTTTACATTTGTTGATGCTCTTTTTGGGAGGTCAACTTAGATAGAGGTGGAATGGTGGATGATGGGTAAAGATGACGACCTTCAGCATGTGTGTGAAGATTTGAGTAAACGATAAATATAAAGAAGACGAGATATACGTGGTTCACCCTTAATGAATGGGCTACGTCCACGGAGAAGTATGTTCTCATTATAATAATGTATGATTACATTTGTACATGGGGTTGGACCCAAAATAAAGATTAGAAGGGGGAAGCCCAGCCCAGGGATCCAGAAGAGAGAGTCCAAGGCCTAAGGGTCTAGATCCAAGACCCCTTTCTAAGTGAAGAGTGGTCTTCTTTTATAGGTGATGAGGAGTCTCCATCTCTTGTAGTTTTCCGATGTAGGATTCCTCTTGCTTTGCTTAGAGTTGTGATTTGTGGTAATGCTTCTTTGGCTAAGGTGATGACCTCTTAAGGCATGGCACGTGGATGTGTTGGCTGTGCAAATCTCACGGCCTGGTGCTCCGGGCCGAGGGGATGTGCGTTAAACTTGACATCCTTCTTTTGGATGCGGTGCGGTTGTGTGCGGGCGTGCCAGCACGATTTATCGTGTGTCGAGATGGTGTGAGGTTTGGGTAAAAGATGGTTAATGTTACGCCTGTTTTGAGTTCGACTCCTAATCAAACGATTGTTGCCAAGACAGGAAACTGATCTCGGTCGTCAGGTTCACAGCCTTCGCTACAAGGTTGTTTAGTGGTGGTGTTGGTGGCGGGTTTTAGGCGGTGCTCCGGCGCGTTGCTCAGAGAGCGACGGTCGTATGATATATGGGGTGAATGAGATGATAACAGAGATGGTGCTCCGGCGCCTTGAAAATCAAGGGTCGTATGATATATTGATGAATGGATTTTCCTTACAATCTACCACTACTCCTAGGAAAGCAAATAAAGGTATTGAAAGTGCATTACAGGAAAATATAATTTGCTCCGTGGGAGGCTTTTGGTTTGGTGTTTGAACCCTTTGAATGTAGTCTTGAGCTTAGTATTTATAGGGGGAGTCCTGGAGGGACAATCGAGGCTGAAAAGATCTGCGTGGTGGAGCCTGATCGGGGCAAGTGGGTAGTCAAATCGGCATTTTGGATCGTGAAGCATGGTGGTGTGACCCCCATAAATCCCAGTAAATCTCGGCCACCGCCCTGATCGTGGGTTCTGCCCCCTTGGCTGTGGGAACGCATTTAATGCCCTGGTCTGGTGGTTGGTGATCTGACCTCAAGTTGTAAGAATACTTGTGAGAATGTTTGCGCCTAACCACTCTGATTTCCATCACCAAATCCTGACTTCAGTCACTTCCCTTCTTCCCTCGTGCATTAAATGCTTCTTGCGACTAGTGGGTTTGCTGCGATAATCAGAGGCATTATTTCATTAAATGGGGCGTGGGACCCTGAGGCCACGTGGCGATTTAACCACAGTATCTTCGGCCGTGTCTTTTACGGTCGCAAGGCCGAGAGGATTCTGCTTTTGCAGTTTTTCTTTTGTTTTCAGGAAGGCGAAATGCCTAACAAAACGTGGCCATTTCAGTTCATGAGTAGGTGCTAGGCCGAAAGGAAGTCCCTTCAGTCAGTTTACGACCGTGATTTATTAGGCATAAACATTGCCCCCACATCCCTGGATTCTTCGGTCGCAGCCTGGGTAGAGGCCGAATGGATTACAAGGGATGGACCCTTTGCATTCCTCATGAAGTAACTGACAGTTGCCGTCTTAAATGCATAGGTCGGTCGGCGCATTAAATGTGCAAGCACGTTGTGCAGGCCATTATTGCCCAGACTTGTGCGAGGCGTCGCTTCGTCTCGTCAAATGAAGCGACGGCCTCTGGGCTTCCAACATGTCATCGCGCTCTTTGAGCACTGTCAGATCGTTACGTCTCTCGAGATAGCCACGCCTTTTCGTTTCGAATTCTAGCGCCAATATAAAAAGCCTTGCCTTCTTCATTTTTCTTTATTCTTTCCCCTCCATTCTAACCTGCTCTGATGGGCCCCCCTTGTAGCTTCTCCAAAACCCGGGTCGAGCCATATCCATTGATCCTCGCGTCGTGGCCTGATCCAAATGGTTTTTCCTCTCCTGCTGTCCACCAACCATCCTTCGTCTTGGAAAGTCGACATGGGCCAAGGCCATGGTGTGGCCGAGATTCCTTCCAGACCGTGGAGAAACTGTAATGCAATTGATGAAGATGGGAGGGCCTGGTATGATGATTCCAACTTGGCCACGTTCGTTTGGCTTAGCACCTCGGTTGCACCCATGGCCGGAGTGACAGCCCTAATTTCACCCTAGCCACATTTGTGCCCAGAATGATGGCCCTGGCCATGGCCGGAGTGACGGCATCGGCCATGTTCTGAGTGACGGCCTTGATTTCAACCCAGTTTCACCCATGTCTAGAGTGACAGCCTTGCCCAGGGCCAGAATGACGACCCTGACTTTAGCCGGCTGCACCTGTGTCCTGAGTGACGGCCTTGCCTATGGCCACGGTCAGTGAAGATATGGGTGGTGAAGGCACCGCCTAGGGAAGAATCATCTGCCTGCTCTAGCGAAGGGATCAAGAAGCGGCCGTTCATAGATTTAGAATGTACTCTATTTTTCGCACATGTATGTTTATATGTTTCATTCGGCCATGACCGACTGTTCTTTTTGTAACCGCGACCCCTTTCTTTGAAGTATAACCCCTTTTTTCTTCTGACCGAATGTATGTTTTTCTTTCATGTTGTTTACTCCATTTTTTTTTGTCGATTGTAAACCTCATAACCCATTCTTGGCCGTCTTCCCAAAATGAAGAGGGTATATTTCTTCAAATACTGGCCGTTTATTGGCAAGTTGTGCCATTCTCCATCCCTATCTCTCAACTGAAATGCACCTCGGCCAAGAATTCGTTCGATAATAAATGGCCCTTCCCAATTGGGTGAGAATTTGCCGAACCGAGGGTCCTGAGTCCCGATAGGAAGCACAGCACGCCATACCAAGTCGCCTTCGGCGAAAGTCTTTTGCTTCACCTTCCTGTTGTAGGCCCTCGCCGCGATATGCTGTTTGTGCCTACTTTAGGTTATAAGCATCGAGTCTGGATTGCTCCAAATCTTCTAACTCCTGAGCCATGGCTTGCGAATAGTCCTTCTCTTCCTGCCCAAGTCGTTCGGTCACACGGAGAGACCGAACCTTTAACTCCATCGGAACAATGGCGTCATGGCCGTAGGTTAAGGCATAAGGGGATGTGCCAGTAGCCGATCGTTTTGAGACTCGGTAAGCCCACAGGGCTTCAGGGAGTAAGTCGTGCCACGCCCTAGGTTTTTCCTCAATCATTTTCTCAAGGATGCCCTTGATTACCTTGTTGCTCGCCTCGGCCTGTCCGTTAGACTGTGGGTAGTAGGGTGTCGAGTGGACCAATTTGATCCCTATCCTTTCAGCGTATTCTCGAGTCTCGGCTGATGCGAAAACTGGGCCGTTATCGGCTGTGATGGTTTTGGGTATACCGAATCTGTGGACAATGTGATTTTCGAAGAATCTGACCACCTGTGTGCTAGAAATGGACCAATAGGACTCTGCCTCGACCCATTTAGTGAAATACCCAGGCGTGCTGGTTGGACGCGACTGGGTAGATTTTGCCGATGATATCCACGGCCATCCTCTGAACGGCCATGGTTTAGTAACGGGGTGGAGGGCTTCAGCTGGTACCCTTTGTATGGGGCCGTAGATTTGACACTTGATACACCCCTTTCGCATATTCTATGCAGTTCTTTAAAATGGTCGGCCAATAATAGCCGTGCCTCCGGACCAACCATCTCATCTTGACGCCAGACTGATGAGCGCCGCAAATCCCTTTGTGGGATTCGGTCATGATAACCTTAATATCTTCGGCGCTGGGGCATAAGAGCAATAAGCCGTTTGATCCTTTTCGATACAGCTCGTTCTGATAAATCAAATAACACCGAGCTCGGAAATGAGTAGTCCTTTCATGGTTGCCGGAGGGATCGCGCAGATACTTTACTATGGGGTAGCGCCAGTCGGCTTCGGCCGTTTCGACCTCGTCGGTAATTTCGGCCGATGATACTTGCGTCGTCATTCCTCGCTCGGCCAAAGCCGGCAGGGTACGCTTCTCGATTCTTATCACACGGTCGTGGTCGTTGTCCGGAATGTTCACACCTGATGCTACCTGGGCCATCTCATTGGCCTCATGGTTTTCGGCGCGCGGCACGTGAACGAAGGAGATCCTAGAAAACTCGTCGGCCGTATTGAGGGCCGTTACATAATACATTGTTAAATTCTCGCTCGTGCACTGGTATTCCCCGGTCAGTTGGTTAATTACCAGCTGAGAATCACCATAGACCAGGACACAGGTTGCCTTCATTTCTTTTAGAATTTCAAGACCGATGATGAGCGCTTCATATTCGGCCTGATTATTGGTGCATTTGAAATCAAGTTGGAACGCCAATTGCCACCTTTGTCCTTGGGGGGACTCGATCATGACCCCGGCCCCCAGATCTAGTCTCGGTACTAGAGCCATCAAAGTACATGGTCCAGTAGTTCTTCTCCATGCAGGCCATGCCGATCTCGACCTCCAACTCTTCTTCCTACCCCTGAGCCGGGTGGTGGGCCAAGAAATCGGCTAATGCCTGACCTTTGACCGCTTCTGAGCCACATATTGGAAGAGTGAATTCGGACAATGTCATCGTCCACTTCCTGATTCGGCTGTGTATGATCAGCCGAGTGAGCATGTATTTGATGAGGTCGGTCTTGGAGATGATCTGAACGACCGAATGAAGCATATAATGGCGCAACTTGGTAGCCGCGAAATAAAGTGCCAAGCATAATTTCTCGATCGGTGAATAGTTTAGCTCGGCCATGTTAAGGGTACGGCTTAGATAGTGCACTGCTTGTTCTCACTCAGACTCGTTGTTCTAAGCCAGCAGACAACCGATAGAGCCCTCTGAAGCCGAAATGTAAAGCCTCAAGGGTTTCGCTATTTTCGGTGGCATAAGGACCGGTGGTTGAGATAAATATTTCTTGATATCGTCGAGGGCCGCTTGATGTTCTGCCCCCCACACGAACCGTTCCGTGTCTTTTAGTTTGAGCAGAGGAGTCAACGGTCGGATTTTCCCTGCCAAATTGGATATGAACCGTCTTAAAAAGTTGACCTTACCGAGGAAGGACTGGAGTTCCTTCTTGCTCCTTGGCGGAGGTGCTGCCATAATGGTCGTGGCTTTATTTTTATCTACCTCGATCCCTCGTTGGTGAACTAAGAAACCAAGAAAGTTCCCGGCGGTGACGCCGAAAGCACATTTGTTAGGGTTCATGTTTAGGTCGTGTGCCCGCATTCGATTGAAAGCCTGTCGGAGATGCCCCACGTGGTCGGCTTTGGATGGGGATTTTACAACAACGTCGTCGATGTAGACTTCAACGGTTCGGCCAATCAGGTCATGGAAAATAAGGTTCATAGCTCGTTGGTACGTCGCGCCGGCGTTCTTCAGGCCGAATGGCATGACCATCCATTCATAAGTCCCGATTGCGCCTGGACATCTGAACGCCGTCTTGTGGACATCTTCCTCGGCTATGAAGATTTGGTTGTAACCAGTGTGGCTGTCCATGAAAGACAGGAGCTCGTGCTTCGTGGCTCCGTCCACCAGGAGGTCGGACATAGGCATGGGATACTCGTCCCTGGGGTCGCGAGGTTTAGATTTCTGTAGTCGGTGCAAACCCTCAAAGCCCCAATCTTTTTCAAAACTAGTACGATGTTAGCCAACCACTCAACGTACCGAGCCGTGCGGATGAAGCCGGCTTTAAGGAGCCGTTCAATTTCCTCTTTGACCTTAAGCTGTACTTCGGTCGAGAATCGCCTCGAGACTGTTGGAAAGGCCTAAACCCCTCCCTAATATTTAGTTCGTGCTCGACCAAACTTCTTGGCAATCCAAGCATCTCATGATAATCCCAAGCAAAACAATCCTTATATTCATGGAGCAGGCCAATAATCTCAGCTGCTAATTCAGGGTTCAAAAGCTGTCTTATAAAAAAAGGTTGTGGTTCGGGCTCGGTCCCTACATTTATTTCTAATAACGGGTCTTGGACCTCGGGGTAGTCATCCTCCATCTCGGCGGGCGCCGTTTCCAAGTCGTCAAAGGCTAAAGTGTCCGCCTCATCTGATTCATGGAGGAATTCGATTAGGTTGATCAGCGAGTTTGGCTGTAAGGATTCATCCGCCCAATGTTCCAGCAGTCCTTTCAGCAGGTCGGTCACGGCCGCCGCTCCCTCTTCTTTAGTGGCTTTGTCTGTCATCTAAAGGCTAGTGAGGTCGATCAATACTTCACGCGCTGAATCCTGTCGAACATTATCGGCGCCTAACTCCAGCACTTTTTGGGTCGTTGTCCTGGTTGGTTGGCCGCTTGCATCGTGGCCGGTGAGGACAACCCATCCAACGTAGTCGTCGTAAATCCGTGCTTGCCCGGTGTTGGTTTCGAAGGGTTTTTTCGTTGGCCGGGTGTATGGATATCCTCTGACCGTCCCAAAAGAACAACAATTGGAAAAGGGAGGACGGTATGCATCCGGACTGATGGATCCAGTCACGACCGAGCAATATATTGTAGTCCACATTGGATTCGACTACGTAGAAAGCTTCTCATGACCACGTCACAAGGGATGAGGTCCTCTTTTGACTTATCCAGCTTCTTCATCAGGGAATAGGGAAGGATGTTGACCGTCGCCCCACAGTCAACGAAGACCTTGGACACGGGCACACCCTCTACATAAGCCGAGATGTACAACGGCTTGAGATGTCGGTATTTGTTTGGCTCGTCTCTGGGTATTACCTCGTTAAAAGCCACGGCCAACAACTCTTCCTTTGTTTTTGACCTTTGATCAAGCTGCTCCTCGGCCACGTCATTATCCAGGCCGTTGGTCTGGGCTCCTTGGGCTGAAAACTCGGACGGTAGCACTAAGACCATGTTCATGCTGACCTCCTTTGGCTCCTGTTGGTTTCACCCTCCAGCTTCCTCTTCGACCTCAAAGCTGCCCCTGGTGAGGGTTTTTTTCCTCAACCATCCTGAGGATCCCCTCGTATTCCTCATCGGAGATTCCCAACGTGGAGTCGTCTTCGGCCTCGTGTCCAAAGAAAGGGTCGCCGGGGCCCTCAACCATAGGCCTTGCAGTCCCAGGGGTATCGTCTCTGGACACTTTCATCATAGGGGGGTCCGAGGCCTCGACCTTCTCCTCGAGGGCTTGTCTATCCTTAGCTAACGCATCCCTGGCCGTTTAGTAGTCGTCCAAACGGCTTACCCGGGCCCTTTCCTCGGTCATCATACCAAAGATAGTGTCGGCTGGAGTCACAGTAAAATATTGGCGGAGGTATTCTAAGTCGCTCTTGCTAAAAGGGGCCTTGTCCTCCAATCTTCCCTGATCGGGTCGGTAACCTAGCATCCCTCTTGCCCTGGCCTCTCGGTTTGCCTGGTATACGACCTTAATGGCCGAGTCAGATCCGCTGGTAATGAGGAGTCCCTCCACCTTAGCGTTTTTGAGAGCCAATTCCACGATTTCACGGTTCTCAGGGGTCATGCCGTATAGGTCGGTGGCCGAGTGGTCCTTATGGAATTCCATGAGAAAGGACTAACCGTTGGCCGAAAAAGGGGGGTCCCTTTCGTGGTAGACGTCGATGATACCCTCATCTGTTTTCTCCAGGGCCGCGGCCTTTGGCTCGACCGAAACGACCGCCATTCCACGAGGATAACCATCCTGCCTAGGGCGCCATGTCCTCGGAGGCTTAATGCTGGCAACCTTCGCTGTAGGGGGAACGATTGGTACGGATGGTGGCTCGTCTGTGATCGCCATCTTCTTTTGGCGTTTTAATCCCTCGACCTGGGCCGTCTGTATCCTGGCCTGCTAAACTTGTCTATGCATCCTTCTCAGCTGGGTTTTTGTCAGCAGTTCGGCGATACCCCCAGGTCATGCATGATACCAACGGTCATCCCGTACGACCGGTGGTTTGAAAGTCTTCACCTGCCTAGGAGCGGCTTCGTCTTTATGGCCCGCCGAGGTACTGGGGCTTTGTGCCCCTAATCGGTCGAAAACAGCTCTACTTGCTGGCCGACGGTCGTACTGGCCGTCGAATTTCTTCATAGTCGGTTGAGATGGCTCGGCGGCCTTCCTTTTATTCTTTGGCGGTCTGAGCTGACCGATCTCATACTTGCACCGACTGCACAGTACTGGCTCTGGTTCGGCCAACGGCTCCTTTTCTTTTGTCGGCCGACGATGTTGATGACAGGTGGAGGGAATGGCTTTGAGTCGACCTGCATGGCCGCCTTTTCGGGAATTGGAGCTTCTTTTCGTCTATCAACTTCTGGATGACGTCTCGTAGAACAATGCAGTTGTTGGTGTTGTGAGACAAGAACTGTGGTATTTGCAAAACGTCTTTCCTTTGAGCTCTTTGGGTTTCGAAATTTTATGGCCGAAGGACAATTTGACCTTTTTCTCGGTCAACAGTAGGTTCAAAGATAGCTTCGGCCCTGGTCAAATCAAAAGTGTAGGCCTTCGTTTCCAGAGTCGCGAACTTGGCGTCAGGAATCTTTGTGCGATTATTGCCGGCCTTGACAAGTCCTTTGCAGACGAATGGTTTGTCTATGCTAACTTCGGCCAATCTCATCTCAACTTCGTCGCTCTCGACCTCTGTGGGGCCGTCTACTTCAGCATAGCTGACAATGGGATTCCAATAGCAAGTCCCTTTTGAAGTCGTCCTCTTCTGCACCTCTTCTTTTAACAAGGATGCGTATCTATCCACATTGTTGATCAAGTCGTGCATGTCCCGGAATTCAATTCCCTGGAATTTCTTCTGGTATTCGAATTCCAATCCTTCTTCGGCCATCTTGACAAATTCCCTCTCCAGTAGGTTCGTGCGGCACCAGTTCCTGCACGTTTTGAACGGCTGTAGGTAGTCGTGAGGTGATTTGTCTGATGCCTAGCTCATCCTTGCCAGCTCGGCGACCGTTATTTCTCGGTTGGTCTGATAGAAATGTTCGTGGAATATCCTTTCCATGTCAGACCAATCCCTCACTGAATTCGATGGAAGGTTTATGAACGAATAAACGGAGCCTCTGGGCGTCCGAATCGGCCTCTCCGCACTGGGCCGTGAAGCAGCCTATGTGTTCAATGGAGGAGGTCTGTCCCATCCCCGGAGAATAGAATGAATTCTAGCAACCGATAGTTCCGGGGAAGAGGGGTTCGGTTAATTTTTGGCGGGTACGGTTTGGTATACTTTGGCGCCTCCGGGAGCCTCTGAGCCAGGCTGTCCTCCATCATTCGCTAGACGTCTTCGAATCGGAGCCCCTAAGGGGGCGCTTCTTGCTGGGCCGCAACCGACCGCGGAACTTTTTGCCCCCCGTTCTTCGGCCTTATCTACTGGGCCACTTGAACGGGGGGTTTGGCCGTTGCGACCAAGCCGGGCGGCACTAGATAAGCGCCTAACCAGGGTGCGTGTGTGCTGCCATTGGAATGGCCAAATCGTAATGAAGGTGAGAGTCTGGCGGAAATAATGACGCTTGTAACGGTGAAACGGTCGGATTGCTCTGACCATACTACTATGACGAGGCAGTGGTCGCGTTGCTTGGTCTAGGATGGGTCTGGACTGCCACGGTGTGAACTAGTCCGAGTTGCTGGACCGCGGAATGCGTGGGGCTGCTTTGCCCCAGTGGGCCGTACTCTGTTTCTGCTGGGTAGGTCGGTCCGGGATTTACCCATGTTGGTTGGGATTGCCCCCAGCTATTTGTCGGCGGTTGAGAATGCTGGTTGTAGCCTGACGCTTGGATGCGGCCAGAGGGGCCGAGGCTGCTGCTTTCGCCGTAGGGCTCAAACCTCTCGCGCTCTTGGCTTCTCTGTCCGGCTCTGGGAGGCGTCGCGGACGACGTTACCGGCATCCTCTCCTGAAAGAGCGTCCGTAGCTCTGAGGAGAGTATGTCCACTGCGGTCATAAAGGATGTCTCTATCCTGTAGGCCTGCTTAGCCATCAGACCCTCCACTACTGCTTGCTCTTGCATGGACTCGGCCGCACGATCTGTCGTTATGGGAACGCTGGCCGAGATTCTGACTGCGTGTTCGGTCTCGGTGATAGTGATTGGTGAGGTGGACTCAGGAGCCTCGGAAGTCATTTCGACTGTTTTGTTTTTTAGCTTTGCCTGTGCCCTAGTTTCCACCATGAGTTTTTAAATGCAATCTCACCGGGCGTGCCAAAAGTGTTGGCTGCGCAAATCTCACGGCCTGGTGCTCCGGGCCGAGGGGATGTGCGTTAACACATGACGTCCTTCTTTTGGATGCGGTGCAGTTTTGTGCGGGCGTGCCAACACGGTCTATCGTGCGTCGAGATGGTGATGAGGTTTGGGCAGAAGATAGTTAAATGTTGCGCCTGTTTTGAGTTCGACTCCTAATCAAATGATTATGGCCGAGAGAGGAACTGATCTCGGCCATTAGGTTCACGGCCTGAGCTACAAGGCCGTTTAGTGGTGGTGTTGGTGGTGGGTTTTAGGCGGTGCTCCGGTGCGTTGCTCAGAGAGCGACGGTCGTATGATATATGGGGTGAATGAGATGATAACAGAGATGGTGCTCTGGCGCTTTGAAAATCAAGGGTCATATGATATATTGATGAATGGATTTTTCTTACAATTACCACTACTCCTAGGAAAGCAAACAAAAGTATTGAAAGTGCATTACAAGAAAATATAATTTGCTCCGTGGGAGGCTTTTGGTTTGGTGTTTGAACCCTTTGAATGTAGTCTTGAGCTTAGTATTTACAGGGGGAGTCCTGGAGGGACAATCAAGGCTGAAAAGATCTGCGTGGTGGAGCCTGATCGGGGCAAGTGGGTAGTCAAATCGACATTTGGGATCGTGAAGCATGGTGGTGTGACCCCCATAAATCTCGGTAAATCTCGGTCACCGCCCTGATCGTGAGTTTTGCCCCCTTGGCCGTGGGAACGCATTTAATGCTCTGGTCTGGTGGTTGGTGATCTGACCTCAAGTTGTAAGAATACTTGTGAGAATGTTTGCGCCTAACCACTCTGATTTCCATCACCAAATCCTAACTTCAGTCACTTCCCTTCTTCCCTCGTGCATTAAATGCTTCTTGCGACTGGTGGGTTTGCTGCGATAGTTAGAGGCATTATTTCATTAAATGGGGGGTGGGACCCTGAGGCCACGTGGCGATTTAACCACAGTATCTTCGGCTGTGTCTTTTACGGCCTTCGGCTTTGGCCTATAATACCGCAATCGCGAGGCCGAGAGGATTCTGCTTTTGCAGTTTTTCTTTTGTTTTCAGGAAGGCGAAATGCCTAACGAAACGTGGCCGTTTCAGTTCATGAGTAGGTGCTAGGGCCGAGAGGAAGTCCCTTCAGTCAGTTTACGACCGTGATTTATTAGGCACTAAAAAGATGATCTAGCCTAACAGTTGCTTGGTCAGTTACGGTACCAATAGTAGTCCCCCAAGTTCATGAGTAAGAAGGTATTCTTGATTGGGGACTTGTAATTTTAAGTGCACTGGCTGAGCAACACCACAATTCATCTTCCAAGCTGTATAGAGCACTACCTATAGTCCCCCAAGTCCCCGAGTAAGAAGGACATTAGAGGGAGAGAACTGGGCACAATGGTGCCGAAGGTTAAGGGGTTGCCGAAGGCACAAAGTTGCATATCGCAGGGCAATGGGCCTAGGCACGAGGGTGGCGAAGGTGACACAAAGCTTGCATGTTTGCAAGACAATGTGCTTAGGTACGGGGGTGTCGAAGGTGACACAAAGGTTGCATGTCGCAAGGCAATATGGCTAGGCACGAGGGTGCCGAAGGCGACACGAGATGTGGCTAGGCACGGGGGTACCTAAGGCGACACAAAGCTTGCATGTCGCAAGGCGATGTGCCTAGGCATATGGGTGCCGAATGCGACACAAAGCTTGCATGTCGCAAGGCAATATGACTAGGTACGAGGGTGCTGAAGGCAAAGGGATGTCGAAGACACAAATCTTGCATGTCGTAAGGCGATGTGGCAAGGCACAAGGGTGCCAAAGGCGACACAAGATGTGGCTAGGCACGGGAGTGTCGAAGACGACACAAGATGTGGCTAGGAACGGGGGTGCCGAAGGCGACACAAAGCTTGCATGTAGTAAGGCGATGTGGCTAGGCATAAGGGTGCCGAAGGTGACAAAAAGTTTGCATGTCGCAAGGCGATGTGCCTAGGCACGAGGGTGCCGAATGAATAAAACTTGAATGTTGCAAGGTGATGTGCCTAGGCATGTAGGTGTCGAAGGCGAAGGAATACCGAAGGCGACACAAAGGTTGCATGTCGCAAGGCAATGTGACTACTCACGAGGGTGCCGAAGGCATAAGACTTGTATGTTGCAAGAGAAGGTGCTCAGGCAGGGGGATGCCGAAGGTAATAGGAGATGCTGAAGCCATTGACAAGGGATTTATGCAGTTCCCGGTTTGGCAACACCGAGCCTGCCATTCGCCAGGGCTATCCTGGATGATTTGAGTTGTTGGTCTAGCATCTTCGACAACTGTGCAGATTCAGAGTGAATTTGGAGCTGGGCTTCGAGATAGCTTTAAGGCAGGTGCCGTTCAGCAAGAAAGCATTTGTCGAGAGGACATTGTCGCAAGCAGCCCCGGTGTTTCTGCATAGCCCTTGCCGTTCGGCAAGGGTGTGGCGAAAATTTTCTGGAACCTCTCGAGCTGTCGGCGAGGAAAGAAGGGGTTGGGCTCCGAGATTTGAGTTGTACCTTCGGCAGGTATTGAGGTGAATACCTTGCAAAGCCCCAATATCCTCTGCTCAACCCTTGCCGTTCGGCAAGGGTGGCTTGATCAAATTTTCTTATGGGAGTGTCGTGCGCATGGGCTGGGACACGAGTCATCTTGAGCTGGGCTGTTATCGAAGAAGGGTTCGGCGTACTATCAGCTTGAGCCCTTAAGTCGTGTTGTGAGTCCTCAGTGTTGTTGTCATTCGATAGTCCAGAAAATAAAAGATTGGAAGCTGGGATTCTAGATTGAAGTTGGGCTCGAGGCTAGGACCTGGCCCATACTTTTGTTGTTTGGTGATTAAGGCTAAGAGATTGAATTGAGGGACAGACCCATGGGTTTGGACTTGGACTAGAATCGAGTGTAGGCAAGGTTCTTTCCAGCACCGTGGGTTTCGATCCCCTTGACGTTTCAACTCGAGTGGTCTTGGAGTTGGCCCTTCCACATTCGGCAGGTGAGGTTGAACAAGGTGTGAATTTGTCCCTTTTTCTTATCGCTCGGGCCTTGCTGTTCGGCAAGGCTTGTTCGACTATTCGGTGTGATGATAATTTGTGTTGTATTCTTTAAACCTTCGACAGGAATTCACCCAGGGCAGGGCTCGGGTTTGTACCTTCGGATAAGAGGTCGGGTCTTGGGTTTTGGCAGAGGGTTTCGGCACGGGTTGAGGTGAGCATTTTGTGAGGCCCTTTTTCTAATGCTCAACCCTTATCGTTTGGCAAGGGTGCCTTGATCAAACTTTTGATGCCTGAATTGTTTCTCCAAGGCGCCTGCCGTTCAGCAGGTGTGGTTCATGTGTTTGACGTAATGGTTTGTTTGGTGTAGTCTGGATCTTTGGCAAGGGGCAGAGAGATGTCGAAGCCATGCCATTGGGGTCTGGGTTGTGCATAATCCTTCGGCAAGAGCACGGCCACCCCTGCATGCGTGCCCTTCTTGTTCTTTCTCGGGCCTTGCCGTTCGGCAAGGCTAGTGTAGCGGTTGTTGTGGTTCTTTGTGCGAATGGGTTGAGGCACCAGTCAATCCGAGCTGGGCCATTTTGGAAGGAGACTTCAGCGTCGATAAGAACAGACACAAAATCTATAAATTCACTAAACAAGTAAAAACAGACACAAAATCTAGACAAATAGGCTGCATTTGGTGCTTAAGCATTTCTCATGTTCTGCAAATGCACACAAAGAAAGAAGAAAATTATGCTATATATATTTTGGTTTGATATCGAAATCTCTTTGCTCTGCCTTCAAACTCTCTTTTTTCTTCCATCGACACTAAATAAATAAATAAATCAGTAAAATGCCACGTAGTGTTAGTGATGAAAGAGAAAATTCTTCTATTTCATTGCTTTATTCTTCTATTCCCTGTATTTTGGGTATGTTTGGGATCGCTGGACATACGCTTATAGCCACTGCCGTGCATCAGTCAGGTTCGTCCTCCATCTACATCTAAATATCTATAGCTTTTCACTAATCTACCGGCTTTGTCAAAATCATTATTCTATGTGAAATAGTGCTCTGACACTTATCTTTTCTTTTTCTTTTTCTCTTTTTAATTTTTGTTTTTGCAAACAAGCTGGCTGAATTTGTTAACGGCATATAACTACAACAGTTCTAAAGGACATTCTGCTTCATTGTGTTTTTCAATCATAATAGATTATAAAAGAGAGAATATAGAGGAAGTTAGTGTAAGACTCAGAGATTATTTAAAACAAAAGACATTCACAATGATTTCTCATCGGTTGCAAACACATGCTACCAAGTCCATTTTTAAAGCAAGCTAGGTAATTATTGTTGATGCTCTTTTTGGGAGGGTCAACTTAGTTAGAAGTGGAATGGTTGATGATGGATGAAAGTGAAGAACTTCAGCATGTGTGTGGAGATTTGGGCAAGCGATAAATATAAGGAAGATGAGATATACGTGGTTCACCCTTAATAAATGGGACACGTCCACAGAGAAGTATGTTCTCATTATAATAATGTATTATTACATTTGTACATGGGGTTGGACCCAAATATAAAGATAAGAAAGGGGAAGCCCATGATTAAAGATAAAGCCCAGTCCAGAGATCCAGAAGAGAGTCCCTCTCTCAAGAGAGAGTAGTCTTCTTTTATAGGTGAGGGGGAGTTTCCATCTCTTGTAATTTTCCGATGTAGGACTCCTCTTGCTGTGCTTAGAGTTGTGACTTGTGATAATGCTTTTTTGGCTAAGATGATGACCTCTCAAGGCATGGCACGTGGATGATTTAGCCTAGCTAGTTACTCGGTCAGTTGCGGTACCAACAATTATCAAACAGAAATAAGCCATCTAATACTGCATCAAAGGGGGAAAACAGCTTCCCCCTACTATTATATAGCAAACTTATTCATTACTGGAAGTCCATCTAGCCGACTGAGAAGGGTCGGTTCAGTCAAAACATTAATCAGGACTTCTGAGTTTTTTATTCCCTCAATTCCACTATCGGCATAAAGCAAATAAGGTGAACATATTCTCTAAGCATATCCGGGGCTCCACTCTTGGTGCCACACTGTGAAAAATTGAATAAATCTTGAAGCACCAGATATTATGCGCAACAAGGTTGAAAGTGTTAATCTTCTTACGGTGAAACAGAGTAACGGTTAGAAACTTTATAAATACGAAACCAGCAGAAAGACAGGCAACATGACATAACCAGCAGAAAGACAGGCAATCTGACATAAGAACAAGGGAAAGGGAACTGTGCAACCAAGTGTCACCCTACAGAAAACAATGAACACTGAAACTTTTACCTTACATATTTGCAGTCAGGAGATACAGTCCCTATGAAGTGTGTACAAATGTACTCGTATAGTCTCCAAGCATCATTTCCTAGCATGTCCTCAGTTGCAGACCTCAATGGAGTAACAGGAGGATGGTCACCTACATCTGTCCCGGATCGTGGCTTTTGATAACCATCAGCAAGCAGCCTCTGAACATAACTACCCCATGTTGGGTTATTTACTTGGGCACCAAGTGTGCCCCATGTTGGGTAATTAGCAAATGTCCCTTCTTAATTTAACTAGAAACTCACACACCCTAAGTTTTTTTCTACATCTCCTCTTCTCATGTCAAGTTACTGAATCAAGGCAATGCTCCAATTCTATTTTTCCTGAAATCTATTCATATAATTAAGTTTACTTTTACTTTTTACTTCTAGTTCAGGTTTCATCACTGTATTGGATAAAGAGTTTTCTTGGAATTTATAAATATCAGATAAAGAATGAAACCTGATGAAACCTTGAGTATACAAGCGTTCAGCAACTTGCATAGCCATTTGGGGTCCAAAGCCTAGTGCACTTGAAGCAAGCTGAGTTAAAATTGAAAAAGAAAAACTTGTCAATGTGCTCAAATGATCTCAATGCATACAAAGAACTAGGACAAGCAAAGAATTTCAAAGAATAACTTTTTATCAATTTTCTAAAGGGGTTATTAAAATGAACTTTAAGAATTTTTAAGAAGATTGCTTGATTATAATATTTCAAATATTTCAAACCACAACACAGGAGAGCATTTCAACCTACAACGAACTAGGAAGAAATCGACTAAATTATGTACGACCTGTAATAAGACTAGCTAATCTTTAAGACTTTTTCTTTTTCTTTTTCTTTTTCTTTTTCTTTTTCTTTTTCTTTTTCTGGTATATAGAAAACTACCAATTCTCACTAGATTACATACATGAGAATTAGCACGATTTACTTTTAATCCACTTTACGTCACTGTCTGCCACATGCATTTCTTGAAATATCAAAAAATCACTCAGTAAATTGTGAAGTAGCCAATTAGGATCTCGTAATTCCTTCTTTGCAGCACAGATAGGGCTGGAGAATCTAATTTGTACTCATACTGAACTGTCCATTCAGCTACTTAATACATGACAAAGATAAACTCGTAATCTGCAGACATCAATTTCTTCATATTTTCCTTTATTAGGCAATCATGTTAAGTAATCAACCAACAGGCAATGCCCAGAAACATGTACTTCTACAATACGATCATTAAATTTACAGTATACGTGCCCTTAGAAACAAAATGAATCATCAATCTTTAGTTTTTTTTTCCTTTCACTTTTCTGACCTTCAGAAGATTGACTGTATTAAGACCAGAAGGACGACTTTTGCTTTCTTGCTTTTCTACTATCTCAGTCACTTCTAGAATTACATCTTCCATTACTAACTTTTGAAACATTACAGCAACCTGCAATATGCAAAAGCCTCAAAAACATTATCGCTGGAAGGGAAGTTAAGACAGTAGAAAACAAGACCTTACATCGTAGTCAAACAACTTGTTACGTTCCAATTCTAGCTTATTATCACAAATAGTTCATGAGGTCTGAGAAAACATCAGTAACTTCAGTTTGTTAACATAAATCAATATACGCTAATATAGCTATGATGCAAAATGTATAAATATTTAGTGAATATGTAGTCCACTTTTGATGCACAATAATATAGATTACTATATATCCACTTGAAAAAATGTTGTCTCTCAAAATTTGACTCATGTATTGCAATTTTTTTTTCTTGTAATTTTTTTACAACTTCATTTAAATCATTTTTACAATCATGTATATACAAAATTTGTTGAAAAAAGAGGCTAATAACTTTATTTAAAGTACGTTTAAATAAAAAAATGACTAGATTATTGTTCAGATTTTAAAAATTAAAACTTGAAAAATAAAATCATTATTTTATATATAAAGAAAACACTGAACTTTAATATATATTATCAGAGAAAGGAAATAGACTTGAATTTACAAAACACATACCTTTGTTGATCAGTAATTGCAGTTTAAACCATGTTGAAACCTGTCATCAATGAATGAACCTATACGTTCCTAAACTAAGTAATTGAGCTTGTACAAGATCGAAACAATTGCAAGCAACATTAGAAGATAGAATGTCCCCAAAAACTTGGTACAAAACGAAACAAAAGGAATGGAATTACAATAATATTATAAAATATTAATTATTCATAATAAGAGGCCTACAAGCCTGGATGTTTGCTCTATCAGCTCTTATTTTCGTACATCGAACACACTACATTAAACCTAAAGCATAATAAGAGTCCTTCTTCAATTGGTTTATGCTAACGTTGGTTGCGCTTCTTCTTCTCCTAAACTATAGGATGCAGCACCACCAGCTGGAGCCTTCGTCAGGTCTGGTGTTGTTGTTGCCAACTCCTTGGATCCCAACATTCCTGGCGCGTTCACGTGCAACAACTCTATTGCCAGAAACGTTGAGACCAGCTTGACCTGGTCCATTGAAAGAGTTCCGTATCCCAACATTCTCACTGCCCGGTTCTGCTATAATCCCATTGCCAACAATCTGGTTCCTACTGCTGCCGCCTCTGCCACCAGATGCCATAATTAAGAGTTTGAGTGCTTGTTGAAATATCGGTGTTTGCCTGCCCTCTCCCTTATATAACTGGATAAAAGTTCAAGTGCTCGCTAGCAAAGTTTGATTGTAAAGTAAAAGTGAGCATGGTGACGAAGAAAAATAAGTACCAGTGGGCTCGGAGTCTGACAAACGATATATTTAATAGTCACATTTTTTAAAGTAACTAACTTATTTTGGTGACAATTATGGGTGGTCAATGCTATTAGTCACCATTATTTGTGTCTAATGATTTAAATATAATAAATTTTGTTGTAGCTAACACATGAATAGTAATAATGTAATTTATTTATATATATATAAAGCAAAAAACAGAGAATGGTGAAACATTCAAAATACCAAAAATGCCATTGATTAATTCAAACATTAAGAATTAAAATTATTAATTAAATGATGATAATATGATAAATTCACATTTTTTTCATATTAAAAAAGTAAAATTAAATACAAAATCAAATAATAAGTCATACTTTTATGGACCATAACTACCCATATTATTTTTTCTTAATTCTCAAAATAAAATAAAAAATAAAACCATTCGGCACATTTGTGAGCATGTGCCAAGGAGCTTGAAAAATATAAGAGGATAAGCTTTTCCATAATAAAATACTAGCCCCTTGGCACATGCTCAAGCATGTGTCAATTGGTTTTCTTTTTTCTTTTTTCTTTTTTCTTTTTTATTTTATTTTTAGAATTAAGAAAAGATAACATGGTAGTTATGTTCCATAAAAGTAGAATCTATTATCTGATTTTGTTTTTATTTTTTAATATAAAAAATGTGAATTTACCATGTTATCCTCATTTAATTAATAATTTTAATTCTTCATGTTTGAATTAACTAAGAGCATTTTCTGGTATTTTGAATGTTTCACCATTCTCTGCCTCTTGCTTTATATATATATAGATTTACAATGATAATTTAATAAAAATAAATGGATGAAATCTTTCTCACTAACCAAGGCTTTCACTCTATATAATTAGTAATAGTTACTCTAAAAAAATATATATAATAAAAAATGTGAGAGCATGCATGTGCATCTGAAGATGTGCCCAAACCTACCCCTCTTTTTCTTTCTTTTGTAATTTTTATTCTCCCCATATCTCATCTCGCCCAACGCCTTCATTTTTTTATTTTTTTTTCCCATCTTCTTCCTCCATCCGTCACTTTCCATCTTTTCCTCTCTTTTTATTTATTTTTTCCTCCTTCTCTCCTTAGAAAGGTAAAGGATTTGTTTTTTTTCTGAAGTTTTCATGTGGGTTTAATTTCACGAATGATTTTCAGTTTTATTTATGAGCCTCAATTGGGGAAAGCTTCCACCATCTCTCAACCTTCTATTAAAATCCTTTTCAGATCAGAGTTTTTTATTTGTGAAGCCCAACCGACGCCGACATTGTTTGCACAAATCTGATTGTGATTTTAGCAAAGAATTGGGTGATGGGTATTTTGGTTTGAGTGTTGTAATCTGGTTTTCGGTAAGGGATTTGGGAATTTGGTTTTTGGTAAGGGATCCGGATTTCAGCTAAAAATAAAAATAAAAAGGAATTGGAAATTGTTATGATTATGAAAAATGTAATACACAAATATAACACAAATAATAATGGAAAGGATTTCTTTAAAAAAAATAATGAAACGATGTTGGACGGCGCAGTCAAATCAAATTAAATAATAAAACATAAATATAGTTTGATTAGACATGATGTGGGGCCCGCTTTGGAGCAATTGGATGGTCTACACAATTTGTTATGAAATGGTGTTTTAATAGTACTAATGGCTTTAGTCATGAATATTCGTGGCTAATACTGCCAAAAGCCACGGCTAATACTGCCAAAAGTCACGAAAAAAAAAGTGACAGTTGTGTGTTTTTTTTGTAGTGTTCTCCTCAAGTTCATTTTCTTTTGCATCGAATCCGTCATTATTTTGTTTTTTCTGTTCTAAGACCCGGTAAAAATCACTCATTTTTAAGAGGTTTGTAGTTCTATTGCTTAACAAATATTTGCCCTTGCATCTGAGGTTCTAGACTTGGCTCATTCTTTCTCCAATATTGATTGTATAACAAATATCGCTTGATGGAGTTTAATATTAGCTTTCAATTTTGTTTTTCCAATGACCTTTCCTATTGAGAGGGGCGATAATACACTAAACTTACACACACTACACAGATACTAATACTCGAATCCAGAACCCATTGCTTCCATTATTAGTATTTTTAGTTCTTGGTGGGGGTTGTGTAATAATTTCAACATTATTTGCCATCTGTTTTGCAATTTTTGAGTTTCAATTTAATTCCCTCATTAAAAAGGAATTACAGTAATATTGAGTATTCATAATAAGAGGCCTAAAAGCCTGGATCTTCGCTTTTATTTTCGCACATCAAACACACACCATTAAACCTAAACCATTATGGACATCTTATGGGCAGTGCATGCTAACTCTGAACTCAGCGTCCCCAAAACCATCATGTGTCGGTTTCTTCGAAGGAGTCAACTTGTTTTTCTTGCCGTGACCTTTTTTTTATAGACGTGGGTGTTGCCAAACCCGAAATTCCCACCTTCTCTGAAGTCATTGCCGCCTCTGCCACCAGATGCCATAATTTCATTTCCATGAATGTGCGATAAACGTTCTTACCATGCATATAAAACATAGGACATATATATAATGATATTGAGATTACTTAAATCGGTTACGCAAGAACCCCACATATCATCAAGCTAGATGCAGATGGATTGAATTTAACAGATGAGATCAAACCAACGGTGGATAATGAACTTGTTAGATGCAGATGGAAAATGGACAAGTGCATGTGGAATCAGTATTACAAGTCCGTTGACTGACTTTCTGACATCAATGGTCCATTTGAACTTTCCCACTGAAGACTTAGAAAGTGAACTCCAAGTTTTTCTTCCCATTGAAAGTCTTGCATCAATGAGTACCCCCACATCACCACGTTGATTTTTTATTTATTTCTTTTCCAAAATCATTGACATTTAGCATCTATGAGGTGAGATTTCTTTTTTTCTTTGTTTTCCAAAAAGAAATAATATAAAAGTGAAGTAAAAAGAAATTAATAGAGTAAAGGTAGAATAGGAAAGAGAAAAAACAAAGAAGAACAAAATTGATTAAAAAGTAAAGGAAGTGGGAAAATCGACTCCCGTAAAAGTTTATTATCATAAATAATTCATGAGATTCAAGAAAATATCAAATAAAATAAAATTTTCAGTTTCTTGTTATACATCAGTTACTTCAGTTTGTTAATTAACATAAATCAATATACACTAATATAGCTATGATGCAAAATGTATAAATATTTGGTGAATATGTTTTTTTTTAAAACTAATCCCTGTTCGTATTTGGCATGGGACTGTGTAACTGTATCTGAACAACTGTACTCCAACTCATTTATTATTTGCCGTTAGATGAAGTCAAATTGAGAGATATGTTTGTGCCCTAATTTTACTTATCTTGTTCAGGTTTTTTGAGCCTCTTTGGTTCATGTATTCTAGCTGTTCAATGATAATTTTGTTTTTATTATGGCAATTATCTTGGCTTTATTAATTAAAATTATATTGGTTTTTCAGGTTAATAAACATTGTAGAGTAGTGAAAATCAACTTTTTTTCTCATTCATCCTTGGTCCAATTCCTTCAAAACTTAATTCATCCTTGCTTCGATTCCTTCATACTCCAATTTTGATTTATTCCCATTATAAATACAAAACCAAGTCATGTACCCTTGTAACATTTTACCATATTCAAAAGGGTGCGACTATTTGAATTAAACTTTCTTTAAAAATAAAAAAAATAAAAAAAAAATGTAACCCACTTCTTTTTTTCCAACAAAAAAAAGTAGCAACAATTTTTAATTTTTAAGAAAGGGTAAAATTGTGAATTAGGCTTAGTAGTTGCACGAAACAAAGTAAATTGGCATTGAAGTGAGGGCGAGAAGTTTGAAAGAAGTTGATCGGTGCATAATTACATATTATTTTGTACCATTCTATCTTTTCATTTCGTAATTTTTTTGAGTTAAACTTGTACTTTTAATCTCTTTTGTATTTGTTTTAGTATATTAAGCTTTGGGACTCATTTAATGCATTATGGAGTCAAGTTAGCTTAAAACTGTGTCTGCAGATCAGTCAATTCACAGATTGGACTGTAATTTCTTAGGAAGAACCAGATAATGAGCCATGCATCATTAGAAAGATGAGGAAGTCTAGTTTCTGGAGCATTTTACGGTTCATGATTCGAATTCTTCTAGAGGAAGTTATGCAAGTTTTGGCAACTTAAGTGAAATTGAGCAGCATCTGCGCTACTGTGCCAAAAATGACATTGAAGGTCTTTCCAATTTTTCCTTGAGCTGGGCTATATATGGTTAGAAAGATAAGACAAAGAACTTCAAGATCCATATTTTTCCAAAATTTTATCAATGAAGTAACAAGCCCAAAATGAGCCTACAAGAATACTGCAATGCATGATCCATGCATGAGCTAATTGTTTTTGGTGGGGAAGTTAGATAAAGTTGGTTAAGTGGGTGTTGTAAGTAGAAGCAATACTCAATTTAGATTTTTACTTCCCTTAGGCCTAAAAATAGTGAGGTTCCCCGAGTTTATAAACACACCCCAAGGTGGGGAGCTCTCAAACACCTATCTAGAGCTCATCTCCCTTCTCTTCTTCAAAATCTCTTAGTTCTCAAAAACACCTCTTCTTTCTCTTCATCAAATTCTCTAAGCTCTCAAACACCTCTCCCTTCTCTTCTTCAAAATCTCTTAGTTCTCAAATACACCCCAAGAGGAGGGGGTGATTTAGCTCTCAAACACCTCTCTAGAGCTCCTCTCCCTTCTCTTCCTCAAATTCTCTAAGTTCTGAAACACACCCTAAGGGGGGGGAGCTCTCAAAAACTTCTCTAGAGCTCCTCTCCCTTCTCTCCCTCAAATTCTCTTAGTTTTACTTTTTAGTTATTAATTGTTGTAACAAAACTTTTTTTGTTTTTTCCTTTAAGGTTTTATGAGTTGTACTTTGTTTTTCATTGTAATGTAATTTCTTATTTTAAATTTTCAAGTTTGATTAGTTTTCAAGTTTCAATTACGATTCTTGTTCTTATTCATTATCTTATAAGTTAATATGCTTGTTTGAATGATTGATCACCATTAAAACTTGTATATTAGCTATCTTGGTTGGAATTAAGAGTAGACACCATATGCTTTAATTCGAATTGAACTAAGAATAAGAAGAGTATGTATGGACATTCGACAACAGGGAACATGCTTGGTTGTTGTAAATGTATGGATTTTGTAATTTTCTTTTGGCTTCCCTTGACAAGTTTGTAATAGGAAAATCATTGTATTTTCTCAAGCTCATGTTTATATTAAGAATTTCATCTCTAGGTGTGCTTATCTGGCTACATTATGATGGACAACATTGTGTTTGACAAAGGTAAGTTTTGCATTGCATTGCATTAACCTATTCCTAAAGATTATGACTAGTCATCCTTTCTTGGCATGACTAGTCATCCTTCCTCCATATGACTAGTCATCCTTCCTCCATATGACTAGTCATCCTTCCTCCATATTACTAGTCAACCTTTGCGTTTGTAAGGTTTTCTAGCTGGATAACCAACCTTTTTGTCCTATTCTCCTTTCTCTCTTTGCTGCCATGTGTCAATTCTGACCTAGGGAATTTTTGTGTGTAAAGACCAAAGAATTCCTCTTTTGCCAGCCGTCACTTTTGAGGGGAAGTTTTGAAAAGGTTTCTTCCTTCCTTTTGCTTCTTCTTTCTCTAGAGAAAACCACCATTTCATTTATGAGTTTTTCCAAATTGATTTCTTTTTGAAAAACTGCATTTGAAATACTAATCTGCATCTAGCTACTTAAACACTCTCTCATTTATATTTAGGTCAGATTCAAGACTGATTTCTTCAAGAGTATGGTTTCTTGAAGAAATTGGTCATTCTCCTTTGAATCCAAAATTTGGTTTCTGTTTGAGTTAGAGCTTGCAAGCTAGTGCCATGGGATGAAAGAGCTGGAGAAGGAGCTGCCATTGCCATGAAGAACTGAGCTTCAAGCTTTGCTAAGTTAGAGAAGAAGATTGCACAAAGGAGGTATAGCTCATCTTCCTAAATAGACCTAGGTTTTTCTTGAGCTTACTTGTGTTCCTTTGTAAGAATCTTTTTTTACTTAGTGAATTGCCTGGTCGGTTGATGACCCCAAATTTTTCCCAATGGTGGGTTTTTGGGTGAACAAATTCTGTTTTGCATCTCTGTAAATTTTCTGGGTTTGTGTTCTTAATAGCTGACTAGTCATCGCATGATGTTCATGTGTTTTTGGGTATGTGTTCTCGCTGTTGACTAGTCATCTTTTTCTGTTGTTTGATGCTTACTTGATTATGCTGTCTTCACACACTTTCACCATAGTTGTTGCTAGCACAGGGGATGCCTAGATTGACGGGTCCTTTGGAGTGCCTAGGTTGTCACTAGTAATTCTCTATACTTGCAGGTACATCTTGGTATGCTCTGTGTATGCTATTGTTTGGTGTAATTCATATCTGACAGTTGACTAGTCATAAGAGACTTTGGTCAAGGTCTGGAGTGTGTGAAGCTTGTTGTGTTTTGGTTGAATATCATTTAAATTTACCCTTTGTCACCTAAGTACCAATTTCAATTGTTTAAAACATTCTTCTATGCGTAATGGATTTCTAATGTTTAATTTTAGATGCGACAATAGATGATCAAATTAGGGAATTAGGAATACAAGATTAAGGCTAGACACCATGGCTTAATCATACTTTAGCTAGAATCAATCTGTGAATCTGAATTGAACTTGTTAACTGATTTGCCTCAGTTAGTTATTTTTGTCTTTTATTTACGTGTTTACTTTCGTCGTTTAAGTTTAGTTTTTGTTTTCTTTACCAAATCAAAACACCCAATTTTATTTTGTACAGGGAATCAAATTGAATCAATCTATCATCAATTCTCATAGGATCGACCTCACACTACTTATGCTATACTACTCAACGGCTCGTGCATTTGCAAGTATCACAAGTTGAGGATGCAGCTGAATAGATTTTGGTGCAGCTGATCCGACAACAACAGAAGTTCACGTCAATTATAAAATAAACTAGGGCTAGAAAATATCTTATAACGCAACAAACAAAGCTAGTGTGTGTTATGCAGCTAATTGATTGATTAGGTGTTAAATGATTCATATTAAATTGTTTTCCTCGATGCTGTCATTTGGCTCATGGCTCGCGGGCTGAAGAGGGTAGTTCGAGGCTTAATGGGCCAAAGCCCAGCTTGGCCTGATGGTTAGGCTCGTTCGATCCGACCCATTCTAAGGTTGGATAGGGTTTGTGAAAATGGTACTTAGGTGACGAGGGGTAAATTTAATCACACAAACAAGACACAACAACACAGCAATCTTCACACACTTTAAACCTTGACCAAATACACATATGACTAGTCAACTGCTAGCCATGAACAATCACAATCAAGAGAATACACAGAGCATGCCACAATGTACCTGCAACCCTAGAAGATTACTAGTGACAACCTAGGCACTCAGAAGGACCCGTCAATCTAGGCATCCCCTGTGCTAGCAACAACTATGGTGAAAGTGTGTGAAATCATCATTATCATGTAAACATCAAACAGCATATAAAGATGACTAGTCAACAACCAAGAACACAAACCCAGAAAAATTATAAATATGTGAAACAGATTTTGTTCACCTAGAAACCCACTATTGGGAAAAACTGGGAGTCATCTACCAACCAAGCAATCCACTAAGTAGAAAAAGATTCTTACAAAGGAAACACAACCAAGCTCAAGAAGCACCTAGGTTTATTTAGGAATATGAGCAATACCTCCTTTATGCAATCTTCTTCTCCAACTTAGCAAAACTTGAAGCTCAGTTCTTCATGGCAATGGCAGCTCCTTCTCCAGCTCATTCATCCCATGGCACTAGCTTGCAAGCTCCAACACAGACCGAAACCAATATTTGGATTCAAAGGAGAATAACCAATTTCTTCAAGAAACCATACTCTTGAAGAAATCAGTCTTGAATCTGACCTAGATATAAATGAGAGAATGATTTAAATAGCTAGATGCATATTCGGGTTTCAAAAGCAGTTTTTCAAAAAGATATCAATTGGAAAAACTCATAGATGAAATATTTGGTTCACTCTTGAGGAAGAAGAAGAGAAAGATCGCAAGCCAATCTTTCCAAAACTTCCACCCCAAAAGAGACAGCCGCCAAATGAGCAAAATCGTAGCCTTTATAGACCGAAAAATTCCTTAGGTCAGAAATCCACATGGCAGCAGAGAGAGAGAAAGAAGAATAGGACAAAACAGTTTGTTATCTAGCTGGAAGCAAGGATGACTAGTCATATGACGGATGACTAGTCATCATTTTATGAAGACTGTTTAATGTAATGATATGCAATGCATAATACCTTTGTCAACTTGCTTGAATCTCCATAGAGCATAAATTAGAGAAGAACACCAAGAAAGGTTTTCCTTAATCTAAACTTGAGCTTGATAAATAACAATACAAATCCTATTACAAAGTTGTCAAGGGAAGCCAAAAGAAAGTAACAAAAATCATACATTAACAGTTTGGGTTTAGGATTTGAAACCTCTGGCCCTACCCAACTAGGCCCGCCCATTTGCCTTGTTTTGTTTTTGTCTTATATTGCCTTATTTCCATTCTAAACATTTAATTTATTTTTATAGTACTCCATTTACTTAAGTTTACAATATAAATAAGGGAGTAACCCAATTTGGATTCAATTAAAAAAACTAGAAAATCAAATTCCCAACAAATCAAAATATTAAAATCCTATTTTAGTATAAGATACATTTTATACCAATATTGATACCTCAATAAATCAATTAATGTATACTTTATACTAGAATCTCATAAAATTGTGTCTGATTAATTAAGATATTAGGAATATATATAAACTACCAATAATATCATTGAAAACTTTAGTATTTCAAAGTCCATTTTTCACACTTAGTCAAATTTTGAGAGAAAACAATTTTCAAGTATGATATGTAGTCAAATTTCGATGCACAATAATATAGATTACTACATATCTACTTGAAAAAATTGTTTTCTCTCAAAATTTGACTCATGTATTGCAATTTTTTATTTTTTATGTTTGCAATTTTTTTACAACTTCATTTAAATCTTTTTTACAATCATGTATATACAAAATTTGTTGAAAAAAAGAGGCTAATAACTTTATTTAAAGTACATTTAAATAGAAAATTATGACTAGATTGTTGTTCGGGTTTTAAAAATTGAAACTTGAAAAATAAAATCATTATTTTATATATAAAGAAAACATTAAACTTTAATATATATTATTAGAGAAAGAAAAATAGACTTGAATTTAAGAAATAAACGTAATAGAATTATGTATTATTTTTCCCTAAAATAAATATAATTAAATAGATGAGCTTGAAGAGGGCCGTGCTCAAGTCGGTCCGGTCCATTTGACACCTCTAATACAACATTCAAAAATGTTGTAATGCCCGACTCAAAATCTGATGAAACTTAACTAGTAAAACGATGCTAATCAACTAGGTACAAAAACACATAGCTTTGTTGATCAGTAATTGCAGTTTAAACCATGTTGAAACCTGTCATCAATGAACGAACCTCTATGTTCCTAAACTAAGTAATTGTGCTTGTACAAGATCGAAACAATTGCAAAGCAACATTAGAAGATAGAATTTCCCCACAAACTTGGTACAAAACGAAACAAATGGAATCGAATTACAATAATATTATACAATATTAATTATTCATAATAAGTGGCCTACAAGCCCTGGATGTTTGCTCTATCAGCTCTTATTTTCGTACATCGAACACACACCATTAAACTTAAAGCATGTTAGAACAGACTACTTTTTTCTTCTTATTGATCATGTCCTTCTTCAATTGGTTTATGCTAACTTTGGTTCCGCTTCTTCTTCTCCTAAACTATAGGATGCAGCACCAGCTTGAGCCTTCGTCATGTCTGGTGTTGGTGTTGCCAACTCTGCGGATCCCAACAGTCTTGGAGCGTTCACCTCCAATAATTTTATTGTCAGAAATGTCGAGACCACCTTGACCTGGTCCATTGTAAGATTGCGTTATCCCAATATTCTTACATAAATTGAATAAAACGATTAAATTAGGGTCGTTTTTTATATTTATTTAGGATGATATTGTGAATTTGGGACCTCTTTTTTGGGTCATTTTTTATTATGATTTGGGATGATAGTGTGAATTTGGGACCACTTTTTTCCAAATTAAAGGAAGTATTGTAGAATAAAATTATTTTTGTAATAAGAAGTCTTGACTAGTGAGGACAAAGTATAATTAATTAAACCTTCTTTTCTTTATCGTTTAACAAATATTTATCCTTGCATCTTAGGCCCTAAACACGATTCCTTCTTCCTCCAATATCACTTGTATAACAAATATCGCTTGATGATGAAGTTTAATACTAGCCTTCAGTTTGTTTTTTTAAAGGATCTTTCCTATATTGAAATGGGCGAGAATATACTAAACTCACACACACTACACGGATGCTAGGACTTGAACCCAGAACCTTGTCTAAAGAAACAATTGCTAAACTAATGGGCGCTTTGCAGCAATTAAATTGTTTTAACACTTAAAATTAACAACACATAGCGATGTAACCTACATCAAGGCTCAAAAGATACGAGACAGTTTGTGTGGTACTAGTGGAATGCAGTATACTATATCCAGTATACGGAGCATGAGGTGGAATAGGCTGTTCAAACCCTACGTCTAAGGCAGGCCTTTGTTAAGGTCCTACGTTCCTTTTTTTCTCCCCTTTATCATTATCACTTACATAACAATAACAAAAAATAAATTTCTACTGTATATGAATGGTCTAGTCAAAAGGTACTCCGTTTGGAAAAAAAAATGCAACTTTTTTGCTTTTTCACGCAACAAACAAAGCTAGGGCTAGGGCTAGTAATTATAAAATAAACTAGGGCTAGCAATTATTTTATCACGCAACAAACAAAGCTAGCGTGTGTTGTGCAGCTAATTCATTGATTAGGTGTGAAACGGATCATATCAAATATAGGTTTTCCTTGACATTGTCATTTGGTCCATGCAATGGCGAATTCATGAATTTTCATTCCGGGGATCAACCTGTAAAATGTTAAAAAAATTCTATACGAAATAGACCCATCAAAATGAAACTATAATATTATAATTCATAGTTAATAATTAAAACCATACAAACTAACCAATACAATCTAATAAAAAATCTTACAAGCTAACAAAACTCTAATGTATTCAAACTAACCAAAATAAAATCCCAACAACAACCATTCAAGAATATATATATATATATATATGTGTGTGTGTGTGTGTGAATATTTGTTAATTAACAAACACAAAATTAATCCAATTTACTAAGATACAATCTAATTAAAGCATACAAACTAAAAAATACAATCTAATAAATAAAAAAATAATTCTTTTAATAGAAAGAAAAACCCTAATTTATTTTCAAACTAACAAACACATAAATTAATCCAATTAATTCTTTTTTAATCAAACAAAAGAGTAAATATAGTAGACTTTGCTTAAGAGGATGAATATGCAATTGAATCTAATATAAGAAGAAAATTGAAGAACATAGCAGAAACCATAGGCCGAAATCCTTTACAATCGATCTTCTAAGATTTAGCAGGTACTCATCTTTCCTATCAAATTAAATGATAGTGACCCTCCAAGTTTTCATCATCAATTTTCATCAATTTCTTGGTTTTTTTTTTTTTTTTTTTTTTCTCCAGTCATATCTCTATAGATGCTACAAGAAAAGGCAAGAACATATTCATTAATGTCTTTTAATAGCACAAGATATATACATTTCTTGTATAAAAAAACTTCTAACAAATATAACTTCGGATTGGGTTGGGTAGAATTAGGCGTTGGGGATGGGGATTTAGGGTTTGAATGAGAGCATTGTGTTAAAAACCCGTCCCCAAATATGTTTTATCGGGCAGCAGCTGCTGCAAAGGTTTTTTTTAATTATTATTTTAAAACACCTGAGCCAAAACGACGTCGTTTTGGCCAGGTTTAAAAAATAATAAATAAATAAAAACTCTTAAGTGGCACGACATCATTTTGACGTTAGGATAAAAAAAAAATGAAGCGCTGAGCACGCAAGCAGCAAGCTTCTCGCTGGTTGTGGGCCGCGGCTGCTTCCTCTTTGGGGCATTTCATCAAACAAATTTTGGGCAATTTGTAGGGTTCAAGTTCTTGGCCACCTATGATGGATTTCTGGGTTTGCAAGGGTCAATTGACCCCCTTCCCCTATGTGGATCCGCCACTGGGTCCATGGTTCGTGAGCTGAAGTGGGTAGCTCAAGGCCTAATGGGCCAAAGTTCAGCTTAACTCAATGGTTAGGCTCATTCGATCCAGCCCATTCTAAGGTTGGATAGAGCTTGAGCTTAGGATTTGAAACCTCCGACCTGGCCCGACTAGGCACGCCTATTTGCTAGGTTTTGTTTTTGCCTTATATTGCCTTATTTCCATTCTAAACATTTAATTTATTTTTATATTACTCCATTTACTGAAGTTTACAATGTAAATAAGGAAGTAACCCCATTTGGATTCAATTAAAAATACTAGAAAATCAAATTCCCAACAAATCAAATATGAAAATCCAGTTTTAGTATAAGATGAAAGCTTTCTTCATGGAAGCCATGGATGAACCTGATCAAGCTTCTCATACTAGAAGTATTGAGAGAGAGAGAGAGAGAGAGAGAGAGAGAGAGAGTAGAGTTCTCAAACTGATTTTCTCATTCACTAATTTACAGAGTTTGCAATTAGACTTATATATCTCTTCTAGCTAAGTAACTAGTGAATTAAGTTAAAAACAGATTAACAACAATAACAACCAGCCAGCTCATCCTAACTAACAGACATGTGACCATCCTAACAGACACGTGCATCATGAGTTACATTCATTCTGGTGGTTTGGGTTGTAGACTAACATCCCCCCTCAAGCTAATGCTTGGGGGACTAAGCATTAGGTTGTTTCAAAGATAAGAAAACTAAGAAGTATGCAGCCCTTTAGTGAATATATCAGCTAGTTGATTACTACTAGGAATACGAAAAACTAGCATATCACCCCTAGTAACACGCTCACAAATAAAGTGGAAGTCGATCTCAATGTGCTTAGTGCGTGCATGAAACACAGGATTGCTAGCAAGGGCTAAAGCCAAAATATTGTCACACCGAAGAACAGGGGGATGATCAAGAAAGATATGAAGATCTCATAGAAGTTGGCAAAGCCAGGATAACTCAACGGCAGTGATAGCAAGAGCCCTGTATTCTGCTTCAGTCGAGGAACGAGAGACGGTGTTCTGCTTCTTAGCACACCAAGAGATAGGGTTATTGCCGAGAAAGACAACATACCCTATTGTAGACCGACGATCATTGACATCACCTACCCAGTCTGCATCGGAATAGGCTTGCAGATGAACATCACCAGAGGTTAAATGAATGTCGTGAGTCAAAGTACCAGCCAAATAGCACAGCACAAGTTTGGCAGCACCAAAATGAGTATTTGTAGGAGTATGCATAAACTGGCAAAGAGTGTTCACTACAAAAGCAATATCAGGCTTGCTAAGGTAAGATATTGAAGCCCGCCTACTAGACTTCTATTGAGCGTAGGATCCGAGAGAGGTGTGCTATCAAACTTGAGTAACTTTGCTGTAGGTAAACAGGGTGTAGAACAAGGCTTGCATTGATTCATACCAGCTTTAAGAAGAAGATCAGTGGCACATTTGGATTGATTAACATGAATGCATGTGGAAGTATACTGAACTTGGAGTCCCAGAAAATAGGTTAATTGGCCGAGATCCTTCATATCAAATTCACAACTAAGAGCTGTAATGGTCTGCTGAATCAAGACACTATTATTCCCAATCAAGATGATATCATCGACATATAAGAGGAGAACAAGAAGATCACTCCCAAACACGCGAACAAACAGAGATGTATCAGCCAAGGATGAATAAAACCAAAGGTAAGCAAATGAGTAGTGAAACTCTCATTCCAAGCTCGAGGAGCTTGTTTCAACCCATAAAGTGACTTCAATAAGCAGCACACATGATGAGGATGAGCAGAATCTTCAAAACCTGGGGGATGTTGCATATATACCTCCTCATGAAGTACACCATGAAGAAAAGCATTCTTCACGTCATGTTGTTTAATGGACCAATGATATTGAGCAGCTAAAGCAAGGATCAATCGAACTATAGAGTGCTTGACAACAGGACTGATGTTTCATCATAATCAAGACCAACCTCTTGATGAAACCCTTTGGCAACCAACCGAGCCTTGTGCCGAGAAATGGAACCATCAGCATTTTTCTTAAGTTTGAACACCCATTTACAACCAACAATGTTCATGGAGGGTTGATAAGGAACAAAAGTCCAAGTATGCTGCTTTTCAAGAGCCTGAAACTCATCAACCATAGCATGATTCCATTCTGAAACCTTGGCAGCCTGAGAATAAGTTTGTGGTTCATGGAAAAGAGAAGGACCACTTGTGGACTTGGCAGCCAAGAAACCATGTTGAGACTTGATAATTCCAGACTTGAAGCGAGTTTGCATAGGATGTGAGTTAACAGGTGGAGCAAGAAGGTCCACAATCAGATCTAGGGAAGGGGACTAATCCGAGGCATGCGCAGGAGAAGAAGATAATGTGAATGACTGAGTGGAAGACTCTGTTGGTACCTGATCCTGTAGTGGCAATAGCTGATCCTATACAAACTCAGTAGAAGAATCAATAACATCAACAGAAGATACTACTTCCCTTGCATTAGATACTGGACTTGCTAATTGGTTAGTAGAAGGAGCATGTGGTAAACCATCAAGTCTAGGAGTGCTTGCAGAGTGTAGATAAGATCTAGGAGAAAGGGAAGGGCGTAGTGGTGTGAATTCTAGTGGTTTGGTACTTTCTGGTGAAAAGGAAGAACTCTTAAAAGGAAAACAAGTCTCATCAAAAACAACATGGCGAGAGATGTAAATGCGATCAGTTTTGGGTACCAGACAAAGATAACCTTTATAATCCAAAGTATACCCCAAAAAGACACATTGTTCAGACCTAGGTTGCACTTTAGATTGAGTATAGGGTCGTAATAAAGGGTAGCATGCACATCCAAACACCTTCAAAAGAGTAATATTGGGTTCTTTGTGGAACAGCTTAGAGAAAGGAGATTGCATACCTAAAGACTTGCATAGCATCCTATTAATGAGATAGTTAGCTGTGGATAATGCATGAAAAAGATATTTGGAAGGAAGAGCGGCAATAGTGAGAAGTGTAACAGCAATTTCAACTAAGTGGCGATGTTTCCTTTCAGTCCTTCCATTTTGCTCAGGGGTGTAAGGACAAGACTTATGGTGTAAAATCCCTTTGGAACCAAGATAGGTCTGAAAATCTTTACTAACATATTCATCCCCACCATCGGATTGGAAAGTCTTAATGGAAGTAGCAAACTGATTCTCAATGTAGGCAAGAAAATAAACAAAAGTAGGGAAACAATCAGATTTCATCAAGAAAAATTACGTAGTACCTATGACCATGCAGAAAGGAATAGGGAGTAGGACACCAGATATCCGAGTGTATCACTTCAAAAGGGATTTGAGACATAACATGTGAAGATGGAAATGGTTGTTTACACATCTTGCCTTGTAAACAAAAGCTACATATATGTGGCAAACGAGTAATATCATGAGAAGGATGAACTAATCTATAGTGCCACAGAGTATGGCACACTTTGTGACCATGAAAAGCAGCCAGGCTAGGAAAAAGGGAAGGTGTCCTTGTTGGAAGTGGACAAAGACCATTATGGAACTGTCCTTGATACAGAATTCGCCCCTGCAGATCTTGGATTTGGAACCACAATGCATTATATAAAATCTGGCAGTGATTATCAAGACAAAATCGATGAACTGACAACAAATTAGTGGCAAGATTAGGAACATGGAAGACCTCAAGTAGATGAAAGACTTGATGACCAGAGACAAGAGAGGAACTACCAACATTAGCAGTCCTAAGTCCAGTACCATACTTATAGTAACATTATCAGTGGAAGTGGAAGGAGTGATGTTGGAGAGCAGCTGAAGATCGGATGTCATATGGTTTGTAGCACCACTGTCTATCAGCCATATGTTGGGATCTGAGAATGAGCCACTAGCAGTTGCAGTAAGAGCTGTAAGTGCTGGAGATGGAGGTATGCCTTGATATGAGAAATTGGTGCGATGTGGGCAATTAGGAGTTGTGTGACCAAACTGGAGACATATTTGACATGTTTCAGTAGCTAGAGAAGATGCAACAGTTGAAACTGGTGGAGCCATGGGTGAAGGTGACAAAACACCAGGGCTGGAGTTCGGAGAGACAAAATACTGAGTAAAAGAACCTGAGTTGCCCCTTAGATGCCATGGACCACTAGTAGAATGCCATGAACCTGTATTGTTGAAACCAGCATTGTTATTCCACGAACCAGATCCTTGGTTCCATTGACCATAGGAATTTCCAGACTGACCACCATGATTCCACTTATTGGTAGAACCATTCCAGTTAGGACCATTATTACCACCACCATTATTATTCCAAGTATTGCCTCGGCCACCATTATTCCATGATTTGCCCCGAGACCAAGAGCCACGACCACGATAATTCGTGGGTTGATTCCAGTTAAGTTGCCAATTTGGATTAGCAACTCCACGATCAACCAAACCAGAGTGAAAATTATCACCATGGGCAACATGTGGTGATAAGGATACGGTGCCTTTCTGAGCAACCATAGCAATCATGATCGGAGAATTAAAGAACTTAACAGCATCATCCAAATCACATTCTTCTTCGAGCAATAAATCACACAACTCTGGAAGAGTAACTCGAACTGGTCGAGCACGAATATGAGATTTGAAGGGATTGTATTCCACAGGTAAGCCTTTAAGAATAAGCAAAATGATATCCTGATCTGAAATAGAATGACCAGCAGTTGACAATTGCTATTGAGCTGCACGAACCTTCTTCCAATAGACCTCCACAGAATCAGTTCCTTTCTGCATTCCATGCAAATTATTCTTGAGATGCATGATCTTAAGCTCAGAGATCGAAGAATAACGATCTCACAGTGTATTCCAGGCCTCTGTAGCAGACTTACAATTCATCTTCTTAGAGAAAGCATCATTTGAGAGACTTGGAGCAATTAAGTTAAAAATAGCAATATCCATTGCTTCCCAGTCTAGATAATCATCTCCATCAGGATCAGTAGGCACCGTAACCGTGCCATCAAGAAAATCAGAAAGTCAATAAACTTTGAGAAATTTCACAACCTGATAGCTCCATTGCATGTAATTCGTATCATCCAATTTCAAAGTAATATAATTGGAGGCATTATGAAGCAAATCAATCGGTGTAACAGAGCTTTTCCCCATTTTCAACAGAAGCTAGGGTTTAGGCACACAATCAACTAGTGCAGAAATTATGAAATTCTGACTGTGTTCAGAGAGAAATGAAGCAAGAGAGTGTATCGCCAGACCAATTCGAACAAACAAGAATCGAAAATGGAGATGAAGAAAAATGACAAAGATACGAAGAAATTGAGAAGAAAGCAAAACCTCACAAAGACGACCTAGAGAGATACGAGCTAAGAAGTGAGCAGCGGAATAGAGAAATCAATCACGATATGCAGAGGTGAAGCTCTGATACCATCAAAGCTTTCTTCATGGAAGCCATGGATGAACCTGATCAAGCTTCTCAGACTAGAAGAATTGAGAGAGAGAGAGAGAGAGAGAGAGAGAGAGAGGAGAGAGAGAGAGAGAGAGAGAGAGAGAGAGTAAGCGAAACAGAACAAGAGAGAAAGTAGAGTTCTCAAACTGATTTTCTCATTCACTAATTTACAGAGTTTACAATTAGACTTATATATCTCTTCTAGCTAACTAACTAGTGAATTAAGTTAAAAACAGATTAACAACAACAAGAACCAACCGGCTCATTATCCAGCTCATCCTAACTAACAGGCACGTGACCATCCTAACAGACTCGTGCGTCATGAGTTACATTCATTTGGGTGGTTTGGGTTGTAGACTAACATAAGATATCTATTATACCAATATTGATACCTCAATAAATCAATGTATACTTTATATTAAAATCTCATAAAATCATATTTCATTATTTAAGATATAAGTAATATATATAAACCAGCAATAATATCATTGAAAACATTAGTATTTCAAAAGTTCATTTTTCACACTTAGTCAAATTTTGAGAGAAAACAGTGTTGGAAAATTTAATATTAACTAATATTGATTTTCCTATTTGAATGGAAATTAATAAAATCCATTGGGTTAATGACATGACCCTTGGGTTAAAGACATCTTCACATGGGGAGTAACAACTCTTCAAAACTAAAGGATGCATTGTTTAGGGTGACAACTCTTCAGACCAAGGGATGCATTGTTTGCCTTTTTCAGATTGAGATACCTTTTTAGAAAGGGTATTTCATCATCTATAAATAGAGCAATCCTCCTGCAGTTTTATTCATTCAGTTTAATTATCTACATACAGACTTTTACATATAGAAAGCATTAGAGTTTTCATAAAGAGAGGTTCCTGTATAATTTGGTTCAAAGTTCCTTGTGAATTGTAGTGCTTCTTTCACAAGGAGGGGAGTCGTTGTATCCTGGGAGGCGAACGCTAGTGAACCATAAGCACCGGTGTGGGGCGTAATTCGTCTTAAGGTCAGAGTGTCCAACACTTGCCTCGACTCAATTAAGGTTCTTCTAATTCAATTCTCCTTTTGTAAAAATCTGTTTTATGTGCAGTATTTATTTTGTTTATTTTATAGCAATTTATCACTCACATTTTCCTACAAACAGTTTCTCAAGTATGATATGTATTCAAATTTTGATGCACAATAATATAGCTACATATCTACTTGAAAAAAAATTTCTCTCAAACTTTGACTCATGTATTGCATTTTTGCTCTATCAGCTCTTAATTTCGTACATGGAATACACACCATTAAACCTAAAAACACGGAAGAACAGACTTTTTTTTTTTTTTTTTTATTGATCATGTCCTTCTTCAATTGGTTTATGCTAACTTCGGTTCCGCCCCTTCTTCTCCTGAACTATAGGATGCAGCAACAGCTGGAGCCTTCGTCAGGTTTGGTGTTGCCAACTCTGCGGATCCCAACAGTCGTGGAGCGTTCACCTCCAATAATTGTATTGTCAGAAATGTCGAGACCACCTTGACCTGGCCCATTGCAAGATTGCGTCAACCCAACATTCTTACTGCCCTGGCCTCCTCTAATTTCATTGTTACGAACCTGGTTCCTACTGCTGCCGCCTCCTCCCTGATCCATATTCACTTTAGGGAGCTTCAGAGTTTGAGTGCTAGATGAACTATCGGTGTTTGCCTGCCCTCTCCCTTATATAACCGGATAAAAGTTCAAGCGCCCGCTAGCAAAGTTTGATTCTAAAGTAAAAGTGAGCATGGTGACGAAGAAAAACAAGTACCAGTGGGCTTGGAGTCTGACACACAGTATATTTAATATTATGAAAAATTTGACTTCTCCTCAAGTTCATTTCTTTTGGATGGAATCCATCATTACTTTGTTTTTTCTTGTCGAAAAGCCGGTGATTAAGAGCAATGAGAAAAAAAATGAAATCCAACCTTTTGACCAAAATGGAAGTGACGATCCTAGTGGTGCCTGCTTAGGTCACCAACTTAGGTCATTTGGTCTATTGATGATGAAGGGATTATTCGGGGTGATGGTGTGAATTTGGGACCTCCTTAATAAAATTATTTTTGTAATAAGAAGTCTTGACTAGTTAGGACAAAGTATTTCAATTATAATTAATTAAACCTTCCTTTCTTTAGTGGTAATTCACTTTTCAGGACGAAAAGTGTTAAATTTGAATTCTCTTGTTCAAAATTCACTCATCTCTACAAGAGGTTTGTAGTTCAATTGCTTAACAAATATCTACCATTGCATCTTAGGTCCTACACTCGATTCATTCTTTCTTTCTTTAATGTCACTTGTATAACAAATATCTCTTGATGATGAAGTTTAATATTAGCCTTCAAATATTTTTTTTAGGATCTTTCTTATTTGCAGCAAACCACTAAACTAGTGGACCATTTGCAGCAATCAAATAGTTTCAACAGTTTAACAACACGTAGTAATGTAACCTACATCAAGACTCAGAAGATATGAGACAGTTTGTGTGGTAGTGGAATGCAGTAACTATATCCAATATATGGAGCATGAGGTGGAATAGGCTGGGATAGATGGAAGTGTCCACCAGAATTAGGTGGTGGAGAAGGAGGGGCATATATAGTGAAGCGGTGACCCATTTGTGATGAAGTCATCGCTGAAAAAATTGGTCGGGAACGACATTTGTATTTTTATAGGGGAAATAATCAGCATGCATCTCTCATTTGTCTTGTTTGTTTTTTTGGGTATCTTTTAATCTCATTTTCACAAGGAAGCTAGCTCTTGACGAAAGTTGCATCTGTCAAATGAATGAAACTAAAAATTAAACTCATAATAAGAGGAATTATCAGTGTCGGTTTCTTCGAAGGAGTCAACTTGTTTTTCTTCGCTGTGGCCTTTTTTCATAGACGTGGGTGTTGCCAAACCCGAAAATTCCCACCTTCTCTGAAGTCATTGCCGCCTCTGCCACCGGATGCCATAATTTCATTTCCATGAATGTGCAATAAACGTTTTTACCATGCATATAAAACATATCATCAAGCTAGATGATATTGAGATGACTTAAATCGGTCATGCAAGAACCCCACATATCATCAAGCTAGATGCAGATGGATTGAATTTAACAGATGGGACCAAACCGATGGTGGATAATGAACTTGTTCGATGCGGATGGAAAACGGACAATTGCATGTGGAATCAATATTACAAGTCCGTTGACTGACTTTCTGACATCAATGGTGCATTTGAACTTTCCCACTGAAGACTTGAAAAGTGAACTCCAAGTTTTTCTTCCCATTGAAAGTCTTGCGTCAATGAGTACCCCCACCCCCACCACGTTGATTTTTTATTTCTTTCTTTTCCAAAATCATTAACATTTAGCATCTATGAGGTGAGATTTCTTTTTTTCTTTGTTTTCCAAAGAGAAATAATATAAAAGTGAAGTAAAAAAAAATTTAATGGGGTAAAGGTAGAATAGGAAAGAGAAAGAACAAAAAAGAACAAAATTAACTAAAAAATATTAAAAAGTAAAAGGGATTGGGAAAATTTACTCCTGTAAAAGCTTATCATCACAAATAATCTCATAAAATTGTGTCTAATTATTTAAGATATAAGGAATATATATAAACCACCAATAATATCATTGAAAACATTAGTATTTCAAAAGTCCATTTTTCACACCTAGTCAAATTTTGAGAGAAAACAGTTTTTCAAGTATGATATGTAGTCAAATTTTGATGCACAATAATATAGATTACTAGATATCTACTTGAAAAAATGTTTTCTCTCAAAATTTGACTCATGCATTGTAATTTTTTTTTTGGTAATTTTTTTACAACTTCATTTAAATCTTTTTTACAATCATGTATATACAAAATTTGTTGAAAAAAGAGGCTAATAACTTTATTTAAAGTACATATAAATAGAAAATTATGACTAGATTATTGTTCGGATTTTAAAAATTGAAACTTGAAAGATAAAATTATTATTTTATATATATTAATATATATATATATATTATTAGAGAAAGGAAATATACTTGAATTTAAGAAATAAATGTAATAATATTATGTATTATTTTTCCTTAAAATAAATATAATTTAATAAATGAGCTTTAAGAGGGCCGTGCTCAAGTTAGTACGGTCCGTTTAACACCTCTAATACAACATTCAAAATGTTGTAAGAATTAAATCATACCCGACTCAAAATCTGATGAAACTTAACTAGTAAAACGATACTAATCAACTAGGTACAAAAACACATACCTTTGTTGATCAGTAATTGCAGTTTGAACCATGTTGAAACCTGTCATCAATGAACGAACCTCTATGTTCCTAAACTAAGTAATTGAGCTTGTACAAGATCGAAACAATTGCAAGCAACATTAGAAGATAGAATGTCACCACAAACTTGGTACAAAACGAAACAAAAGGAATGGTGAAAATGATACTTAGGTGACGAGGGGTAAACTTAATCACACAAACAAGACACAACAACACAGCTAGCTTCACACACTTTAAACCTTGACCAAATACACATATGACTAGTCAACTACTAGTCAAGAAACAATCACAACCAATAGAATACACAGAGCATGCCACAATGTACCTGCAATCCTAGAAGATTACTAGTGACAACCTAGGCACTCAGAAGGACCCATCAATCTAGGCATCCCCTGTGCTAGCAACAACTATGGTGAAAGTGTGTGAAATCATCATTATCATGTAAACATCAAACAGCAGATACAGATGACTAGTCAACCACCAAGAACACAAACCCAGAAAAATTACAGATATGCAAAACAGATTTTGTTCACCCAGAAACCCACCATTGGGAAAAACTGGGAGTCATCAACCGACCAGGCAATCCACTAAGTAGAAAAAGATTCTTACAAAGGAAACACAACCAAGCTCAAGAAGCACCTAGGTCTATTTAGGAATATGAGCAATACCTCCTTTGTGCAATCTTCTTCTCCAACTTAGCAAAGCTTGAAGCTCAGTCCTTCATGGCAATGGCAGCTCCTTCTCCAGCTCGTTCATCCCATGGCACTAGCTTGCAAGCTCCAACACAAACCGAAACCAATTTGGATTCAAAGGAGAAAGACCAATTTCTTCAAGAAACCATACTCTTGAAGAAATCAATCTTGAATCTGACCTAGATATAAATGATAGAATGATTTAAATAGCTAGATGCAGATTTGTGTTTCAAATGCAGTTTTTCAAAAAGAAATCAATTGGAAAAACTCATAGATGAAATAAGATGGTTCTCTCGTGGAAGAAGAAGCGAAAGATGGCAAGCCAAACTTTCCAAAACTTCCACCCGAAAGAGACAACAGCCAAATGAGAAATATCGTGGGCTATACAGACCAACAAATTCGTTAGGTCAGAAAACCCACTTGGCAGCAGAGAGAGAGAAAGAAGAATAGGACAAAACAGTTTGTTATCCAGCTGGAGGCAAGGATGACTAGTCATATGAGAAACGGTTGACTAGTCAGCTTTTTATGAAGACTGTTTTATGTAATGATATGCAATGCTCAATACCTTTGTCAACTTGCTTGAGCCACCATAGAGCAGAGATTAGAGAAGAGCACCAATAAAAGTTTTCCCTAATCTAGACTTGAGCTTGATAAATTACATTACACATCCTATTACAAAGTTGTCAAGGGAAGCCAAAAGAAAATAGTAAAAACCATACATTAACAAATGGAATTACAATAATATTATACAATATTAATTATTCATAATAAGAGGCCTACAAGCCTGGATGTTTGCTCTATCAGCTCTTATTTTCGTACATCGAACACACACCATTAAACTTAAACCATGTTAGAACAGACTACTTTTTTCTTCTTATTGATCATGTCCTTCTTCAATTGGTTTATGCTAACTTTGGTTCCGCTTCTTCTTCTCCTAAACTATAGGATGCAGCACCATCTGGAGCCTTCGTCAGGTCTGGTGTTGGTGTTGCCAACTCCTTGGATCCCAACATTCTTGGAGCCACGTGCAACAAATCTATTGCCAGAAACGTTGAGACCACCTTGACCTGGTCCATTGAAAGAGTCCTTTATCCCAACATCCTCACTGCCCGATTCTGCTATAAATTCATTGTGAAGAAACTGGTTCCTACTGCTGCCGCCTCCTCCCTTACTCATATTCACCTTAGGGAGTTTAATATTAAGAGTTTGAGTGCTTGATGAAGTATCGGTCTTTGTTTGCCCTCTCCCTTAATATATAGCTGGATAAAAGTTCAAGTGCTCGTTCGCAAAGTTTGATTGTAAAGTAAAAGTGAGCATGGTGACGAAGAAAAATAAGTACCAGTGGGCTTGGAGTCCGACACACGGTATATTTAATAGTATGAACAATTTGACTTCTCCTCAAGTTCATTTTCTTTTGCATGGAATCCATGCATTATTTTGTTTTTTCTTGTCTAAGAGCCGGTGATTAAGGGCAATGAGAAAAAAATTAAATCCAACCTTTTGACCAAAATGGAAGTGACGATCCTAGTGGTGCTTGCTTAGGTCACCAACTTAGGTCATTTGGTGCTCTATTGATGATGAAGGGATTATTTGGGATGATGGTGTGAATTTGGGTGAATTTGGGACCTCCTTTTTCCAAATTAAAGGGAAGTAGTTTTAGAATAAAATTATTTTTGTGATAAGAAGTCTTGACTAGTTAGGACAAAGTATTTCAATTATAATTAATTAAACCTTTTCTCTCTTTAGCGGTAATTCACTTTTCAGGGCTGAAAGTGCCAAATTTGAATTCACTTGTTCTCTATCGCTTAAAAATCACTCATTTTTACAAGAGGTTTGTAGTTCTATTGCTTAACAAATATTTGCCCTTGCATCTTAGGTCATAGACTTGGTTCATTCTTTCTCCAATATTGCTTGTATAACAAATATCGCTTGATGGAGTTTAACATATTAGCTTTCAAATTGTTTTTTTTTAAAGACCTTTTTATTAAGAGGGGCGATAATACACTAAACTTACACACACTACACATATACTAATACTCGAACTCAGGCCCCAGTATCATTGCTTTCATTATTGGTATTTTTAGTTCTTGGTGGGGGTTGTATAATAATTCCAACATTCACTACTACAAAAAGTGAAAAAGACAACGGTAGAAGAAAAAACCGTCGTTGTATTTAAAAAGACGACGGTAACAAAAAACCGTCGTGGATAAGTGACTTAAACAACCCTTTTTAAACAAGAGTCATCTATTATAGGTAAAGACGACCCTTTTTAAAAAAAAACCGTCGTCTTTACCTATAATAGACTACTCTTTTTAAAAAAAAACCGTCATCTTTACTTTCAACTCTTTAAATGCGTTTTTGGAAGGCTAAACGACCTCAAATGGCCAAAAACCACCATATGTCAATGCATAGCATTGAGTCTGATTCCTGGTTTCATTCCCTTTTCAAAAACGTATCATGGACCTCAATCAGAGCTCGGATGATAAAACTGCAAATTCCCACTACGTCCCTTCTGCTTCCACTGTTTTTATGCAGTAAAGACGACGGTTTTTTTTTTAAAAGGGTCGTCTATTTTATGTAAAGATGACGGTTTTTTTTTAAAAGAGTCGTCTATTATATGTAAAGATGACGATCTTTTTTTTAAAAGCGTCGTCTTTTAAAACACGCTAAAAAATGGCCGCTTAAGTGAATTCGCGCTCAACAAATTTTCAAATTTTCACCCGTCTTTGAAAACCCTATCTCTCATTAACAAGCGTCGTCTTTTAAAACACACTAAAAAAAGGCTACTTAAGTGAATTCGCGCTCGACAAATTTTCAGATTTTCCCCCATCTCTGAAAACTTTATATCTCCCTCCTTGAAACCCTCCTGCACTCTCTAAAACACCCTCATGAAACTCTCTAAAAGACCCTTCTATATCTTGCTAGTGAATTCTGGATTAGTCTCTTTGCGTTTCTGGTATGTTCTTTGTCTCCCTAATTTCAGATTTTGTCTCTCTTGATTTGTTTGGTTTGTTTACATATTTTTTTATATTTCTGGTTTCTTTTTAGATTTTATGATTTGGTTATCAGGAGATGATGAGGAAGCTTGTAGATTTATTACTTTTTCCTTTGCAGGTTTTCTATGTGAGTCGTATGTTTTTTTGTTGTTGAAAATTTGTTACCTTCTCTTTTCACCATCATTTTATTTATATATTTTTCCTTTTGCAGGTTCTCGATGGTCTTTTTTATGCTCATTTTACAAGTTTTCTATGGAAATATGGACCAAAAGTAAAATTTCTCTTCCACCTAATTTTTTATGTTTATAATCTTAACTTTTTTTCTCTCTTTGTCATTTTGATTTATTTACAGGGATGATGGAGGAGACTTTAGTTGTGCATCATTTGTATGTTTGGATGAGGATGCTTGGATTAGGAGTACGTAGGTCTTGTTAGGAATTATGTTTGTTGTAGAATAAAGATTGTTAGGAATTATGTAATAACTATTGAATCTTCAAGTTTTATGAAAGAAACTATTTTTGAGTGTATATATTCATTAATAAAGCATTATGGTTGGTTTTCTAGTTAAAATCGTTGTATAGCATCATAGGAAATCAAAAAGAACTAAAATGTAGCAGTTTGGAAACTTATTAGACGACGGTTTTTATAATAAATCATGGTCTTTATAGATAATTAACGACGGTTTTTATAAAAAAAGTGTCGTCTATTATAGGTAAAGATGACCTTTTTTTTTAAAAAGGGTCGTCTATTGTATGTAAAGATGACGGTTTTTTATTTATAAAAAACCGTCGTCTTTATAAAAAATCCACGACGGTTTTCATAAAAAATCGTCATCTTTACATACAATACACGACGGTTTTATTAAAAACAGTCGTCTTTTCTCCTATAATTAATGATCTTTACCTCTAAACAACGACGATTAACTTTAAAAACCGTCGTCTTTATAGATAAACAACAACGGTGAAAAGCCGTCGTAGTTTGAAACCCAAATAGACGGCAGTCGATTTCACGACGGTTGGAAAACCTTTTACACGACGGTGGTTTCCCGTCGTCTATTTCGATTTTTGTAGTAGTGATATTTGCCATCTCGTTTTGCAATTGTTGAGTTTCATTTTAATTTCCTCATTAAAATGGAATTACAGTAATATTGAGTATTCATAATAAGAGGCCTACAACACATCGAACACACACCATTAAACCTAAACCATTATGGACATCTTATGGGCAGTGGACGCTATCTCTGGACTCAGCGTTCCCAAAACCATCAAATTGATCTTCTCTGGGGCACTTGATATCGCTTATAACAAGAATCTATGGTGGCTTATCATATGATATCATGTTGTTACTTGCTAGTAACGAAGGTACAATTTGGTAAGAATCTAAGATGTAATTTTAGACCCAACTGAAACCCCCATGTATTATAATATTTCTATTTCCATCATCTCACAGGTTTCTTTCTGTAACTAATCAAGTATTGAAGTGTGGTGGTTCTCTTGCTGTGGAAAACTTTCACAAATTAACGTTAATATCCACCTCCCCATCTCACTGTATTTCTGTGCTATATAGGGCTCACAACCTTTGGCTGCCTTAAAATTTATAAATAAATCATTCATAAGTATAAAACATACATATACTTGCTATACATAACTTTTATTTTATCATGACAAGGAGTTTAGATGTGGGAAATAAACTTGGAATTTTGACAAAAGTTAGAATTTCTTCGTGTGTTTGGATATAAAAAAAAAACAAATAAATCAAGAAAAAAAAAAAAAAAAAAAAAGAAAAGGGATCAGTTAGCCAAACAAGGAAAACAAATTTTATTGTTTTTCTCTTGAGAACAATCATTTATGAAATTTGAATGCATAGACAATTTATGAATAGAGATAAAATAAGAGTATTTTTTATAATAGAAAACGGATAAGTGCGTACCTTTATTTTAGAGTTTTTCTATTTAAACCCCGCACTTCTCTTTGTTCACCCCATATTCTAAGTTCACCTCAACTTCTAATTCAAATTTTCACAATTTCTAAAAAAACCTCACTATCTTCCAAAACTACCCTAAATACACACCCAGTAGAAAAAAATAATAATAAATAAAACTCATCAACCTCACACTCCACACTCCGCTATCTTGCTCCTCACCACTCTAAGTTCACCTCAATCTCACATTACTTAAAGAGATAAAAACATTGTTGTCACATGTGTAGCAACATTATTTTATTAGTATTATTATTTTTAAAAAAAATTGAGAATGAACTAGGAGGTTTTGATAGAGAAATGTTCACAGTTAAATTAATATGTAAGTTACCATCATCAAACATGAAGAGTGGTTGAGTACGTGTATAGATGTACTAGGATTAAGTATTACGTTGGATGACCTTTTTTGTCGTTTTACACAATAATAAAACTTAAGAGCTTAATAATCTACCGCTTTAAGTACTATGGTGAACAAAGAAAAATATGATGTTTAAATAGAAAAACTCTTATTTTATCATTAGTGTTTTTTTATTTTTCTATCAATAACTGCCATCCATGATATGAACTCATGGACTGCTTTAATAAAGCGGAGACTCAATCTATAAGATTATTAGCATTTAATGATGATTAATTACCCATAAGATGCGAGAATTCAAATCTATTTTGAACCTAGACAGCAGCAAAAGGCTGAGATTTAGATTGATGAAGTAACAATTACCCCGAACTTAAATATATTGATTGATGAAAAGTAAAGCTAAAGTCTACCAGCCTGCGTAACTTTGTGTAGGAGATTCTCATCCATTGATTAGCGCGCTTCAACTTTCTGGGGCTGTTTGGTCCACTCTGTTTGGTCCACGGGTGTGTTCCGTGGTTTTTCGGTTTTGTTCCTCCCTGTTAGTTTGGGAGGGTTTGGTGCTGTTTTGTTTCTCTCTCTGTTTGTTTTTGTTTCTTCGGTGGTGGTTGCCTTATCCACCTCCGTGTTCTTTTGCTTAATAAATTTCGTTTCTTCTCAAAAAATATAATTTCTACAGAGATCCTCTGCTGTCCTCCCACAAATAACTCAAAATTGTTTCAGATATACTCTTTCTTCAACCCTCGTTGCATAAAAAATGGAAACAATCAAATCCAAACACACCTTATATAAAACACAGAATCTAAAACACAAACAGAATAAATTAAAGGCTATGGCGATGACAGTAATGGCAAAAAATATGTAATGAGAACAATTCAGAAATCACGGAAGCTCATTTTAGGATCCACCTTCTTCCCGGTACCCCGCCCTCTTCCCCTATATCCACCTCTCCTTGATCCTCTACCCCTTCCTCTTCCACCCATGCGCTTGAAAAATGATTTGCCATATTTCATCTCCACTAGGGAATGGAGCAATTCATCACAAAGAATGCAACCGGTATACAACGTCTCTCCATTCTCCAAGGGTGTTGTCTTTTTATTGAAGTCCACTTCTAAGATTGTGGAGTCACACTCAGGGCACCGCTCTCGAGTAGTGGAAATCTGGTGAGCTCCTTCGGGGAGCAAGACAAGGAAATTGCACATATTGCAACAGAGCCGCCATTTGGGAGCACTCACAGGGTCTAGAACAAGTGTTCCACTACATTCAGGGCAAGCACAGACTCCTTGGGCAATCAAAGAATGTCGACATGTGGGGTGTGGGCATAGGAAGCATGGCATCCCAGCTCCCTTTCCCAGCTGGCTTGATGGACCAGATTTTACAGCACCAAAGAGCGTGTCGATACCTTCAAAAGGAGGACTATTGTAGCAGTATGGGCAGAGAGGAAATGACTTGCCATCCGGGCCAGGCATGGAGAAGATTAGTAGCTCAAAGTTGTCAAGAGGACAAGTAAGTTCCTTGTAGAGCTGCAAAAAGGAAGTGCTTGATTTAAACACGAGAAGTTTCATAACAAGAATTTGAAACAAGATATTAGAAAAAAGCAATCTTGATGATAAAAAGAAAGTTCAATTTTTTTAGCCATAGACTAAAATTAATTCTACATTCTAGAAACTGTATGTTCCGTTCCAAAGAAAAGATAAGAATACAAAAATGGTATTTACAGACCTTGATTTCAACTTGTGATGCATATCATATTAAAATATAGGTTGAAGTTTTTGATTCGTGATTAACTAGAGAACCTCAATTATAAGTGCATACCTTAATGCTACCCTTTTGAGGAAGATAATAAACCTCCTCGCATGTATTACAATACAAACGTGAAGGTTGGCTGGAAATGTGCTTCATGTACCGTAGACATTTGCCACATTTACTGAGAACTCGTCCTGAGTCAGCAAGGGGAGAGAATTGTGCTTCAAATAATGCATCCATGTTTTCAATCTGCACCAAATAGCAGAAATGGTTCATACAAATTAAGCAGATATGTCCATCATCCAATAAACCATACAGCAGACTAAGGAGTGCAACATCGTCCAAAGTAATTGGATTATAAGGCTTCATGATTAAACACAAGTTGGCAAGATCAACATATTGGCCGTACAAATAATAGCTACACCATTAAGCATGCTGTAAAGTATGCATTTGGCAAATGATAAGGTATTCTAACCTGCTTGACAAAGTAACTGTATTTTTGCCTGAATTGTTGTAGGACATGCTGCACAACACGAAAATGATCTGCTTGCCCCTTAGCAACAAGAGTAATTTGCTGCTCGATGAAACTGCGAATATCTGGCAAACAGAGATCTGGATCGATGCATTGATAGCCTCTTATTAGAGTAATACCTAAGGCAGTTGGACCCAGCTTCCTGCCAGCTAGTACCTTTCAATTGATTGTATAAAAAAAAAACAGGTCTTGTAAAATGCAGTTTAAACTATATTTGTTTACAAAGCCAGACAAGAAACAAAATCTCAATAGGAAAAAGGAGAATAGAAACCTGCACATAATTGCGCTCACATATGTTGTTAATATGAACAGATATTGACGCATCTGTGCCAATTCCATTTTTCTCCATAAGGGAAATTAGCTCACTCTCGCTTAGAAAGTCTGGAGGTGATGTCATCCCCTGCAGCAGAATTTAAGGATTCAAAAATCAACAAGTATATGCCAAAACACACCATGCTACCAATAACTTGTTTACAACCTTTTACTTTTGATTCCCCCTTCCCAAATATCTAAACAAGAATATTACCCTTTCCTTAAAGAGAGAAGCAATTAGAAGAAACCAAAAAAAAAAAAAAAAAAAAAAAAAAAAAATTTTTTCAACAAAATCCAACAGAATACATATTCTGAGAAGATATTGAATTAATTGAGGAGAGTTTAGGCTTTTTAAATTTTTAAATAAAAATTGAGGAATAAGTAGAAGTGAGATTTGAAGAATTAACAAATATACAATACCTCATGAAGGTCCACTTGTGAAACTTCTATTTTCTCCCCTTTTGTAAACTGAGGAAGATTTTTCTCAGTTACTGCCAACCATGGCATGATAGAAGTAAATCCTTTCACCAAAACACGATGCCCTACACAATGGAAGAATTCTCCACCGATTGAAAATTCTACCCTTGTTCTGGAATAGACATTAAAAGCAAAAATAATAAACATTATACTTTTGTACATAAATATTTGTCACAAATGATGTTAGAAAAATAATAAAACATGAAACTAATAAGGTCAACTTTAAGCAACTTCAACAAAATGTCACATATTTACTGGCAAAACTTACAACACTGTTTACATTAATTTCCTACTACAAACCAAAATTTGTATCATAGTTACATATAATGTATAAATTCACTAAACAAGTAAAAACAAACACAATCTAGACAAGTAGGCTGCATTTGGTGCTTAAGCATTTCTAATGTTCAGCAAATGCACATAAAGAAAGAAGAAAATTATGCTATATATATTTTTGTTTGATATCAAAATCTCTTTGCAGACATCTTCAACCTCTTTTTTTCTTCCATCAACACTAAATAAATAAATAAATCAGTGAAATGACACATAGTGTTAGTGATGAAAGAGAAAATTCCTCTATTTCATTGCTTTATCTTTCTATTCCCTGTATTTTGGGTATGTTTGGGTCGCTGGACAGCCACTTATAGCCGCTGCCCAGCATCAGTTAGGTTCGTCCTCCATTCACATCTAAACATCTATAGCTTTTCACTAATCTACTGGCTCTGTCAAAATCATTATTCTATGTAAAATAGTGCTCTGACACTTTTCTTTTCTTTTTCTTTTTTCTCTTTTTAATTTTTCTTTTGTAAACTAGCTGACTGAAATTGTTAACGGCATATAACTTCAACAGTTCTAAAGGACATTCTGCTTCATTGCGTTTTTTAATCATAATAAATTATAAAAGAGAAAATATAGAGGAAGTTAGTGTAAGACTCAGAGATTATTTAAAAGAAAATACCTTCACAATGATTTCTCATCGGTTTCAGACACAAGTTACGAAGTCCTTTTTTAAAGCAGGCTAGGTAATTATCAACCAGAAATAAGCCATCTAATACTGAATCAAAGGGTGAAAACAGCTTCCCCCAACTATTATATAGCAAACTTATTCATTACTGGAAGTCCATCTAGCCGACTAAGAAGGGTCGGTTTAGTCAAAACATTAATCAGGACTCCTGAGTTTTTTATTCCCTCAATTCCACTATCGGCATTCCAACGCAAATGAGGTGAATTTATTCTCTAAGCATATCTGGGGCCTCCACTCTTGGTGCCACTTTCTGTGAAAAATTGAATAAATCTTGAAGCACCACACATTATGTGCAACAAGGTGGAAAGCGTAATCTTCTTAAGGTGAAACACAGTAATGGTTAGAAACTTTATAAATACAAAACCAGCAAAAAGACAGGCAACATGACATGACCAGCAGAAAGACAGGCAATCTGACATAAGAACAAGGGAAAGGGAACTGTGCAACCAAGTGTCACCCAACAGAAAACAATGAACACTGAAACTTTTACCTTACATATTTGCAGTCAGGAGATACAGTCCCTATGAAGTGTGTACAAATGTACTCGTATAGTCTCCAAGCATCATTTCCTAGCATGTCCTCAGTTGCAGACCTCAATGGAGTAACAGGAGGATGGTCACCCACATCTGTCCCGGATCGTGGCTTCTGATAACCATCAGCAAGCAGCTTCTGAACATAACTACCCCATGTTGGGTTATTTACTTGCGCACCAAGTGTGCCTCTAAAGTCAAAAGAAGAAGGATAAGCTGTGCTCTCGGTACGCGGATAGCTAGAGAATCAGCATATGTAAATAGTCAGACAACTACCAGAATCCTTGAACCAAAAGAAACTTGACATTAAAAACGAAAAAAAAAGAACCACAAGAACCACCCTTCAAGATTAATGCTTGAAGCTAAGTGGCCTGCAGGAAAGGTTTCAGGTTCACCATTTCTCAAACGTGGAGGTTTCAAACAGAGACAGACTAATGCTTAAGGAAAGGTTTAAGGTTCACTGTTTCTCAGGTTCACTCTTTCCCCACGTGTGAGAAATTACATATTCAGCTTTACCTATCTACTCAGGTCACTAACAGGTTAACACATTAATGACCACTGGAGTCGTGTAAACTCCATTCATGAAACCCTCTTTAACCGGTTAGCAAATGTACATTCTTAATTTAACTAAAAACTCAAAAACACCCTAAATTTTTTCTACATCTCTTCTTATGTTAAGTTACTGAATCAAGGGAATGCTCCAATTCTATTTTTCTTGAAATCTATTCATATAATTAAGTTTACTTTTTACTTCTAGTTCAGGTTTCATCACTGTACTGGATAAAGAGTTTTCTTGGAATTTATAAATATCAGATAAAGAATGAAACCTGATGAAACCTTGAGTATACAAGCGTTCAGCAACTTGCATGGCCATTTGTGGTCCAAAGCCTAGTGCACTTGAAGCAACCTGAGTTAAAAATTGAAAAAGAAAAACTTGTCAATGTGCTCAAATGATCTCAATGCATACAAAGAACTAGGACAACCTTTCAGACCACAAAAAAATAAATAAATAAATAAAAAGAACTAGGACAACCTGATTAAGCTTTTTTATTTTTAAAAATTTAACATCAACTAAAGAATTTCAAAGAATAACTTTTTATCAATTTTCTGAAGGGGTTATTAAAATGAACTTGAAGAATTTTTTAGAAGATTGCTTGATTATAATATTTCAAACTCATGCTCTAACCACAACACAGGAGAGCATTTCAACCTACAACGAACTAGGGAGAAATCGACTAAATTATGTACAAATTGTAATAAGACTAGCTTATCTTTAAGACATTTTCTTTTTCTTTTTCTGGTATATAGAAAACTACCAATTCTCACTAGATTACACACATGAGAATTAGTACGTTTTACTTTTAATCCACTTTACGTCACTGTCTGCCACATGCATTTCTTGAAATATTAAGTTTTCAAAAAATCACTCAGTAAATTGGGATTTCGGTCATATTGTCCCCAAAAATTGTGAAGTAGCCAATTAGGATCTCGTAATTCCTTCTTTGCAGCACAGAACAGGGCTGGAGAATCTAATTTGTACTCTCTTCTTTCTGCCCAGGCTAATATGAATAATGCATGTTCTCACACTGAACTGTCCATTCAGCTACTTAATACATGACAAAGATAAACTCGTAATCTGCAGACATCAATTTCTTCATATTTTCCTTTGTTAGGCAATCATGTTAAGTAATCAACCAACAGGCAATGCCCAGAAACATGTACTTCTACAATACGATCATTAAATTTACAGTATGCATGCCATTAGAAACAAAATGAATCATCAATCTTTAGTTTTTTTTTCCTTTCACTTTTCTGACCTTCAGAAGATTGACTGTATTAAGACCAGAAGGACGACTTTTGCTTTCTTGCTTTTCTACTATCTCAGTCACTTCTAGAATTCCATCTTCCATTACCAACTTTTGAAACATTACAGCAACCTGCGATATGCAAAAGCCTCAAAAATATTATCACTAGAAGGGAAGTTAAGACAGTAGAAAGTTTATAGCAAACAAGACCTCACATCGTAGTCAAACAACTTGTTACGTTCCCATTCTAGCTGAAGTTCGTAGCCCTTTTGCATTATGTAAGGGCGTACAGCCCAAAACTTTTCCGGTTTGAATGTATTTATCTGCAGATAGCGTTGTACACAAAAACCAAGGGTGGGAGTCTGACATGGCCCGTAGCTGAGAGAAAATGAACATTAAGCTTGATTAATCTATTGTTGATGCTTGAGATGAAAATGGAACATAGGCATATTAATCACAAATAAAAGAAGGGCCACAGAATAAAATCAGTATGATCCTACATGCACTGCTATTAGAACATCAAAAAACCACTCCTAGAATCTGCCACAACCTGTCAGTAACCCTTAAGTTTTCCCATTTTACTTTCATCTACTTTTAACTTTTTTATTTCTTTTAAAGTTGGTTTCTTCTAATAATATTTTTTTTAAAGGCCATGTACATGCACCAAGGAGGAAGGAGGAGAAAGAAGGCGGAAGGAGAACGGCAGCTGTGATGGATACAAATAGCAGTATCCTTTAGGATGAAAGTTGGGAGGCAGAGGACTGGGAGGTACCTGGCTTTTAGGCTAATTTGTGTTAACTTTGGGATGTGTACATGTTTGTTGTAGTGCTATGATTGAAGGTAACATTGTTGTTTCTTGGATCTAGTAATGGTACACCCGTCGGCCTTCTGGTTTACTGTGTTTCTAGTGCAAAAATTATAGCGGCCTTTATTTACAGCATAAAATTTCTAGTTACACCACCAATAACACAACCATATTGATCTCTGTAAAGGGAAATGTATGGTGGCCCTAAAGAAAGTATATACAAATAGAAGAGGAATGTAGATATATGGATATGCAGTTACATGAACAAGAAGCTGAATAGAACAAAATATCTTCAGATCAGTCAATCAAACGGAATATATTCAAAAGATATACATTCAATTGCTCAATCATACACAATAAAGAGAAATGCTTAATGGACTGGAAGCGAAACAGTATATAAATAATAATCTACAAACAAAACACGCGGAGAGAGAGAGAGAGAGGAGAGAGAGGAGAGGAGAGAGAGAGAGAAAACCAACGAGATAACTCTGGAATCAAGATTTCCGTATTTCCCCTGAAAAAGCTTGTTTGAAACCGTGTAAATGCAACTCCAACTTTCAAATCTATCTCTTGCCGGGCATCTACTGACAATGCCTCATCTTTATTAGGCTCAACAAGGTTGTCCATGGCCTTTAAAATGTCTTTCTCAGTAACAGAGGAAAACCGAGCACGATAAATCCTTCTTCTAGTCTCATTTGAATGGCCAATACAATCCATAACTGCAACAACAAATTTTAGAGCCTTTAACCATCACAAACAACATTCTATTAGCTTTAAGATTAGATTCTGTAGGTAAGAGAGGGGGGAGGATAAGAAAGCAAAGGACGTCCACACAGAAATGGCTTCTAAAGTCTACCTTGCCAAGTACTTGTATAATCTTAGAGTAGTTAAATAAAATAAGTAATTAAAACTACCACTCTGCTACAAAATTAGCATGCAAGACTGCAAGTTTTATAAAATTTTCCACATTTACAACCAGATTCTTGGTTTAAGAAAGAACTAACACAATTATAAGTCAAAACATAAGGTTTGAGCAGGATATGTACGTTTTACTCATTCTCTCAGCCTAGATTTGATGAACTTTTCCTTTTTCCAGCTAATGAATGCCAATCAGACCTCGATTTTCTAGTTTTCCCCATTTCACATCAATTACACAACCACAAACATGGCATACAACCTCCAGATTTCATATCAATATGATAAATTTCCACTCAACTAAGTACACAGACACAGACACAGACACACACACACACACACACACACACACACACACACACATATATATGTATACCTTCAAAACAAATATTTTCCCCTTCACGATCACAATCCAACCATAAAACCAAGTTACCATAACCACGAGCTTCTTGGCTTAGATGCCTGCGAATATGAGCCTTTACACCAAGGTCAATAGCCAATATTTACTAATGAATAAAGTAAGAAAACCCTAACAGGTAAAGTTTGTCACAACAAATGGCATAAGAATCAAAGGAAAGAGGTATAAGAATAAACAAAAAAGGAAGCGGGGGAAAAAAAAAGTTGTACCTTTGGATTTGCTTCTGTCTTTTGAATTGGGGCTTGAAAAAGATCAAGAGGATCAGTGGTTGTCCAATTTTGATATTTTTCAGGAAAATCTACACTAGATTTTGAAAGAAACAGCGTCACTAAGTTAGAAATGTACCAAACAAACTATTCAACTTAAGCCTAAAGCTTGACGATTATACCATATAACATTGACAATTTAACTCTTGTGAAGAATTGCTAGATTTCAAAGGTGATAGCTTCGGGAGCAATATATCACATATACTGGTCCATGAGATGAGAACAAAGGCGAGAGCTTTATAATCAACAAGGAGAAAACCATCCGAAAACAAGTTGAGTCTAGGCATAACAACTTCAAGAATGTTTAATTGAGGTGCATTTATGGCATGTCAACCTAAGCTTGTCACCTGAACCTACCCATAACCTACTGAGGAGTTGCATCCATATAGCAATGGACCAGAGACCAGGAATATAAAGAAGGATATTGTTTACAGATGACAAATGCTTACCCAAAAAAATAGACACAGATACACAGATCTTTGCAAAGAACAAAAGTAAAAGGCACAAGGTAAACGAGCTAACTAATGTATATAAATATTCATAAACATAAAATGAGATCCCACATAATGACACATGGATGTGAATATTCAATTGGCAGAAATAAAGACAAAGGCAACACTAATCTAAAGGCCATTTAATATTTGACACAACAACATTGTTAAAGACAGTTGAATCCAATATCACATCATATAACCAGAGACAGTATCTAATAATGCTCTTTCTTGTCTATCTTGTTCAAGAGATGAGAGAAAAATTAACCTGAAAACATGCCCAATAACCGATGTCACTTTAAAATGCACATGAACCCAAGAAACATTCCCTCAAATTCATGGACATCCGTACTAGCCTTTCTTGTAGACATCTGTACTATGCAAATACAAGCTGAATGTCAATATAATTCAATTATGCAAAACATGGATTTATGAATCCAACAACCAGAACTTTAATAGAGAAGTGCAGAAAAAGAAAAAATGAGCCTAAGTGATACATGCTACAAGAGGTTCAAGAGAAAAGCAAATTTCCAAACCAAAGAATTATTATTTCCTGTCCTAATTTCAATCGAGAACCTTATTTGCATCCTCCATATTAGTATTACTATTAAGTCTTTGTTCTCTCTTGATGCTAGTAAACTCTTGGTATGGGTGTATATGGATGGACCCATTTGGGAATGCTTCTGTAGGAAGCACTTCTGTTTATCTCTCAAGACAAATGGTCATCCAAAATAAATAGAATGGAACCGTTGGCTTAACCTCTGATTTCTGTAACCATATCCCCATAACCAAAATCCAAGCTAAGCATCTCATAATCGTCCTTAGAATACAAATTATCTACTTCATGAAAGAACTAAGCACCCCAATGGGAACCAAATCATCCTATTAATTCCAACGTCCAGTTCATATCTTCCCAAGAACAACGAAACTCAATCACCAAGTTCTTCAACCAAAAAACAGAAGAAACAGAAAAAATGGGGATTGCCCAGCTCTCATTTCTATTTGAGTTCACTCCTTATCCAAATAATAAATTGAAAATACTAAAAACATTTCAAGTTCCAGCTTCTTTGCTGCTTCCAATATTTTATTAGCATTCAAACAGTCCCTTATTTGGAGCTTAGGAGGTAGGGTTTTAATATGTGTACGTGTGAGTGTCTGCCAGAGAGAGAGGAGAGAGGAGAGAGAGAGAGAGAGATAGAACTTACTTGACCATGGGAGAGAACGGAGGCTATAGAAAGAGCTATGCTAGGCTTCTCTGCGACCTGTCACAAGTAAAAGCTCAAAGAGAATGAGAATCAAAACAAAATTACAGGGCACGCACAGACAGAAGCATAGAAACCAAGTATGTGTAAGGTTCACACCATGATAACTTTGTTGGCAGCCATAATGAAGTGAGATGTTTATGACTTGAGAAATTGAATCTTCGCTTTATAGGTACGTCTGCTGAAGCAAGAAGAAGGGGATTCACGATGAGTGAATTAAGAGCCGGTGATTCAACACCTTCAATTCGTCGATTGGCCACTCAAAATCGTTCACCTCCTTCTTCTGCAACCTCGTCTCTGGAACCTTCTTCGTGCGACTTAGCTTCGATTCACGGTTCAATACTTCTTTTTTTGCCAACTCTGTTCAGTACTGCGTCTTCATTTTTTTTTGGATGCCTCTTCATGTTCCGTGGGTTTTAAGAGCATCTCCACCCACAAGGGCTAAGTCTAAGACAAGGGCAAGCAAGGGCTGCCACTATTCACGTAAATAGTATCAGCCTTTGCATTTGTGATTCCACCCACAAGGGCAAAGTCTAGGGCAAGTCTAAGGCAATTACTATTCATTGTACTTTATTTTCTATTTTTTTATAGTTTAAACCATTAATTTTGATAATCTTTTGTAATTAAATTTTCGGATAAGATTTTCACCCTCTAAAATTGTGCCACGTCTGATGTAGAACAAATGTCAGATTTTATCGCTTGAGCTAGAAAAAGGACGTAGTGGGAATTTGCAGATTTGTATTCCGAGCTCCAATTAGGACGCAAAATATCATTTCGGAAAAGGAACGACGCTACGAGTCAAACTCACTGCTTTGCTATGATGTATGATGGATTTTGGCATTTTGAGGTCGTTTGGCCTTCCAAAACGGCATTTAAAGTTTCGTAGTTAATTTTCAGTATTTTAGATTTTAATAAAAATTATTCAAAGAAAATTCCTTTTAAAATTGTGCCACGTGTCAAATGTTAGATAACATTTTCAGATATTTTTAAAAAATTTTAATCTCAGATTTCAGATAAGATTTTCACTCTCTATAATTGTGCCACGTGTCAAATGTCAGATAACATTTTCAGATATTTTAAAAAAATTTTAATCTCAGATTTCAGATTAGATTTTCACCCTCTACAATTGTGCCACGTGTCAAATGTCAGATAACATTTTCAGATATTTTAAAAAAAATTTAATCTCAGATTTTTGATAAGATTTTCATCCTCTCAAATTGTGCCACGTCATCTCTATCTTCTAAATCCGTCTATAAACTAGACCTGATTTTCAAACCTCTCACACCATCTCTTATCTATTCCTTCATTTCTCAGATTGTAGAAAACACATTCTACTCTCAATGTCAAACTTGTTGAGGGTGTTGGAGAGGCAACGGAAACAAAGGGAAGAAACAAGGCGTAGACGTGCTCAAGAAGATCGGGAAGCCGATGAAGAAGAGGAACTACTGCTTGCAGCAGCGGTGTGTATGATGGATCAATCAAGGCAAAACCGTCGTCCTCGTGCCCCGAATGTGGACAGACGTAGGGAGTCTCGGGGTAAGAATCTCATGGAGGATTATTTTATCCCAAATCCGTTATATCCTGCTTCTAAGTTTCGAGAAAGATATAGAATGCAACCACATTTGTTCCAAAAAATCATGCATGATATTTGTAATTACGACACATACTTCATTCAAAAGCATGATGTTGTTGGAGCTTTAGGTCTTATCCCGGAGCAAAAACTGACAGCTGCTTTGCGGATGCTTGCTTATGGGGCATCTGCAGAGCAGGTGGATGAGATTGCAAGGATGGGAAAATCTACTGTCCTAGAGTGCTTGGTGAGATTTTGTGATGCAGTGGAAAATTTGTACACGAGGGAGTACCTTCGCAAACCAACGCCAAGAGACCTGCAACGGCTTCTACAAAAAGGCGAGGCCCGAGGTTTCCCAGGAATGATTGGAAGCATCGATTGTATGCACTGGCAGTGGAAGAACTGTCCTACTGCTTGGCAAGGGGAGTACGGGAATCGGAAGGGCCAAAAAAGTATAATTTTGGAGGCCGTAGCTTCATTCGATTGTTGGGTTTGGCATGCCTTCTTCGGGGTTGCCGGTTCTCAGAATGACCTCAATGTCCTTGGTCAATCCCCAGTGTTCGATGAGGTATTGCGAGGTCATTCCCCCCAGGTCACGTACCAAATCAACAATACCGTTTACTCTGGTGCGTACTACCTTTCCGACGGAATTTATCCTAGGTGGACGACATTCGTGAAAACAATTCCGAATCCCCAATCCGAGAAGGAAAGAAACTTTGCTTCCTTTCAAGAAGGTTACAGGAAAGACGTGGAGAGGTGTTTCGGTATCTTGCAAGCTCGTTGGGCAATTATTAGAGGTGCTGCTCGGATGCTAGATGAGGAGGTGCTGCGGAGTATTATGATGACTTGCATCATCCTTCACAACATGATTGTGGAGGATGAGTATGACTATGATGCTCAAGAGGTGGTTGAACCCGATCCAATGAACACATCGTTGACAAGAATATATGAAAGGCCGATTGGACCAAATGGACTACCACTGGAGCCCGAACCCATACTTCGGGATGGTCAATTCAACAACCCCATGATTGATCGGTATCAAGAAATGCAATCTTCATATGTTCACGAGATACGTCAACGTGACTTGATCGAGCACTTGTGGGAGATGAAAGGCAATCACAATGGATGAAGTCAAGATTAGTGCTTTGTTTGGAATTATGCTTTGTTTTTAATTATGCTTTATTTTGTGTGTGGTTTTTTTTTGGAATTATGCTTTTTATTATTATGCTTTTATGTATGGTTTGTTTTGTGTGTTGTTTGCAATCAATGAAGTTTTTTTTTAATTAATATTTGTTTTGATGCTCAAATGTTTTTAATAAATAGTCATTTAATTTAATGCTTTTTTGATTGAATAAAAAGGGAACAATACAACAAATTAAAGGATAAGGGAACAATACAACAAATTAAAGGATAATACAACAATACAACAATACAACATATGGCAAAGGTGTTTCAATTGCTTCCTAATGGTTTTCATCATTTAACCAATCCGTATTGCTAGGTCCGTCGTCATTGAAAAGTTTTTTCCTCATCACATCTCTTCGTCGTAGCTTCCAATAAGCCTTTGTTTCGGGAGACATATGGCTCGTATCCATAGCCATGATTTTCATCTCTCTATCCTCTATGTCTTTTTCTTGTGCCATTTGTTGTTGGAGAACAAATGCTTCCTCTCGTGCCATGTCCATTTCATCTCTTTTCAAGTCTCTCTCGATTCTTAGTGAGGCGCTCTTAGCTATTTGCTCCAATAATTGTACACAATCATTGGTCGAAGTGGCCCCTCTCTTGGCCTTTGCCGCCTTTCTCCCAATAGGTCTTGGCGGACGTGGCACAAATGGTGACTCCGTTTCCATTGGGGAGTCCAATGGAGAATCGGTTGATGTTGAATCGTGGAGTGGCGTCTCATTCATCACAACCGGCGGACCGGTGGGAATAATTTTGAATCTCGAACAATCCTTCACAATTTCCCAACATTGGAAATGCACGAAACTTTTTTTGCCTTGCCCCATGGCACCGAACCACATTTGTGCTTGTACCATCTATTAAAAATAAATAATTGGAAGTGCAAGAAACAAAAATTATTATGCAAGAAAATATAAACTATTTTGAAATGCAAAAATAAAATTGATTATGCAAGAAAATATAGACAAATTAAAGGTGCACCAAGAAAAAAAAATTATGCAAGAAAAACAAATAGAATATGCAATAAAAAAAAAGTGACATTGAATTGATTAAAATGGCAATTATAAATATTTTACCTCATCGGTCAAATTTTGACCGCTTTGAATGTTCGCCTTTGCTTTTGTCAAGGCATTCCTCCATTTCCCTAACTCTTTATTAAGAAGTTTCCATCTACTAGACAACGCCATTTCGGTCCGAATAGAACCCGATCTTTGACAAAATTCTCCATGAATTTTGCTCCACATGTGATGAAATTTCATCTCATTACCCGTGATAGGGTCATGACTAATGTTCACCCAAGATTGACACAACGCAATATCTTCATTCGTTGACCACGAGCCTCCGACTTCAATAGAAGATGCCATTTGTTTTTTTTTATACAAATGGAAAGTAGTAGAAAGAGAGTAAAAAATATTGGAAGGAGAAGAGTTTGTATGGAGAATTGGTGTGGAAGTGAAAAATGTGAGTGGAGATGAACAAAAAAATTGGAAGGAGAAAAGTTTGTATGAAGAATTTGTGTGGAAAGTGAATAATGTGAGTAAAGAGTAAAAAATATGGGATGGAGAAGAAATTGTATGAAGATTTTAGTGTGGAAAGTAAATAAAATGGTTAGGTATTTATAGAGAAAAAATACAAAATTTTTGGGTATTTTTTAAAAAAAATTTCAGATTTTTTTCGATTTTTTTTGCAATTTTTTTAGCCAAAAAAACGAGGACCGTCGGATTTCTGGAAAAAAATCCATCGGAGAGTCCCCGTCGCGCCACGTGGCACCCGCCCGTTGGAGCTGTCAGTGGCTGACGCCAGCGCTGACGTCAGCCAACTCGGGCTTCAGCCCGGGCAAGACTTGCCCTTGGGCTTCCTCGGGCTCGTGGGACTCGCCACCAAACTGGGCTACGGGCCCTGCGCTGGAGCTCTCTCGGGCTGCGTCGGGCAGCCTTTCCCCCCTAGCCCGGGCTGCGCTGGAGATGCTCTAATGGGCTTGCAAGGCCAATTATAAACTTTGTCCTATGGGCCATAAAATATAAGATTATCCAACAAACAAAAACTCTTTTTTCTTTTTTTGGTTACAAAAGTTTAGGGGGAAGGATGCCACCTCATCCCATAGTTAGGGCATACCAAGGGTTCTTTAAGGATTTACAGAGGGGGTCTTAGTCTTTTTTGGGTTTTATAGATTACCCGCTAAGATGGATTGTCGGCAGCGGGACTCAAACCTATGCATGGATAGCGAAGAGAACGATCCTTACCTACTCAACTAACCATCTTTGGCTAACAAAAACTCTTTTAACCCATACCCAGCCAATATTTATATATTTACATATAATATATATATATATATGTACTAAACTAATGTGTTAATTCAATTACAATTCATATAAAATTAATAAATTATATTTGAAAGACTTGGAAAGTTCGAATTTCACTATGTATGGTATTATGAAATTGGAGTATGAACTTCAATATTTTATATTTTTTAAATATATGTAAGTATTATTAGAAATTAATTTTTTTTAATTGCCTTGTCCGTGTTCATGTCTTAATTTTTTGAGATTTGTTGTTTCCTCGTGTCCCTTGTCACGTATTCGTGTTCGTGCAACATAGTCGATTGGGTTTTGTTCGGCAGTTTCAAGTCACTTTCTAACTATGTTTGGTGTTATAAAAATTTGAAAATAAATAATAAAGAAAACCAACAAATAAGGGTTTTTTTTTATGTTATAAGATAGAGTGGATGTGAAAGCACCACAAAATATAATGTAATTGTAATTATTTTTAGGATTTCACTTCTAGTTTTAAACTTTTCATTTTTCGCTTCTCAAATGTATGAGGAATTCCTCAATTTATAGAGGGAGGATTCAAGTAACTAACCAAATACATTTAGTTGGTCGAGACAACTGGTTCACCAAAGCACTATTGCACTATGTTATTGCACCTATATTATTTAGGGTTGTTTACCTAAAATATCTAAGCGACGGGAATAGGCATGAGATTGAATTTGTGAGACATGCAATGAAAGTGAATATCTAACCTGGATACTGTTGTTGATGTTGGATTACAAAATGTATTAAGTTATCTCTCAAAGACAAAAGAAATTCTTGAGGATGCTTAATCATTAATTCATGTTGAGGCTAGTTTTAGCATCATATATTCTATGAAATACTTGGGACTTGCAAGTATCTAACTTACCAAGGCCCCATTAGTATAATGATTTTGCATATTGCAATGATTTAAGGTGATAAAAGTACATAATAAACTTATATTTCTTTTCCTTTTTGGTTTAATTTAAGAGCAAATCATATACTGAGTCTCTAACACGCGATGAAAAGACATGCAATTAAACTGAGTATCTAACCCCAAATACTATTTTTGATGTTAAGCACCAAAGTAGCTGAAGCACTAAGAGGATCAGCAGGTGTTATATATCAAAATGTTAATTAAGGAAATTGTAAGAGTAGTATATGAACAAGGGAATGAGGGAGAAGAGTACAGAACAACGGACCTGCTGGAGGTGGAAAAGTGATATGGAAGATAAGTTATGAGGTAGAGCGGGAGCTGTCAACTAGAAGTGAATGGGAAATGGTTGGTAACTCTAATAGGTTGTACATGTGGTTATGGAAAAGTGGAAAATTGAAAAAAAATATAATAATGTTATGTATACTCATGCGTATCATAGTTCTTTTCCTACCAATTCTTGTGAACTTAATCTATTTGTATCACATCTTGTTCCCTTGATTCTATCTAGTGAGGGCTAAGGGCATCAATATCCTTCACGTGAACATTGTCCCCCTAATGGGCATGGTTTCCATTCTAGTCATCATTGTTAAATATCATATATCTAATCATGTGTATTATCACTGGTTATTTGAGTCTCATGTAACTCTCACAAACAAGGACGGACCCAGGATTTCAAACTTGACTGGGCTAAATTTACCTTACATATAAACATACTAAATAGATAGAAAACTCGATAGTACGATGTAATTTCATTGATAACAAAAAATTAATAATACATCTACTCAAACAGGGGACATAATGAGCCTTACCTCTCAAATAACACTATCTAAGTTGCACCCTTCGAGTCTTCATAGAATTAAAATCATTAATTATCGATTCATTATCTATATTATTAGCAAATTCTCTTTCAATGTGAAGTAACATACAATCAGCAAGAAATTCATCACCTATCTTGTTTTGAAGCCGATTTTTGATCAATCTCATACAAGAAAATGCTCGTTCTGTTGTTGCTGTAGAAACAGGAAGAGTTAGCACCAAACGAATCAATCTGTCAATCAAGTAGTAGGTTTGTGCTAATCTTGTTTCCACTAAGCTCTCAAGTAATATAGGAATAGAATCAAGATTCTTGAAGGTTGGATTGTGATCCATGTCAATCTTATAAAATCTCAGTTGTTGATTTAAAGCCTGCAACTCAGTTGTAGTGAAATCTTAAAGATAAAATTTCTCAGCAAGAGTGTATATATCATCAATGTTAAATCGCTTGAAAGCATCACGGGGATCCAATGATGAGCTAAGACGAAGGAGTTCCACAGATTCATATGAAAATCTAGTATTTAACTCCCCCAACTGATAATCTGTTACCTCATTAAATACATCCATATGATAATAATGCTCCACTGTGATACAATCTTTTTGTTGACAAGAACTCCCAGTTCTCATTGTATGACGGGCACCCATATCAGGCATACTAATTTCATGTTTTTCACAAAATGATCGTACACTTTGTATAAAGTCATCCCAACCATTGTTTCTCAACTCATCAAGCTCCATTTTTGTACTTGCAACCAAATTCAAAGCACTTACAATGTCTTGAGATTTTCTTTGAAGTTCTTGACAAAGAAAATTAGTGAATCTCATAGTTTTGTCCAAAAAATTCAAGGCAAAGACAAAGTCAAAAGACAACATAGAAATTTTAGTACCTTCTGCTTCCCCATGAAATTGTGAGGTAGGTCCATTATGACTGATATCCTTTAGAAGTGTCTTGGATGTACCAAATAAATCAATCAAACTCCTAATCGAACTAAAATGTGAGCCCCAACGAGTAGTTCCAAGTTGTTGCAGACATCGAATTTGATTAGCCCCTTTACCTGTTCCAAGTCTTCCAGCTGCTAATAAGTCTTCAATTTCAGCTTTTCTGGTTAATTTTAACTCAGATTGTCGTTTGGCAGAAGCACCAAAAAAATTCACAATGTTATTCAACATTGAAAAAAATCTCCAAACAAGTCCTACCTCTTTAGCAGTAACATTTAAAGCTAATTGAAGGCAATGAGCAAAGTAATGAATATAATATGTATATGGACAATCATTGAGAAATAATGATTGTAAGCCACTTCATTCACCACGCATATTGCTAGCACCATCATATCCTTGACCACGCATATTGCTTACTAAAAGACTATGTTTACTAAACACTTTACAAATATCACTTTTAAGAGTTGAGGAATTAGTGTCATGAACACTCACAATATCAAAAAACATTTCTCAAATATGCCCATCACAACTAACAAACCTTATGATAATAGTCATTTGTTCCTTCTTAAAATCATCAAGTGCTTCATCAATGAGAACACAAAATTTCCCATCTTCCCCAATTTCATCGCGTATCTTTTTTCTCACTTTGTTAGCGTAGATATTTAGGATCTCCTTTTGTATCTTATGTGAAATATATTGGGCATTTAGAGGAGCATTTTGTAACACAACTTTTTTCAACTTCTTCGTTCCTTCTTGCAAAAGTCTTTACCAACTCAATAAAATTACCCCGATTAGAGGAGTCATGAGATTCATCATCACCTCTAAAAGCCATTCCTTGATTTGCTAGATACCTAATGGCCTCTATTGTGGTTGTAAGCCTCAACCTATTTTTTCGCAACTTCTTGTGGGGGTTGCACAACTTTGTCAATATGGTGAGTCGGGTTCTTTAAATCCATCCACTTTTGGATAGCAAAATGATGTGGTGAATTTATAATGCCTACATGAGTAAGGAAAGCACACTCTTTGCCATAAACTCTTCTCCAATTTCTAAATCCTTCTACAGTGAATGCCTTATGTGAGTGATCATCGTCAAAAGAAAGCATGGAAAACAAAACACTTTATCTTTATTAACAGAATACTCAAGCCAAGGATATTGGTTATACCAATTACTAGGCATGGGCACGGTTCGGGTCGGGTCAAATTTTGGCCGACCCGCGGGCCAAACCGAAGGAGAGTTCGGTTCTCGGTTTGAGTCGACTCTAGGGAGAAACCCAAAAATAGGCGAAATCGAAAATGGGCTCGGTTCTCGGGTCGGTTCCAGTTCTGTTCGGTTTGGGCCTGAGCCTATTTTTACCATTTTAAAAAGCCCAAATCGTATTCATTTTCAGCCAAAAAAAAGCCCAAATCATATTTTTTTAGCAAAACAAAGCCCAACTCAGATTCACTTTCAACCCCAAAACCCTTTTTTTGTTGTCAAATTGCCAAAACCTATTCAATTCTTATGAACAAGCCCAACACACTTTTTACTTCACTTTCAAAACCTGAAATTATGTAAATTCAACCTATAAAAATCCATCATTCCAATCTAAGTTTCTAAACTAAATAAATCTCACATACACACATTCAACCAACCAAACAAGGAAAAGAAATATAATCTCTTACAAACCATTACAAAAAATAATACACAAACCAAATTAAACTTATGAAATTAAATATTACAACCCATCACAAAAATACACATGAAGATAATATCCTTGCAAAAAATCTGCTGCATCCATTCTTCCAAAAGCCTTAACAAAGTAACCTACACAACACTTAAAAGAATTAACACAAAGTTTCACCATCAACAAATCATAATTAACATAAGATGCAAGAAAAATACCTTCCAACATATCTTAATCACACTAAGAAGGGAGAGTCTTATTCAAATTTGTCGTGGATGTTTTACTCCCCATTTCTACAAAATATAATAAAATAAATCAAACCAATTTGAGTTAGAACACATAAAAATAAGAAAATAATTAGATTCAAATATACTTATAGAAATGAAAATATTACCCATTTCAATTGATTCATAGAACTCCATCTCCTCAATGCTTGGCACATATTGCAATAAAGATATATCTTCGGACCTTATCCAATTTTGAGAGCAAATCAAAGCCTCAACCATCCTAGGAGACAATGAGCTTCGAAACAAGTCAATCACTCTCCCACTTGTGCTAAAACAAGACTCCAAAGCTATTGTGGAAGTAGGGATTGCAAGCACATCCTTTGCAATTGATGCCAAAGTAGGATACTTGAGCCCATTTATTCTCCACCACCCTAGTATATCAAACTCCTCATCAATGGATTCAAGTGGATTCAACAAGTACCTATCCACTTCATGTGTTATAACCACATTCTCACTCTCTTGTTGAATTTTTTTTCCACCTTTCCATCATGGTTTTTCGCTTACGACCTCCAAAAACCAAAGAAGAGTCGGTTTCATTGTTAGTACTACCACCACTTTCATTGGTAGTACTAGTAGCACCCATATTGTTACTACTAGGCTTATACACTTCATACATATTCATAAGAAGTTGTTTCACTTCATTTGTCTTTTGAGCCACCAATCTTTCACAAGTAGGATCATTTTCAAATATTTCTTCAAAGATGTGCTTCAAATTGCGAAGCTTGAATTGGGGGTCAATCACAACTCCTATCATCAAGAATGGGTTCACTTTATGAATTTCACCCCAATATTTATCATATTTCTTCTTCATTGATGCTGCCATATCATTTAAAAGAGTATCCATGGCTGTCCGTTCTTCAATAGGAATTGTAACATCATATCTATACAACTCCCGAATCTCCCCATCTATGGCAAGCAAGTCATGGAAGGTTGAGTGTGATGTTGGATGCAAAGAAGCTGAAATTTTCAACGTGACATCATAGAAGGTCTTCAAAAACATCACAAATGTCACGGCTTTTTCCCAATCTTCATCACTAGGTGGACCCACCCTCTTATTAGTCTTAGACTTTCCCTTCCCTTTCCCACTTCCTTCAATGCCTTCAATTCTCTCGTCATCTCCTTCATCTTCCTTGAAGTACATTAAGTAGGAAGAATCGGGATCATCCCCCATTCTATCAAAGGCTTTTCGAAATTTCAATGCCGCATCAAGCATCAAATAAGTGGAGTTCCACCTAGTGGGCACATCCATCACCACCAACCCCTTGCACTCTATTTTTTCCGTCTCAACACACATTTTGAAGTAACTCAACCAAGAAGGTGAGGACCTCACAAACTTGACCGCATTACGAATTGCCACAATTAAGCTTTCTAATCTCTTCAAACCCTCCTTAACTATCAAGTTAATTATATGAGCACCACACCTCATATGCATGTGAACTCCTCCTAACACCCTATTCGAATCTTTCCACCCATTTATTTTCTTCCTCACATATTCAATTGCCTTAGTATTGACAGCTGCATTATCTGCAGTAATTGTGAGTATCTTCTCATGTCCCCAATCAATCAAGCAATTTTCAAGCAAGTTCCCAATGCTCTCCCACTTATGACTATCAATTACACAAAAATTTAGGATCCTTTTGTGCATTTTATAGTCGGAATCCACAAAGTGGGCAGTCACACCATGTAATTCACATTTTGAACCGATGTCCAAGTATCGGTTGTAAGGCATATTCTATGTGAACGAAGGTCAACTTTCAACTTCTCCTTCATTTTGTGTACATTTCTAGAAATCTTCTTCCAAGAGTTCTACGAGATGGTGGATTAAATTGTGGGCATGCAACACTACAAAATTCCCTAAACCCTTCACCCTTCACAAAGCTAAAAGGTAGCTCATCTTTGTTAAACTTCCTAGAAACAAGAGCATTACCCTAAGATGCATCAAATGCGAGCGTCCGTGTGCTCTTATCCTTGTGCCTATAAGGATATTGCAAGCATTGTTTGTTTAGATGCTTCCACATATTGCTAGTCCCATTTTTCTTGGTATCACTAGCATAAGTAGCACTACAATACTTGCACTTAGCCCTTTTTTTTCAATTTCTTTTCTTTTAGTCTCATCTACCCCTTTCAAATCCAATACCAAATCATACTTTTCAAAGTGTTCCCACACATCACTCTCCTTCTTACAAGGTTTCCTTTTCCCGGTACTAGGTTCTAATGGTGATGGTGTTGGATTTTGTGATGCTGCTGTATGAGGTACAACAGCATCACTACAAGGTAGAGAATCATCATTCCCATGCATTTGAGCCTCATTAGAAACAGGTTCCTATTCATAAACATAGTAAAACCATATTTGAACACAGAGAAACAAAGTTTAACTACCCATAAACATATTAAAAGATATATCCTTTTAAAAAAAACACATTTAAACTGCCAAAACAGATTTAAACTATGCGTACAACTCCCGAAACATATATCTTATCCAACAATCAGACTACAAAAACATATTACAAATTACATAATACAAAAACAAATTTCAAAAACATACTACAAAAACATATTACAAAAACATATTTTAAAAACATATTACAAAAACAGACTACAAAAACATATTACAAAAACAGATTATAAAAACATATTACAAAAATAGAAACAGAATTAAACAGATTACAAAAATAGAAACAGAATTAAACATATTAGAAAAACATATTACAAAATATATTATAAAAACAGATTACAAAAACAGATTACAAACACAAACAACAAACACAGATTTAAACAGATTACAAAAACAGATTTAAACAAATCACAAACACAGATTTGAACAGATTACAAAAACAGATTAAACAGATTACAAAAACAGATGTGAACAAATTAGCAGCAGCAATGAATATTTACCTCCATTGAAGCAAAATTTTCCAAAATTTCAAAGCTCAGCAACAGCAGCAATGCCAAACAACTGTGAATGAAATCAAAAAAAGGGTTAGGTTACAAACAAGCTTCATTCGTTTCATAAACACAGTAAAGATAGATTTAAATTACAAAAAAGTAAATTATATGGGGACACAAATGAAAGACAAAAATGTATGATAGCCTCAAATTAGGACATGTCACATATAAAAGCTCATAGGCCAGCTTGACCTATAAATATCAGGGCATTCTGACAATTGGACTACACTTATTGGACCTGTGTGATGAATACATTTTACATGTTACTACTTATTGGACTACACTATCTATTTTTGTAGCATACAATATATGAGTCTCTACTCTACACTTTTTATTACAATTAGGAAATGTATCAATGGTTCATAGTCATTAAGCACACATGAGCTTGAGTTTAACATCAACAACTTACAATCACCACTCACAAACACAAAAGCTGAATCTAGAATTAGAACTACATTTACTTTTTGAGTTCAAAATGCGAATTTTAAGAATTGATGTAAAAATTATCTCAAACATTAAGTGTAGAATGTCCAGACCGTTTAAACCATTTCAAGATAGCACACAGCAAGCAGATTGAGCACAAACACATTAGCTAATTCATACTCAAAATCAAACTTGCTTTTTTTTTCTTTCTCTATTTTTCTCTATTTCTCTCTGGTTTTCTATGTTCTTCCTTATTCTATTAAAAAACAGACAGCACACAAACAATTGAGCACAAGCAGATTGAATGGAAGAATCTTTCAAAAAAATGCAAAAATATTTTCTCAAATTCAAAGCATAAGTCCCTATGATATCAGTATAAATTTCAAAGCCAAAAAAAACCCCTATAATGTACAGAAGAGAGAGAATTTACCTTCGGCCAGAGAGATGGTTTTGGTGGCTGCCTCAAGAGGGCAACAATTAGAATTGATCTCAGGTCTGTGATGTGCGTGTCTGAAACAGAGAGGGGTGTTGGGTTAGGCTTAGGTTGACTTGAGAGAGAGAGAGAGAGAGAGAGAGAGAGAGAGAGAATAGATGATACATGGTGGACTAGAGATTGATGAAGGAGTGACGCCCCGACGCTGATGCTCTCACTGAAAGATCCGAGGTCAATTGAAGAAGAGGTAGGTCGAGAGAGAGAGAGAGAGGCGTCGTTCTCAGCCTCTTAGGGTTTTCAGAAAATAAAAAGAGCAAAGAGGGAAAGACGATTCGCGAAGGCTGAGTGAAAGGGAGTAACGGGAAAAGAAAAAAAAATTTAGGGATCCGCTACAGGTAGTCTCACATGCATATTTTTTTGGCCAATCAAATGACGCCACGTGTCAAATATTTATATATTTAAAAATTCACCGGATCGGTTCAGGTCCACTGGTTTTGAATAAATTGGAACTATAGGCCGAACCATTGACCTTCGGTTCGGTTCGAGTCCGCCGTTGACTTTTTCGGTTTAGTCAAAAAACACTCTTTTTTGGTTTGGTTTGGTTTGGTTTGGTTCAGTCGGTTTGATCGGTTTATCGGTATTTATGCCCACCCCTACCAATTACCATTACATCGACATATTTGTTTCCCTTCTAAATGAGATGGATATTCCTTTAGTTTTGGTTGACATGGTCCTGAGAGAATATATGTTATTCGAACATTATTACGTTGATTAGGCAGAAATGTGTCTATTTGAGGACGTAATCCTGGATCACGCTCAAGAAAATTGGTATTAACTTCTTGATCAAAATTAGCTCTTTGAGACTCAGCTCTTAAAATTTCAGATTCAACTCTTTGAGATTCAGAATGAGGTTGCTTCTCACAAATTGGAGGAAGTAGAGGAGAGTTGGAACCCATACTAGTTGATTCTTCATTATTTCTTTTTAAAAATCCCGAACAGTCTTTGATCTCTTAGGAGTTGGATGATGCTCCGACATTATAAAGTTAAAGTATAACCTATTGGATAAGCAAGAACACCAAAATCAACTAAAAATCCTATTTGATAATTCATAAATAAATCACAAGTCTCAATTGCAAATATGTAATTGATACTAAATAAAATCCAAAAATTCTCAAATTTCAACATCAACAAATTGAGAGAAGCTTACCGTACCTAACAAATATAGGAGCTTGGTTCACTTCTTGAATTAAGCCTTGAAGGTGAGTGCAACAACAACAAGAGTGTTCCTTTACTCGTGCAAGGGTGCAATATGAGTTTGGTGACAAAGTCCACCACTCTAAGAACAAATTTTTTTTTTTTTTTTTTTTTTTTTTTTTTTCTTTTTTTCCACCGGCTGTGTGCATTCCCTTTTTTTTTCTCTCCTATGTGCTATTGCTATAGGCTGCAGCTTTCCCTTTTATTCCCCACATGCATGCAATGTAATCAAAGGATTCCTAAGAATGATAGGATTATGATATTCACTTGGATGGCTGGCTGGGCTATAAAATTTGGGCTGGGATTTTAAAACCCACCTGGGCTGTAGCCCAGGTTAGCCAAAGTCAAGTACTGTCCTTGCTCACAAATCAATAATATGTTGTATCTACCCCAAAGAATGTTTATGATTCTCTTGGAAATCCTAGTGAAAACATATTATGGAGGAGATGGAGGCTACATAGTGGAACTATCTGAAGATAAGAAGTTTGTTGGATGTAAATGTTTGTTTACTGTGAAGCACAAAGCTGATGGATCCATCAAGAGGGACAAGGCACGACTTGTAGGTAAAGGATACAAACAAAGTTATAGTCTCCACTATTAGGAAAATTTTGCATCTATAGACAAGATGAATACCGTTTGAGTCCTTTTAGCCATAGTCAGAAATTTAGATTGCCACTAAATCAATTTGCATGACTTTATTAAAAGCCAAAGATGACCCAACAAATAAATTATGTTGTCCTTCAAAAACAAGTGTTCGTGAACTCATCTTCTTCCTTGTGCAACTACCTCCTCCAAGGCAGGGCATAGGGGCAACCTCACCACCTCCAATGAATTTTCTAGCAAGGGGAGGTGCAGTGCACCTCTAGGTTAAAATCTAGAAATATGAAAGTGTATGAGAGGGTTTGTTTATGGTTCAATGACTTAATTTTGTATTACAATCAAACATATTTATATAAGTATGTAGCTTACTCTCCAATGGCATCCTAAAATCTAGTGTAGTTGATATTGTATTTTGTGTAATATTACACATACTACAATATCCCCAATCCCAATATAATTTCGCAACATTCAATACAAACAATCCCAAGAACTCAACAATATGGAAATATGAGAGTGTATGAGAGAGTTTGTTTATGGTTCAATGATCTAATTTTGTATTACAATCAAACATATTTATACAAGTAGGTAGATTAGTCTCCAAGCTCATCCTAAAATCTAGTGTAATTGATATTGTAGTTTGTGTAATTACACAAATTACAATATCTCCAACCTAACATAATTACACAACATTCAATACAAAAGATCCCAATAAGTCAACAATTTGAGTTTCCTAGAATAGAAGCTTTTCTAACAAGTCATGCTAACACTCCCCCTCAAGTTGGTGCATGGATGTTGTCGATGCCCAATTTGTCCAGTGAAGTTGTGGAACATGTGGGAGCGATTTTCGTCCCACTAGAATATTTGCCTAAGATTCCTCCGTCTTCTCCGCTTCTCTTTCAACCTGCAAAACAGATCGGAGTAAAAAGATCACACCCGAGGGGTGTTGGCCAAAGGCCCTCCAATTCCTAAGTTAGGTAAGGTGTTTCAAGGAAAACCGGGTGGCTGGAGAAGTGTGTGGTGGCCGGAGCCTTGTGTTAGAGAGAGAAAGAATATGGCGGCTAGAGTTTGTAAGGGATAACTTATGTAGAGTTTGAGTAGGAATTCAAACGTACCTCAATCCTTGTGCGTAGCCAAGTATTTATAGGGGGCCTCGGCAAGGTTGGTGGGGTTGGTGTAGTTGGTAAGGTTGGTGTGGTTGATGAGGTTGGTGTATATAGGGATTAGGGATTTAACCAAATCCCTAATTAAGGCCATGATCAAATACATCCAATTTGAATTAGGTAACCTCCCAATTAATCCAAGTAACTCTCAATTAGGTTAGGTAATTCCCAATTAGGTCAAATAATTCACAAATTGATTGACTTAATTATTTGACCTAGGGTGAGATAATTTGCTTCGACAGAACGCTTTACAAGAGACTTGTTGTGTTCCTTCCAAGTGCCAATATATGGTTAGTATAATGGTACAAGTAAGGGTGTCGAACCACAGGGACCGATTGGACCTCTATAAATTACTAGTTTTGAAAGAACCCTAACTAAAAGTGAAAGTGACAAATTGAGAGTAGTTTGTGTTGTAAATGAAAGATAACTTAAAATGCAAGACGAATGTAGCAGCGAATGAGATATTGATGTAAGAAGAATAGGGATGAGACCAGGGATTTCGAATTCACCATTGCAAAACCAATTCCATGTTTATAAAATTAAACCGTATTCAACTACCAACCTGTTTCCAGAGTTCGTTTTACATATATATGATCAGCCATATGATGTGTGGTTTTGATCAAATTCTCCTAATATGCAACCTAATTGGGATGTTCAACTTTGGTTCCAAGTTAAGAGTCATTACCATGCAAGAAAACGTTAAAGAACCGAAGAAAACACATGGCAGGATGTTTGCATAGCATTCTCTTCATTCATTCACATGTCTACCAAGATTAAGCATGATGTTTACAATAACCTTGACTAGATAATCTGTAGGCAACCCTAATGGTGATCAAACATTAAAATTGACAAACAAATTTAACAATAGATTCAGTGAATGAAACAAGAAACAGATTGATGAACTGAATACTTTAACTTAGAAACATGGATCAATGTTGCAAGGCTACATCGAAATCCCTAGCTATGAATTTAGTTACACATCATGTTCACAAAGATTAAAACGAAAATAAACAACATGAGTGAAAATAAATTCATGAGAGGAAACCCTTGAACCAATTCTGATGTTGAACTTCTCCAAGAACAGC